GCTTCACCGAGTTTTGTCATCCTCAGAAGATGGGCGCTGATCGATGGCATATAGTACGGGGAACTACCGCACACCATACACGGCACTATCAGTGAATTATCAGATACAAAGCACTCCGTAACTCTCTACTCCATCTGCTTGATAGGAGCGAGAGAGGAAAAAGAAAGGAGGATGACGTTAACGTGGCAAGACAGCGAGAAGACACCTTGTCGAGCACCATTGAAGCCAGCAATGCGATGCAGCCACGGCTTAGACAATCATGTCTTCCGAGATGACTGACAGGTACTCCGTACAGGCACCGCACAACGGAGTAATCTTCACCCTAAGCGACTCTGCCTCGAGATTATTCAAGTCTCCAGGCCCCCATTATCAAGTGGAAACCCGTTCTCCCCGACACACCAGCCAAGCCGGAGATGGCCTTTCTCGAAGAAGAGTGACCTTGCTCTCTTGGACGAACGAACTAACTCACCATCCATGCCGTTTTAGCCCCAGTGCAACGTGCAGGGAATCGGCTTGTCTCATCGATGCCAGGGGCATGTCTGACCAAAGAGCTCTTGCTGCTGTTCTGCTGTCTCGTTCTCCATGGGTGTGTGTCTGTTTGGTGCTCGGTCTCAGGGGACATCGGCTGTACCTGGCGCTGGGCAGGCTTGTCTGCAGAATAAGCATATACGGAGTATCCCACAGGTATCCAAAAGGCAAAAGGCAAAAGGCAAAGGGCGGTACGGCGGGCCTGACAAGCCAGTCTAAATAAGTCAGCTAAAACCGGTTGGACTAAATGGTGAGATGACCTATCTCTGCCCGTATTCGCCTCGCATATTCCGCACGTTTCGCCAGTCCCCGTTGAGAAAATGCGCAGCTCGCTTGCAGAGATAGCAAAACGCTCGCTGTTACCTTTTCTTCTCTCATCTCAATCTTCCGCATGACCTCGTCGATGATAACTAAACATAGAGCATAAGTTACACTACCAGCTGCCATACCAGCCAGCCAGCCAACCAGCAATCTAAGCACTCCGTACTCTCTGTACACCGTTCGGTGGCGCTTTTTCCGCTCATCTTGCTTTGCTCTCTCTCTTGAGCCAACTCTAACTAATTTGATCCTCTGCTCTTCTCTGTCCCAGGGGACGGCCGTGGTCCAATCACCAACTGCTGAGCCAGTTGGTCACCCAGTCAAGGGGCTCCATCTAGCAGGCTAGACAAGGGCTGTGCGCTTGCATTTGCATCAAAGTGCATGCATGCATGAATCTTTCTTTCGGTCGCGGTATATAAAATTGCGCTGAACCTCTGGATCCCCACTCGTCCAAATCCCCGCCATGGAGTGTGTGTGTGCATGCAATGCAGAGGAGGAAGTGCGCGGGAGCGGATGCAGTTTTCTCCCCTTGAGAGACCTTGAGCTCATATATGCTGGCCCGTAACTATATACTTGCGTTATGACCCTTTTGTTTTCGGCTCCTGTTCCTTCCTGTCCCTGTCCCTGGAGCTAAAACTACTTCGTCTTGTCAATTTGGTCCGCCACCTAGCAGCATCAGAGCCGATATATGAGGAGCATCTACTCCGTACACCAATTTGATCACACCGTACTCACAGTCCTGTACGGATACTCCGTGCCTCAGTATAAGCTACCCACCAACGGAGGAACACCAAGGTACCCCCGAAGAACAGATAGATATACATACATGCTCCAGCGATCAAGAGAGACAGACGACAAGAACGAAGAGTATACTTTCCGTTCGTCGATCATTCCTGTGAGCCAAAAAAGGATCAAACCCGGAGAAGTCCCCTGTCGACCCGACCACTTGATATAAGTCGCATGTTTCAAACCAATTTTAACCCTTTCGCTCACTCTTAATCTTACTTATGAGCCAGTTTGATACACTCGCGCTCTTCTTGACTGCTACTTACTCTCGCTTCGTCCCGATGCTGCCGCTGGAAAAGTGTGCGTGAAGACGGTGCCGGCGTCTCACCCCCTTTCCCTCTCTCTCACACTTCCTTCCTTCGTTCACATTTTATCTTGCCATATCAGAAGCTAGGCTACCCTCTTCTTGCTCTTCTTCTTCTTCTTTACGGATGCTCCATCGATACTCGTTTTATCCCTGCTCGGGCAAAAGGGGCTTCCTCGGTCGCCTGACGAGTTCGTTCGCCATCTCTGCTCCATTTTAAGCTCGCCAATCTACCTCAAGGGGTTGGCGATATATAAACAGGAGAACTCAGAAGAAACAGAAGAGAACAAGACCGGTGGACTCTTCTTCATCATTTCTTTTTCATTTCATTCTTTACTTTTTTTTTCTATCTTCCACAAGGCCTTCTACGGCTCCATAAACTAGGGACAGGGAAGGCCCTGCGTGGCTTTGGTCCCACTGGCTCCCACCACCACCCCCCTCTATCGCCCGACATTTCTTTCGTCATGGCCACCGCGTCAGTTCACTCACTTATATCTAACGAGAAGCTGGGTGCAAACATCCCGGCCGTGCCTGCATCGCTGCATATTATTCACCCCATACCGCAGACCAGGTACGAGTCTGACGAGGAGGAGGAATCAGAACTAGATATACCCGCTACCCGTGAAGATCAGTCGTTCTCAACACCAAATGCAGACTGTGATATTGTGATAGGCAGCCGTGCGACGACAGATCACGCTGAGGACAGTTTCGAGTTGACCATGCCTCTATCCGAAGAGCAGCAGAAGATGCAACATCGACGACAGGGGCTAACAGAAGTCCCCAAACGCTCGTCGGTGTACACTGTCAGGCGTATAAGTGGATTGACACTTCTGCCTCCGCTGCAGACTTCCCCCGAACAATTGCAACAGCATGAACAACAGAGAAACCCCAGCAGATCAAGAAGTCCATCTGCAACACCACGAACTAGAGCGGAAAGGCCAGCAACCATGATATTCGAACAGGAAGAATTCGAAGACCCCATCTACTCCGATCAAACCTCGGAGTACGATGCTGAAAGTCTCATTGACAGTGACCTGGGCGATGATACGGATGTCGACATCCAAGATGGAGGGCCGATCCACGAGTCCTTCTTCGTTGCTACTCCGATAACATATCATCTGCCCAAGAGTAGGCCCAGTTTGGTCTCTATCTCCCCTCCGCCATCACGGTCTGGCCGCTCACCTCAGCCCCAGGCCCAACCGCAGGTTGAAGAGCAGAGTCCCCGAGCACAGAAGAAGCAGAAGAAGCAGAGTGTCTTGGTCTCCCTGGAACGGACAGACCCGGCCTTCAAGCGGAATTCTAGCACGAGCAGCAGCATCAAGAGGAGTCTTCAGCACCTAAAAGTCAAGACGAGTGATTCACGACGGGGGTCAGCATACATCTCTACTGAGCCGACTCCAGTACTCCCGTCCGCTGCTATGAACGCAAGCCCTACCATCTCGCCCATGTCTGCAACCTCACCTCCTGACTCTGCCAAATTCTTCACTGAGCCCAAGAAGCACAAGCATGCTCCCTCTGACACTGGCCGACGACGCTCTCTCGTCCCCAATCAGCTACGAAGCGGAAGACGAAATGCATTTGAACAGCAAACTCCTCCGCCAACCGATTTTGAAGCACCATCATCACAGAAGAACGATAATAATAATATTAATATACAGACTGAGCCCCAACAAACACAAAATCAGGGCCACCGACGACGAGCAACGGAGAAACTACCAACTTTTAATAAAGTGGCATGGACACCTGCCTCACCTCCGTCGTCTCCAGGATATAATAACTCTGCACCATCTAATTATAGTCACCATCCAGCGCTGCAAAGATTGCCTATTTCTCCAGTTCCCGACCCAATACCGTCTCCGGGTCTTCGCAAAACAAGGACCATGCAGGTCCCTCCCCCTAATAATTCACTAGATCAGCTAAATGTCCCTCGCACTCGAGCCCGCACCCGCTCCATCAGCAGCATAGCCAGCAACGCCAGCAAGTTCAGCCTTCCGGCCTTCGACAGCGCATCCCTCAAGGCCATTGCGCAGAAGTACCAAAACCGAACAACCTCGCCGACCCCTTCAGCCTCGTCCAACCTTCGACCAGCTACTATTGCCGACAGCGACCGTCGCCCATCGGACTGTGGTAGCATCATGTCCGACCGACCCAGCATACCGTTATCCCGCCACAACAAGTTCCTTCGAACAATGTCAACCACGAATCTCAGCATGCTTACAAGCGCACAAGACACGATTAACGAAGACACCATGGGCGGGCCCTACCAAAGCAAAGCACCCGGTAGTAGCTTAGGACGAAAATCCAAGCGTTATTCCACTACCTCGAAGGCAAGCGTCAGCACCGGCAGGTCTAGCAGCACCAGCAGCAACTACAACACTAGCAGCACGCACATTCGGTCGAAGAGCATGAAATGGCTCCAGGGTACGAGCGAGAGTATGTCACTTGCCGGAAACAAGCTCGGTTCCATTCTGAAGAAGAAGTCCGTGGCCCTGCCAACGACTTCTTAATTCCCAAAATATACACCGGTACACACAGCTACTTACTAGTCGTTTTGTGTCGTCTCTTTGCCTTTCCTTCTACATATATACCCTCTACTTGTCTAATTTTCTTTGCATCTCATCTCTTTTTCGGGAGAATACACAAAAAAGTAGGATCGGGAATTCTTGCCGTGGGTGGACTTTTGTCTTTACGTCTCGTCTTTGCTTGCCCCTTTTTCCCCCTTCCCCTATTTACCATCCCATCTATAATGACCACTGTTAATGTCTTTTCCTACCTCTTTCATCTTTTGTTTTAACAGCATATACTTTGCCCGTCAACTCTTTTTCTTGTCTTTTCTCTTCATCACTTCACTCCTTTTCCTATGTTTGGGTTCTTCGGATATATACATCCCTGGTCTTTCCTCTTCTCTACAGTCTTTACCTCGTTTCATTTACACTTGCACATACAGCCGTTTTGAATAACTGCTTCATTCTACCGGCATTATTCGACATAATCTACCAGACAATAGCTAGTTCTAATAACAAAGATCGACTTGAGCTGCGTCAGTCAGCGCTCAAGAATCCTCCGACTCTACCAACTTTCTCCGTCCATCCATTCATCCCTGTAACGCCTCAGCCGAGATGGCTCCCCACGACATCGCCATGGCATCCATCATTGGGCAAAAACAAAGGCAAAAGAAAGCTTTCGCAGCTGAGCTTCTTGACTCGTTATGCAACGGCGGTTGCATCCGAGGCGGATCCGCCAGTCAAAGTTTTCACCGGTAAAATAATTCTGGTTAAATATAACTAAATTACTAACAAACCAACGGCCAACTAGTTAGCGCATCTGCCGGCAAAGGTAAAGCTCTTTATTCGCTTCTTCCTTTTGCCTTTTTTGCATGGTTGTTGCTTGTCCGGTCAAAATAATCATATAACTATCTTTTCTGTGTGCGCTGATGGAAGTTTGGCCACTCGGATGCATATCACACCCCATTACCTGATATCAAATCAAGTATAACCTCGCCCGTGTGTTCGGAGTTGACATCCAGTATTTTTATTTCTATTCTATATATATCACCTTCCGCCGATTGGATCCTTCCGGTGGGTTTTTTTCGAAGCGCAGGTGGATAGCGAGGTCTTCATCCAGCATGACGCCCCCGAGCGCAGAAACAAGCCAAGCCGAAGTCGAGAGAGGCAGCCAGGAGAAGGACGCCCTCTCAGACACGGCGCTCCTGGTATGGCCGGTGTTTGATCCCCTTGGTCCCTTTGCTCTACCTTCGTCCTCCGTACTACCGCGAGGATGTGTGGGGATTTGCTGTCGTCTTGCCGTTTCATCATCGCATAACTGACCAGCCATATGTAGGAAACACTTGGGTATAAACCGGTATGGACGATTTCATGACCCCATACCAAGATGGAGATCCATCGCCCATCTCTCTGCTTCTAATCCACCACGGAGGTTCATGGAGATTGATTCGGGCGTACTATCGATTTAGGTCCTGCACCGCACGTACACGTTTCTGGAGAGTTTCGCAACGACGTTCGGTAAGATGGAAGAATCTCGTCGAAATACAGAGACTCGTTGCTAACACATGCGTTATAGCTGCACTGTACTTCGTTGGCGGAGTACGAGTGACATTCAGCACCGGCATTGCAGCTGGTGGAAACTTGGCTTATTGGTGAGTCTATGCATCTGCTGCATAACTGCATACCTTAACTGGTTGCTTGTATGCGGGGATATTATGAAACCTGGAATAGCTATTATTGACCTGGTTGATAGGACTAATTACTTGATTACCGCTGTCTTCACTGGGATCACTGCGTCAGTCATTGCGGAGATCTGTTCTGCTTTGCCGTCTGCTGGCTCAATATACCTCTGGGCTGCTGAAGCTGGCGGTCCCAAGTATGGACGACTGCTTGGGTTCGTCGTTGCTTGGTGGAGTACCACGGCATGGACGACCTTCTGCGCCAGTACGTAGCTACTATCACCTTTTTTTTTTTCTTTGCAAGAGTCTGGTTCACTGACTGATCTTCATAGGCAACACGCAATCAGCTGTAAACTACATTTTATCCGTATGTCCATTGATACCCGAGTGATCAACACAGTAGCTGACACTGTTTGAATGTAGGAATTGACTGTATTCAACGTTGATTTCCCCAAAAATGTCGATGATATCAAATTCAGGGCCGTCCAATGGATATGCACTGAGGCCTTGCTTGCTATTGCAGCCATAGTCAATTTCCTCCCTCGTAAGACCTCCCCTTGATTGGGACCCCATTTGCATTCAGAGCTGATATATTTTGCAGCACGGATGTTCAGATATGTCTTCTACCTCTCGTCTACCTTTGTTGTTTTAGATTTTTTGATGAACGTCATCTGGCTGCCAATCGGCGCTCATAATACCTGGGGTTTCCGCACTCCCCATGAAGCATTCTTAGCTACCTATAACGGCACCGGTGCTCCGGCTGGCTGGAATTGGTGCCTATCTTATCTTGCTACTGCTGGAATTCTGATTGGATTTGATGCTTCAGGCCATATTGCTGAAGAGACCAAGAATGCTTCTTTAACTGCGGCCAGGGGTATCTTCTGGAGTACTGTAGTCAGTGGAATTGGAGCTGCCTGCACAATCGTTCTATTCTTGTTCTGTGCGGTGAGTATACCTTGCTATTTGATATATAGAAAATTGGCTGCTAACGGGGTGCTGTTTGATAGCCCGACCCTCAGACACTGTTTTCATTCGGATCTCCTCAGCCCTTCGTCCCTCTCTATGCCGTTGTGCTAGGCCAGCGAGCCCATATTATTATGAATGTGGTGTGCGTCATCACCTACTGGTTTGTACGTATCCCATTTCCAATTCCCAAACCACACGACCCATACCCTAACGTCATCCAGAATACCACTATTGCCATCGTAGCTGCATCAAGACTTGTTTTTGCCGTTGCCCGTGATGGCGTCCTCCCATTCTCCAGTTGGGTCTCTCGTGTTTCTCCATCAGGCCAGCCCTATAACGCTATCAAGGTAGTCTGGGGTGTTGCTTCATTAGTAACATGCACCATCCTCCCATCAAACGTTGCATTCACATCTCTAGTTTCAGCCGCCGGAGTTCCCTCCGCAGCTGCATATGGCTTGATCTGTTTTGGACGCGTCTTCCTCACCCCGAAGAAATTCCCCAAGCCAAGATGGAGCCTGGGAGTTCTCAGTAAACCGTTTCAGATCATCGGAATCTTTTGGAACGGATGGGTCGTCGCCATTCTATTTTCGCCTTACATTTTCCCTGTCACTGGACAGACATTAAATTGTAAGTTTTCTTTCTTTATTTCTTTTTTTCCCGCTCCTGCCATTTCAAGTTGGGGAACTGTATCTGATACTTGACCCCACGCAGATGCTCCTATAATCCTAGCCGGTGTCACGATTATTGCATTAATATCCTACTGGGTCATCCCAGAGGAATCCTGGTTCCCGAGTGCACGTATCTCCAGATTTGTTGAGGGGCAACCCCAGGATCTTGTGAGTACGGAAGTAAAGCAGTGAGCTGCTGCTAGCTTCGTTTCAAAAGCAAGAAGTGATCCATCCACCACTGCATTTCTAAAAAGGAAGAGAAGGATATTAGAAAATAAAATTTAAAGGGACAAAAGAAATGGATATACAGAAAAGTAATGATGGAAGAATGTGATAATATATGTATATACATATATATGTAATCTAATTGTATATGACGCCCAAAAAATAATATGCTAGTTCCTAGATCGCGGAAAAGGAGAATATTCGTCCCACTGTTTCAGAACGCCCGTTCGTAACGCCGGGTTCGCAAGAAAATCTCAACTACTCCGTAGACTCATCAACTCCTTTCTTGGTACACACGGCTTGGTCCATGCTCTAGCTCTAGGGAGATCCGGAATACATATAGCCGTCCTTGGCTAAAACGAATAACAAGGGCAGGCATAGCTGCATTTTTGCCATCTAGGAGGCGGATATAACGGCTAGCTCTCCATATTCTCCACTCAAAGTTTTCTCCATCAAGCGGTGGTTTAATATATCCTTGAGTGATACCACGGAGCACAATGTGAAGGAGTCCAGGTTGAGGGCCAGTTTGGTATATAGTATCCCCACGGGGATCCCCTCGAGCACTTCAATCTGCATCGTGAAATGCACGGCTGTCTCGGATAAAATAGGTTCAAAGTTGACCGTCTATACCCGTTCATCGTACCTGATTCCGATAGATGAAGCCAGGTATGTATTCTTCAGCAGTAGATTGCTTGGGGTATACGGAGTACCTGCTGAGAGGTCCCAAGCTTTTCACCAGCAGCGAAGAGCCTTTGATGAGATTTGCGAGAGAGCATGTTATAAGTTCAACAGAATAAAAACCGCTTCTACTAGATGAGATGAGGAAAGTTCTCTGCCATGATGGGTAGTTGTCGGATCCAGCCCAGTAGCGAGCCCGGACATACAGCCGGCGGGCTTCCTTCGACTTCGACAGGAAATATAATTAGGAAGTCGACCCATGCAAAAGGGCTACTCACCATCACGTTCAATGACCAACATGTAGATACCAAACTTCTAAATTGCTAGAGGATTCTTCTAAATAGTTGCTCATCTCGATGGGCTGAGGTTCGGCGTTCGTGGCGGTTAACTATCAAAAGGGGCGCGGGAGTACCTGGCGCCACAGCCGGTGTTTACCCGCGGCCCGCGGCTAGCTGCATACTTCCCCGCAAACTATAGAACGACCACTATTAAGTAGGCTATTAAGACGTAAAGTCCTCTATCCAGCTTCTTCACCTTGATTAAAATACTTCACTACCTCACAGCTTAATCAATCATGTCCCAACCACAGGGCTCCAGACTAGCGAATAAAGTAGCCATCGTAACCGGTAACCACCCACCCACCACGCCTATACAATCGAGCACTCAATGCTAACATCATCCAACTAACTAGGCGGCGGATCCGGCTTTGGCGCTGCAATAGCCATACGATATGCCCAGGAAGGCGCAAAGGTCATAATAGGCGACATTAACGTCGAGGGAGGCGAGAAAGTAGTCTCCAGCAATCCCTCTAGCATCAGCTTCCAGAAGATGGACGTAACTTGCTCCGAAGACTGGAAGGCGGTTCTAGACCATGCGGTATCGAAGCACGGTAAGGTGGACATTCTTGTGAACAATGCTGGGACAACATATAAGAATAAGGTATTGTCGTACTTCTCAATAGCGTCGAACTCATTCAATGGGTAGATGGTTTTATTAACGATAACAAACACTCTAGCCGTCCGCCGAAGTTACCATGGAGGAATTCGAACGTGTGTTCAACGTTAATGTGAAGAGCATCTTCCTTGCCTCTCAACTGTTTATCCCGATCCTAATCAAGCAAGGACATGGCGGGTCGATGATTAATATCTCTTCGACGGGTGCCCAACGACCCCGTCCGGGTTTGGTATGGTACAATGCGTCGAAGGGAGCAGTGTCAAATGCTACCAAGGGTCTGGCGGCGGAGTACGGCAAGTATCAGGTCCGAGTGAATAATGTGTGTCCGTTGCTTTCGGGAACAGGTCTGTTTGAGATGTTCACTGGTATACCCGATACCCCCGAGAATCGACAGAAGTTTATTGATAATGTGCCTTTGGGGAGGTTGGCGGAGGCAGAGGACATTGCCAACATGTGTTTGTATCTTGGCTCTGATGAGGCGAAGTTTATTAATGGTGGAGATTTTGTCGTCGATGGGGGCAAATGTATTTGATTGGGTGGTTGATTGAATGGCTTATTGTTGGAGAGATCAATGAGCGAGTGAATGGTTTTCTTTTTCTTTGTTGACTTGTAAAAGCCATAAAATAAGTAACGGCGCACGAAGATGGAGACAGATAAAGAATGTTCGAGTCTTATATCCATAGCCATATTCATTTCGTAACACATACAAAGAATCATAAATGCACACTAACTGCGCCCTTTGTTTTTTCTTTTCCATCCAGCTATAAAACAAACAAGTAACACCATACAAAAAAACAAAGAACATATACATGGTGAAAGAGGGGGAATCGAATAAATATGTACGCGAATGTTATGTAAAAAAAAAGTCAAATCAAGCAAGAAATCAAAAAAGTCTGATTGGTTGGGCGACAAGGTCATTGCACTGTGGCCTTGAGTCGGTTTTGACTGCCAATCTCGACCAGAAGATAAAAAAGGGGCTTGGAAAATCAAGGGGAGGAAAACACCCCCCTATCGGCGGAAGAAGAAGTATGTTTCAACGGTGCAAATAGATACACAGCGAAGATAGATTTGATTCTCGTGAATACAGCTCTCTCTCAGGAAAAAAGTGTGAATGTAAGAAGAACAAGACTCCGACGATAGCCACCATATTGAAAGAAATGGGGCAGTTTAGAAGCGTCCATGACGGCGACGGTGACCACCGTGGCTGTGGCCGCCATGGTGGCGGAGGAGGTTCATGTCTCTCTTGGCTGGGGTGGGCTGGGCTGCGGGAACGGTGGCCTGGACAGTGGTGGTGACGGTCTTGGTGACGATGGCAACCTCATATACAGTACCGTCCTTGGTGAAAGTGGTGGTAGTGCAGTCGGAAGGAGCTGGGGGAGCCGGTGGATCGGATGGCTTTGGGGTGGTCACTGGAGCTGGGGGAGCTGGAGGGGCCTGGTCGGATGGAGGAGCTGGGGCAGCAGCAGGAGGAGCTGGGGCGGCTGGGGGGGTAGGGGTTGGGACATGAAGCTTTGGTCCGCCAGGGACTGAGACTGAGACGGAGACTTGTGGGACATTGACAACGGGTGCGTGGTGGCTGGTGCCGTCAACATATCCGGGTCCGGTAGAGACTTTGACACCACCGGGCAGACCGTTGGGGCAGAACTCGTACTCCTCAGCCTTGATGGATGGGGGAACATTCATCTTGCACTCGTTCTGTTTGGCCTGGTCCTGGATGTTAAAGACGTGGCAGTCCTCAAGAACTCCAGAGTCGTTAGTGCAAGTGTTGACAGCCTCCTGGAGCACACCATCATCCCATCCGTCAATGAAATCAGCGTGGTATCCGGCACCAGTTGGGTCACCGTTGGAGATGACAAACTTGCCGTCCATGCCGGCGAAAGGCTTAGTAACCCAGATGGTCTCGAAGAAGAGAGTGGGAAGGCGGGTGTCGAAGCCCTCAGGGCAGACGCCGCCGTTGATCTCGCTGGGGAAGGCGACGTGGGACTTGTGATCCTTGGAGTCGAGGTTCTTCCCGTCCCAGCAGGATGGGAACATGATTTCGAGACGAAGACCGTTCGCACAGGTATTATCAATGAATTGGCGTTCGGGGATAGTGTGTCTGTACATGGAGGCCTCTGGCGGGGCAGCGTAGTTCAGACAGTTGAAGCCGATGGCTTTTTGGCCGAGAGCGGTCTGAGTACTCTCCTCTTTGGTCCACTGGTACTTTGGAGGATCAGGCTGTTCGAATGGGAAATTGCGGAGCCCAGTGTCTCCAGAAATCATGCGGAAGCCTCGTGGGAAGGCCTTGATATCCTTTCCATAGAGGAGGTAGTACCTAGAAACGGTTAGTTACAGGCGCCTTGTGTACCAATGGAGTGAAGTAGCGCCAGAACATACACAAGGGTACCACCCAGCTGCTCAACAAGCTCAGCGGTTCCATTGGAGTGAAGGAAGTAGAGGGTGGGAACCCAGTAAAGAGACTTGTCCTGGGTAACAGCACAGGAAGTGCAGTCGGACTCAGCCAACTGGTCACCAGTAACGGTGAAATCGAAGTCTAAAACGGCATGTTAGAACTCATTCTGTCCCTTCTCTTCTTCCTAGTAAGGAGTAGAATAAGCGTACTTTTACCACCGTGAATGGTGTGGACGTGAGGCGAGAACTCTCCCGGGTTGACAATGGGGTCCATTCTGGCAAGACCGAGACGGCCCTGGCAAGGCATACGCCAGAACGCAGAGGCTGGAACAGCCATGGAGAGCACCGAAGCCGCCAAAGCGGTCAACTGAACGGAATGCATCGTGATCGAAATCCCTCCTCGGGTTCTTTTTGGATCTAGATGGTGGGTTTTCTAAGGGAATTCGTGACCCCGACCCAGTCGAGATGTAGATGTATGTATATCAACAAATGAGTGTATACACCAGGCGTTTCTCCAGTATGTACGTTTCTCCCTGGTATCGAGGCGAGCAAAGACAGTGGTTCTGATAGTCAATATCAGAGTAGTGTGTGTGTGCGGTAACTAAAGGAACGACTAGGCGGCGCGCGAAGGAGTGTAGACGTCTAGCTAGACCAGACAACAAGCGGCACTGCCAGATAAACAGAGACAGAAAGAGAGAGACGAAGTAGAAAAGAAGAGAAGAGGAAGAAGAAGAAGAAGAAGTAAAAGAGAGACAGAAGAGAGCCGGGCCTGCGATGGTTGATAAAGAGGGAGAGTAAGCCCGAGGGGCGCAGGAAGCAAAGGAAGAAGTAGAAAAAAGACGCCCTGGCGCCGCTAGTCCCAAAGCGGGCAACAGTGAAACAGCCCAACCGCCGATCTGACACAGTTCAATTAAAAACCGCGACACCCTCCATATAATTAACTGGCGACGGTGACATGCGACCCAGTCACAGGAGAGCCACGACAGAGACAGATGGCTGGCAAGCGGCAGACAACCACAGGCCGACACATGGCCAGATGGGCAGATATACAGACAGACAGATGGATAGACAGACAGACATACGGTGAGCCAGACGGAGACGGACGGGACGATGAGCTGGCCATAGTAGATGAAGGTTCTGTTCCTGCGTTGGCAGTGTCCCTTGGCCCAATAACGCCTCTCGATCGTCTCTTCAACGCCGATTCGCGGGCATCGTGCCCCTGGGGCGGGAAGTATCATTTCTCAGGCCTTGTTCCTGCGCGCAGGGGGGTGGACAGTCGTGGACCAGGCGAGTGACCCCTGGTCCGGCGCATAGACATGCCAGAGACGTCACTGACTGGCTGTGAGGATATGTTCCGAATACTTTATGCATGACATATAGTCGAGTTTTCCCCCTCCCTTTCAAATGGCAGCCCGGTCCCTTGTATTCCCGTCCAGGGGTGCCGTGTCAGAGTCAACCACACCCGCTGGCTGCAGCCTTTCCCTTCGCTTCTTTACTCCTCGGGACGGATCGACGGGTGAAAAGGGTGGTTGACACGGCTTAAGTTAAAAGGGGGCTCCATCCGAACCAGAGATCTTCTGTGAAATACGGCAGTTATACGCTCCCCCCTCGCTGCTCAGCCATAGCATGGCCTTGCCTCCCAGGAACATCAAAAAATGAGAGACTCCAGGATGGAGAACTCCGCGGCTTAGTGCGAGAACGAGAGAGAGATAGCGCCCTGCCAAGTGCTTGCCGGTCTTCCTTTCCCCTCCTCCGACAGGGGTATATACTTAAGTATAGTAGAAGGATTTATTTTTGAACTCTTTTTTTGAGTGAGATATTGATTATATTCATGGACACTCGCTAAAAATCTATCCCGGTACCCAGCCAGCTTATGGCGTGTGCTATAGACCAGGGCCACAATGAGACGTGGGGGCCGGGGTGTTTTAATAGTAACCACGACCTTATTATAACATGCTCTGGCTCGACCATGGCAAGCGAGCTCTCGCTGCACATGCGCATGAAGAAACAAAAAATAGGACTGTCGACTGAGAATAGGCGCTGTCGATAAGAGGCCAAAACTGGCTGGATGGACAGGTCATCGTGTTAAGAAGGATTCGCCTTAATTGCATGACAACGTTTGCTCCACCATGCACGACGACCTCTGGCCAATCGAGGCGTGATCAAGGCAATCGATACGTCACCACCGTTTGTTTCTTCTGATACGGCAATTTTCGCTGGGCTATTTTTGTTTGCCCTTTCTTTGGATATCTCGTCGGTATCCTCTGAATCCTGCATTCACACGGTTATCTTTCCTATCCGGCCTGCCTTTCTATTTCCAAGCAAACGGCTGCCGTTGCAAGCTTCCAAAACTTCCATCGATGTTCCGTATTCCATCCAACTTTCTTTCCGCCACCGCCATCATCGCACTTCGTACGACTTCCCAGCTAATCGCCATGCTTTAAGGCTTAAGCCACACCGTCAGCTAATCAGCCTCCAAGCCCCTGCAACGCAACGGCAGATCAGGCTAGGGTTAGCCGAAGTGGACGGAGTTATGCAAAGTATTATTGAATGATTGTCATCTTCAGCGTAACTGCCTCGTGTCATAGCATACTCCGTACAGTCGTTTCTCATCATCCAAGACTAATATAAGCCAGGGATCGAAGATGAAGAGGCGGCTGGGCGGTCGGGCTCAGATTCACACTGCCTTGATCCCAGATTCATAGATAGGCCCGTCTTGATCTTGAGAACTTGCCGCAGAGACTACCATTTCTTACATGCGCATAGGAAGCAACTGAGAGAGAGAAACATGAAGAAACAAATTTTAGCCCATCATTTTTTAGGTCGCTTATTTACTTTACATACAGGTAGTTACTACTGCTAACCCCCCGTAGTCACCGTAGACGTGCTGTGCCCTCTTGGGACGAAAGACCGAATTTTTCCGGGATGAACGGGCGCTTCTTTGGCCTTTCGATTCTCTTTCCCTTTTCCGCCATGCCCTGGTGCTGTAGAGCTTTGTTCATCCACAGTGGTCGTGGCCGGTATCTTTTGGCCCCGGGGGAAACTGGGAGCTTTGGGACCTCGTCGACAATCCATTCCTTTTCGAGGGTTGGGTTATTGGCTCTGTAGCTGCCTGGGGTTGAAGTAACAAGCATAAGAATAGAAAAAACACTGACACACACAAGGGAAAGACCGAAGGAATCAATAAATAACAAAGACAAAAAGAAAAGGAAAGAACCAGGGTGAGTTTTCACCAGTGATGGGCAGGATAATGTTATCTTTTGACTGAATGAAAAAAAAGAAAGGAAAGGAAAACAAATGTCACTCGAGTTGGGACCCAGCCCGTACTCATTTCAACGTTATTTGGAAAAACGGTTAAACACATCCCATTTGCCTCCATTGTCCTTATCCTTACCTTTGTCCTTGCTGCTATCCCCTTTCTTGTCTACATGAGACCTAAGATTGTACTCTTTGGTATTGGTGGGGAGTGTGTTAGCTTTCCCTTTCCCTTTATCCTTAGAGCCTGAGTCGTCTCTCCCAGCTTGTCTGTCTGGGGACCCTCCTTGCCTCGATCCCATGGATGGATAATTTGGCGGGTTTGCTACCCGGATCTGAGACGGATCTCTGGATGAGGATTGGTATTGCCCAGGTGGTGGTGGTGGCCGATGTGGTAAGGTAGTTTCCCTTGTCTGTGAGAGAACCCTGGGTGGAGATTGGCTCGTAGGATATGGTGCATAAGGTGAAGGGGATGTTTCTCGCACTCCGGGGTGGCCTCTAGACTGGGGTTGGTGTTGTCCAACTGGGGGTACTGGACGCCGTTGAGGTGACGATGAGACTGGATAGCCGTGGCCCTGACGCTGGGCTGCTCCTCGCGTAGGGGTCTCAACATTTGGAGCAGATGCAGAGCCTGAGTCGTCACCATAGTTGGCTTCATCGATGGGTTCAGGATCTCGATATTCCCTGTTAAAAGCAACCCTTGGCTTGGAGGGAGCGGTGTTGTCAGATTTTCGTCCTCGAGACGCAGAAGATTGCAGAGGCGCAGGGATTTGACCGCGTGACTCATCGTCGCTTGACTCGGATTTATATACTTTCAAAAGTACAGGAACCTTTTGACCGTTAAATACAGCGTAGGTCTTTCCCTTCTCAGAAAATATCTCGCTCGACTTAAACTGAAGGACTGCCATATACGTGTCTCCATTTGAAGTTCGGTGTAGCTCCATGGAGTTTATGTTGGAAGATGATTTCCTTGGGAACATAGGGGACTTGGATATCATATGTAGAAGTCTCTCGGGCGTCTCAACTGTATCTCGGGCAGGTGTAAAATATTCAACCCTATCCCGCGGAGTTTGATCGTCAACCCATGTATCTAGTTCGGTAGGATTTTGGGCAATGTGTCCCCCATCGCAGGTAGCACGCATAAGATAGTACATGCATTGCCGTACAGTAACAACAGGGTAGCCTTTGCTTTCGTCCGCAACTGCACTATAATGAATCGGAGGGCTGATATAAAGGGCCCATTCGGATGTTTTCTCTATTGGCCCTTGCTTTATGAAAATTGTGTCGTTATAAGTAGTGAGGAAGCCGTATTTCATTTGGTAGTGATGCATGTACTGTGCAATTTGGCCTTAAAAGGTCCGAGTTAGCGATCCTGATACTTTATCAGTGGAGGAATATTGAAGCATACCGAGAGCATGTCTTAACCAGGATTTGGATATGGTGGAGGGATCATTAGAAAAATAATCTCTATAAGCTGACTGGAGATTATGGTTCCAAGGCGTCTTTGCTTCTCCAACAAACATCATCTCAGGAATATCCTTGGCTGAAAGCTCGTTTACTTTTGTGGCAGTACAGTGCACAGCAACAAAATCCGGGATAAGCTTCTTCTTAGCCTTTGATTCGGCGGAGACTTTGAAATCTCCAAACCGGGTTGTAATGTTGTTCGCAAATGCAACAGCCGTCACAGGTGTTAGCACATTTTGGGCAAACCGCCCACAGACAGACTGTTCGTCGCCACAGAGGTAATGTTCATGGTATAAACTATATAGCCCCCGTGACTCTGTGGAAATTTTTTTTGGATCGAGAGAACGGTTGCTGGAGTATTTGAGCGCTGCTTGAGTGAAATCCCATTTGATCACTTTCCCATTGTAGTAGATCTTATGTAGGGCACCGGTGGTTGTTCGAAAATTTTTGTGGGTGAAGAGGGCTGGGGGGGCGCGGGAGAGTATTTGATGTCCATCATGAGCGTCCATCGTAAGCGACAGACAGCTATGTCAAGGCTTGTTCCGGGGGTAATAGGATAGCAACTTGCTTGAATAGGAATAGATGTATGGTGAAGGGGAGCAAATGCAGTGAATTGATGCAGTAGACTGATGAAGAGGACTTATGAAGTGGACTGGTGAAGTGTATTGAAGAAGAATGAATCGATGAGAGAAGTGAATTATACCTCTTATTTATAACTTTGAGCAGTGAGCTGTCCAAAGATGAATACTACGCAGTCATAAGGGCCAGCGCGTAATGATTGGACATGAAGAATCAATAATTCTAGGCGCTTTTCGCATGCATGATGTTTGGCCTTGTCCCACAACAAGCGCTTAAAAAGCGAGTAAAAGGAACGGAGAACCAGTCAATGTATGTTGGTAAAAGTAGTATGAACGGAGAGCCAGTCAATATATGTTGGTAAAAGGCAAGTTCCTATCTATAGCTACTGAGCGGGGTATAATGCATTGAATTAAGTGAAACGGCCCCCGCTAGTACCAACTAATGGAGACCATTTCCTAGGGTATCATCCAAGAATATTTCTATTATCAATGACATAAGAGAAGTGATACTTCGACCTAGAACATTCTGTCATCTTGATAAAACCATTTTCTTGAATCCAAGTCCAAATAAACATACCGTCGAATGGCGGTATACCTAGGTAGGTGTAGCTCCTAGAGGATAGCTGTGATAATAGGTTGAGGCAAAGCAACCAACCGGCCCGAGGGAAGGAGTTCATCCTTATTGTCCAGGAGCGCGAGAAAGAGGCTGAAGTCGAGGAAAGTTCAGTTTGTTAAGCGCCGGCGCTAGTAAGGTTATGGAATATTACATAATCCAACTTTAAGCTCGCGTCCTGACTGGCTAGCTAAATAAGGCAACATCAAGACCAAGCAAGCAGCAACTTCTTTGGCGCCTTTGACTATCTCCCTCTTCCTCTATTCAACATACTCGGGGCACGCTGTCTCTCCCTATTACCGTTATTTTTACACTGTGTACGGCCTTTTCTATTACAGTACACCATGGGCCGCGATGAACCAGAATGGATAGGTGACCGCTTTGAGGACTGTATGGTCGAATTCCCAGATGGAAGCCAGTGGAAATTCGGTGAAAAGATTAGTGAGAAGTGTGGTGACTTCTATGCAGATCGAAAGATGGAGATAGTTCTTTCGGAGTCTCAAGCAGTATATCACTGCCACCAGCAAGAAGGCCCGCGAGTGGGTTTAGAAGCCATCCTCAAAGTTCGCATGCAGTAAGCTATGAAATACCCTTTTGAAATATGATACACACACTGGGGTAGATATTGAAAGGTCTCATAGGGTCCCGTCAGAATATCCTGCACACCCAGATCCCTTCGTACGGTCACAGGAAGCTATGAGACGTGGTGTCAGCGGCGCAACATCTACGGAATTGAGAACCCTAAAGTATTTGAATGAAAAAGGCTGCACTGTAGTCCCACGTCTTCTAAACTCCATTACCTATTCTCAGGACATATCCATGCTCGTACCCAAGGGTTACCTTGTTATTCTAGTTATGGAGAAATGTCCTGGAGTTGTGCTATCTGATTTTTGGGACTACGAAAAACCAAAAAGGGATAAAATACGGAAGGCATTTCGGAGAGATTACAGGTATAGGTAGACCTATTCCCACTTTTTCTGCCTAAATTAACCTCCTGTGGTAGAGAACTCATATCATACTCTGCCCACGCCACCGATCCTGGTCTTCGAAATATCATCTACGATGAAGTGGAAGATAAATGGTACACCCCCTTCGCTCTAAGGCATTAGTTTCTAATGCTAATATAATATAGTTGGTTTATTGACCACGAACACACGTCTATATTAAAGTCAGATAAGGAGGAAGCAACATCAGAGAATCTACCGGTGAGGAGGTCAGATTTTGTGAGGTGGGAGCTTGAGAACTGGAGGCCTGAAGACTATGAGATGAGTGGTCAGGACTATGACAAACATGACGACTCCGACTCCAGCTAAGAGTACAAAGCGTTTCCAGACAGTACCTAATCGATATACTTTCTCCTATACATCTTAATAATGTCTCTTCTACTTGGCTGCGTGGTATTTACATTTTACAATCAGAATAAATTTTGAGTGCATAGTCCATTCAATGTTATACTATTTCACTATGCCATCCGCTTCTCTCTTCACTCGCGCCTTCCGTTAACATTCTCAGGACGCACTTTATCTCCTTTGATTATCACCTATATACAACTCCTTCCATCTCCCTACAACATATGCTGAATTATGGGATGTTAGATAGACGTTTTCCTAGATAGCTTTACAATCAAATGTCCAGATAGCAGCAGCTGGAGGTTTAGTGAGAAGATTAGCGAAAGGTCATTTGAGAGTTTACGATGTACTAACTACCTAAGTTATTTGTAGAAGCCTAGGTAGTCACTAGTTATAGCACGGTTGGTTAACTATTCATGCAACATGGCCGTAGACAAGGCTGGAACTAGATATCAACACTTCAGCCTAGATAGTCGCAGGCCTAGAATAACTAAAAAAATGCCTTGTAACCAGTTATCTGATAATTAATACGTAAGAAGATGTCTTTTGATAGTCTTTGATAGTTTTCAGCTCGCTTGGATCACATGATGCATCTCAAACCGTCACAAAAACAGCAAAAAAACGTCGACCGTCAACCTCAAGTTTAACCACGACAACTGCTACTACAACATTATAATCACCGTCTATCATCAGTATCTTCATCAGCATCACTGAATTCCTGACTTACTGATATAACTAGGGAGTTACCGATCAAGCTGTACTCCCCCAACCGGTGATGATGGCATTTCTGGTCTTGTCTTACGCGAGCGGGCAAGACAAACACGCTCAGGTAGTACAGACCCTCAGCTAAGAAATTCAGCTGGACACACCATGCCTGGGCTGACCAAAGACGAGCTTTGCTGGTGACTTGGCCAGTCAGGGGCAGCTGTGGCTTGCTTGCCGCTGGGCAGCTGCAGCTTGAAGGCGACCATGAGGGGGAAACCTCGCCTAGCCATGCCTTCAGGCAGCGATAACCACCAGACATCCAGACATCGCTTTCTTGCATCGTCTAGCAGCGACCTTTGTTTGGCTGCTGCCTTATGATACCTCAGCTCCCCGTTACATCATCAAGGGCCAGAAGCAATGCTGCTGCACAGGGCTGCAGCCTGGTCCCGCGCGAGTTCGGATCGACTGGATGGAGAGCTCATGATGGCCGTCTTTGAGTTTGCTGCTGCCGAACTGGAGCTGCGGAAGGCAGCTCTTCCATGGCCATGCAGCTGCAGCTGATATCGAGGGGAGCGGGGAAGGGACCACCATGGGCTACCGTCCACCCCGTCGATCTGGCTATAAAAACAGGAGAGGAGAACCGCCTTGTTGCTTGATCATGACTATTCAATCAAGTCACAGCTGCGGTGATCGCAGCATCTGCATGAATCAGCTGTGTTGACCTGTTTGCAAGAATATTCTCCCTCTTTAGTTACCACCTCTGGGTGTTAATATATAACCTTCCATATCACCCTTGACAAAGTAACAGATACCCTCTATCCACCATCAAGAAAGTGTTTGCTAAAGCACATCCATACCTACTGTTTTCCAACCTGATACATCCCGTTGCAAGTTGAAAGGACCAGAAGCAACCATGCCTGTCATCTCGATCAACGGAAACGACCTTAACCCTGAAAACCAGGCCCCTGTCCTCCGGGCTTTTGGCCTCGAGGCGGAGGATGCCTCCAAGTCCAACTACATTCTCATCCAGACCAAGGAGTTGCTCGAAGATGAGCAGGAGGACGAGCTCGAACGCCTGGGCGTTGACATCCTGGAATATGTCTCACCAAAGACATACCTCTGCTGCTACAAGCCAACTGACTTGGCTGCCATCCGCTCCCTCCCCTTCGTGGCATGGGCAAACGTGTACATGGACATGTTTGTTGTCGAGTCAAGCATGAAAACCGCGCCTACCTCCAATACTGTGGCTGGCTTCGCCAATGCTGTACCGAAGTCTGCCCGCCGTCGCATGGTGGACGTTATTCTTCACCATGATGTCGATGCTACTTCCAAGGAACTTCAGGAGGAGCTCAGCATGGCTACGAGGGCTGACATCTCGTCCATGAACGTTGGGGCTAAGAAGATCCGAATGATGGTTCAGAACCAGCATTTGGATGAAGTTGCTGCCATCGACGGCGTACGAAGCATCCAGGAAGTGCATCCAGCTGTGCTGTTTAACAATAAGGCTGTTCCTATCATCAAGGGCGATGCAGACACGAGTGGAGACCACCCGATTGGGACTACTGAGACGAAGGAAAAGGCCAGTGCGTTACCATATGAGGGAGAGGGACAAATTGTTGCCATCGGAGACACCGGATTCGACAAGGGCAGCACAACCGATACCCATCCGGCCTTCAAAGGCCGTGTTAAGCATCTGTATGCCCTTGGACGTACAGAGCCAGCCAGATCCGATGACCCAGACGGCCACGGCACGCACGTCTGTGGCTCTGTCCTTGGAGACGGATTCTCGGAGAAGATGGGCGGCAAGATCCAGGGTACAGCACCCAAGGCCACGCTTGTTCTGCAGTCTCTGCTGGACAGCCAGAATGGACTTGGTGGGATCCCGGACGATCTCACCCAGCTATTCATCCAGCCATACAAGGAGCAAGGCGCGAGAATCCACACCAACTCCTGGGGCAGCAACGCCCCCGGCCGCCAGCTGCCGTACAACATCAACAGCGAGGAGATTGACCGGTTTGTGTGGGAGCACCAGGATATGGTCATCCTGTTTGCAGCGGGCAACGCAGGAGTCGACGCGAACCAGGACGGAATCAACGACAAGAACCAGATTGGCGCGCAGGCAGCAGCCAAGAACTGCATCACGGTTGGAGCCAGTGAGAACGACCGTCCAGACATTGTGACGACGTATGGCCGCTGGTTCCCCAACAAGCCATATAACACCGATAAAGTAGCCGACCACCCGAACGGGATGGCAGCCTTCAGTTCCCGCGGACCTACCAAGGAAGGACGCATCAAGCCTGACGTCGTTGCGCCAGGCACATCCATCCTCTCGACGCGCTCGTCCAAGCTGCTGAAGCCTAGCACGACCTTTGGCACGAGCAACGATCCAGACTGGTTCTTCAACGGCGGCACGAGCATGGCCACTCCGCTGGTAGCTGGCGGCGTGGCCCTGATCCGCGAAGCCCTGGTCAAGAACGGAAACAAGAGCCCCTCCGCGGCACTGATCAAGGCGATGCTGATCAACGGCGCCGTCGAGCTTCCCGGCCAGTACGTGCCCTCCGAGGCTGGTCCCTCGCCCAACAGCAGCTCAGGCTACGGCCGGGTCAACCTGAAGAACTCCATCTCGAAACCCGACGAGCCCACGGCCGGATACCGTGAAGCAGGGCCTCTGACCCAGGGCCAGACCGACTCTAAGCTGGTCATCAAAGTACCTAAGAGCGGCTCGACGCTGAAGATAACACTTGTCTGGACAGATCCCGCTGGAGCCTCTCTGCAGAACGACCTGGACCTGATCGTGACCGCGTCCGACGGCAGTGAGCGGCACGGCAACATGGGGGAGACAAAGGAGTTTGACCGCACGAACAACGTCGAGCAGGTGGTGTGGGCCAATGTGCCTAGCGGCGAGGTGAAGGTGCAGGTTCGCGCATTCCATATCTTCAAGCGGCAGTTTGCGCAGCGCTTTGCTGTTGCCTGGAGCTTGAAGTAGGCAGACGTTTGCTTGTTTGCAGTGAAATATCGTGTTCGGGTCAGTTATGTTATTCTTGATAGTGGTTTGAAGTAGTAATAGTGATAGCCAATGGAACTGGCATTCCCATAGCTACATCCAGACATCCAAACCTCTCTATATTTCTTTGTCTTATGTCTCTTTGTCTTTATCTCTTTGTCCTATATCTCTCTAGTATGAATCGTGAATACGAACACCCTGTGGGGCATTCCGGCGTCAGATATATATAGCCGGCTATCCGGCGTACAAGCATCTCAGCATCTACATCTACGCCGATATAAGTATATCTACATATATATTTCATCTATATCTATATTACTATCCACATCCACAGTATAGTTATAGAAGACGACGAGATGAGCCAGCCAAAGCCAACGGTCCTGTACGTCGGCAACCCGATCCGCGGCCTCCCGCAGCGCTGGGACGAGCTGTCCGCGCGCTTCAACGTCCTCCACTACCGCTCGCTGCCGCTGCCCGAGCTGATCCATGAACTGAGCACGCCCGAGGGCAAATACAGCAGCATCGACGCCATCTTCAGGCCCAACAACACGCTCACGGACAACCTCCCGCCGCTAGACGACCGCCTGATCCCTCACCTGCCTCGTTCACTCAAGCTGATCGCATCCGTCAACCACGGCTACGACAGAGAAGACACCTCTGCCCTCGCCGCACGCAAGATATGGTACTGCAACGGAGCCGGCGCAGCAAACGACTCAACGGCCGACCTGGCCCTGTTCCTAATCATAGCCTGCTTCCGCCATACTACCGTCTGCGAGCGCACGGTACATACTCTACGGCGCGGGAACTTCTACGACATCGAGGAGCAGGTAGGGAATGTAGCGCAGAACCCGCGCGGAAAAGTGCTGGGTATCGTGGGGCTAGGGGAGATTGGAGCGGCTGCTGCGACCCGGGCGATGGCGCTGGGCATGAAGATACATTACTTTGGTCGGCGGCGGAAGAGTGAGGATGTCGAGCGGGCGTTGGGCGGTGCGGTGTATCATGGGGAGCTTGCGAGTTTGCTGGGCGAGGCGGACTGTGTGCTGCTGGCGTGTCCGCATAGCGAGGAGACGCATCACTTGCTGAATGCGAGGACGTTTGGGATGATGAAACGGGGAGCGAGGGTGGTGAATGTTGGACGGGGCAAATGTGTGGATGAAGAGGCGCTGGCGGATGCGATTGAGGCGGGCATCGTGAGTGCAGCTGGCCTGGATGTGTATGAAGAGGAGTACGTTTGATATCTTCTTTTAACTACTTGACTGGGAGGAGTTGCTAACTGATGGACAGGCCGAAGATCAACGAGCGGCTGCTGGATAGCTGGAGGGTCACTTTGACGCCGCATATTGGAGGAGCCACGATTGATACTCAAGCAGTAAGTCTATCTATCTTCTGTCTATCTATGAATAAGGATATTGACTGTGGTAGAACTTTGAGAAGATCGCGATGGACAACCTGGAGGCCTTTTTCTTTGGTGACGGCAAGCCTGTGACTCCAGTGAACAGAGTGGAACAAGCTGGAGTACTTACTGGGAGATATTGATAGACATTGAAAGGTATTGGTTATAAATTGTCAATTGGTAGTATTTGGTAATTGGTAGATTGGTAGAATTGGATATGGACGGCTATAGATAGACTATGACGTAGTAGCAGCATCAGCTCGCATCTATCAAAAGGAATATAAACAACTCCACAGCCTGTCATTTTTTCCGCAGAAGCTGACGAAGATGTCGACATATACCCTATACCCATAGACAGGAGAAGAAGGAGATAGACAGAGATAGAAGACAGAGAAAGACGATATGATGGACGACAAACTGCGGGCGTACGGGCTGCGGCCTGAGTCTCGCGTGCTCATCATCATGACCGGCGGCACCATCTGCATGCGCCCGTCGCCCTCAGGCTTCGTCCCAGCACGAGGCTTCCGCGAGGCCGTCCTCGAGCCGTCGCCGACCTTCAACGACGGCAGCGCCCCCGGCCAGCTCGAGGTCGTGGTCAACAGCGCCGGGGAGCGAGCCAGCCACGTCTCGCTGCGCACTCCGGCCAGCAGCTACGGCACCCGGGTGCGCTACGCCGTGTACGAGTTCGACGAACTGCTCGACAGCAGCTCGATCGACGCCAAAGGATGGGCGCAGATCGCGCGCGCGATCGCCTGGAACTACAAGCTGTTCGATGCCTTCGTGGTGCTGCACGGCACCGACAGCCTGGCCTACACCTGCTCGGCGCTGAGCTTCATGCTGCAGAACCTGGGCAAGCCGGTGATCCTGACCGGCAGCCAGACGCCCATGCTGCAGCTGCAGAACGACGCGGCAGACAACCTGCTGGGCGCGCTGGTGGTGGCAGGCCACTTCATGGTGCCGGAGGTGTGTCTGTACTTTGACGGGCGACTGTTCAGGGGCAACCGGACGACGAAGGTCGCGGCCAGCGACTTTGCGGCGTTTGCGAGTCCGAATGCGCCGCCGCTGGCGACGACGAGCTCGATGAAGACGGACGTGGCGTGGCATCTGGTGCGCAAGCCGACGAGCATCGAGCACTTCAGGATCCGGACGAACCTGGACACGACGCATGTTGCGTGTCTGCGTATCTTCCCCGGCATCCAGCCTGAGATGGTCGACTCGGTGCTGAAGCTGGAGGGCCTCCGGGGGCTTGTGCTGGAGACCTTTGGCGCCGGCAATGCGCCCAGCGGACAGGACAACAGGATGACCAAGGTGCTTGCCGACGCCATCAAACGGGGCATAGTCATCGTCAACGTTACTCAATGTAGGCTCTCTTTTACTCTATACTCTACGTTCTATGCTAATGATCGTGATACAGGCCTCTCTGGGAGCGTCTCGCCCGTGTATGCCACCGGGATGACGCTCTCGCGCGCCGGCGTCGTGGCTGGCGGCGACATGACGACGGAAGCGGCCCTGACGAAGCTGGCGTACCTGCTGGCGATGCACGATGCGACGCCCGAGTCCGTCGCCAGGGACATGTCGCTCGACCTGCGCGGCGAGCTGTCCGACCACCACCACCCGCTCTTCCGGCACCCCGACGGCGCCCTGCCCGACCGCGTCAAGAGCCTGACGGCGCTGGGCTATGCCATCTCGCACGGCGACCTCGCGCAGGTCACTGACATCATGCGCGGCGGCCAGGAGTGGCTCCTCAACGACCACGACTACTCCGGCAACACCCCTTTGGTACGTCTATACTTACCCTACGCATATATAGTTAACTATATGTTAATGAGAGTAGCACCTCGCGGCGACGTCCCCTGAGATCTCGATCCTGCGGTACTTCCTGCTGCACGGCAGCTCCGTCCACCTGCGCAACAACACGGGCAAGACGCCTCTCTTCCTCGCGGCCAACGCCGGCCTGGTCGACCACGTCGAGCTGCTGCGTCGCTCGGGCGCCCACCTGCACGCCGACGAGCTCGCCGTCGCCGAGCTGCACGCCAGGCGCCGGCCGGACATCTGGGCCATGGCGGGCGTCGACCTGCCCAAGCTGAACAACGCAGACGCAGCCGTCAACAGCAGCAGCAATACCAACGGCAGCAGCAGCAGCAGCAACGGCACCGGCAATGGCAAGGGCAAGGACTGATGTATGTAACTAGATGCTACAGCTGACGCTTCACGACGCTACGTATAGACTGAATATTAAGACAAGACGAGACTCTTATCTCCTGCCCCCTGCCCCTGTCTACTACTAACTACGCGGCTGCCCACGCTTGGAATCTGGGGGATCTTCGGCTCCTCGAGCTGTTCCTGATTCTAGTCCTGGATCTAGTCTTGCTCTGCCGCTGCTCCTGGTGAAACGAGGCCTGGCAGGAGTTCGTCGGTTACTTTGCTAGTTACAGATTGGCCGGCGATAGTGATAGAGATAGAGACAGAGATAACCGAGGAAGCCTTGGGCCTCGCAGCTGATTCTAGATAGTGAACCGTAGATAGAGGCGAGAGATAGTAAATGCTTCTCTTCTTCTCTTCTTCTTATTCTCTTCTTCTTCTCGTATATAACATCGTCTGTCGCTTTTCGTCTTCTCTTGCCCCTGACTGTCTTTTTCTCCACTGCGCATTTTCTACTTCGCACTTTCACTAAACCTCGACAGACAGACACACGACAGGCAAGAGAAGGACAAGAGAAGGACAGAAGAGAAAGAGAACAGAAAGAGATAGCCTTGGACACAGCCTGGACACAGCGCGATCGCACATGGAGCATCCTGGCGTCGGGAGCGCCGTCCAGCCATCGTAACGCCGTCGAAGCTCGCCTCCCTACAAGGCACACTCGAGACAGGAAGAAGAGAACAAGAGAAGAAGAGAAGAGCTGATGAAGCTGCCTCGCTCGCTGGATACTCCTTGACCTCTTGAGTCCATCTATACCAGCTGCTATCACCAAGTTACTGTCAGTTACTGTGAGTTACTGTTCATCTACAGGTAAGACCAACCCCTCCGTGACCAGCACCACCACTAACAATCAGTTATACAGACAGACACAGATACTGAAATAGAAGAGAACATCCGAATGCCACAGGCCAAAACCATTGCGATCGTCAATGCCACCGGCCGTCAAGCCGCGTCCCTCATCCGCGTCGCTTCGGCCGTCGGATACGCCGTGCGCGCCCAAGTCCACACCCTCGAGGGCGTCATCCCCCAGGAGCTCGCCAGCCTGCCCGGCGTCTCGCTCTTCCAGGGCCCGCTGCTCAACAATGTCGCCCTCATGAACACCCTCTTCAAGGGCGCCACCCACGCCTTCATCAACACCACCTCCCAGGCTGGCGACGAGGTGGCCATCGGCCGCGCCCTCGCCGACGCCGCAAAGCGCGCAGGCTCCATACAGCACTACGTCTACAGCAGCATGCCAGACCACTCCGTCTACAACCCAAACTGGATCAGCCTGCCGCTCTGGAGCTGCAAGTTCGCCGTCGAGAACTACGTGCGCCAGCTGGGGCTGCCTGCGACCTTTGTGTATGCGGGCATATACCACAACAACTTCACTAGCTTGCCCTACCCGCTGTTCTGCATGGAGCTGATGCCCGATGGAGGCTTCGAGTGGCGCTCTCCCTTTCTACCTGACATTCCGCTGCCTTGGCTGGACGCTGAGCATGACGTTGGGCCGACGGTGCTGCAGCTCTTCAAGGACGGCCCTAAACGCTGGAACGGCGACAGGTAGGTCTTACCTCAATAACGATTACTGTCTATATATACGTGCTAACATGCTGTAGAATTGCGCTGGCTTTCGAGACGCTGACGCCACGCCAGGTATGCGCTGCCTTCTCCCGCGCCCTCCAGCGTCCCTGCAGATACACCTGGTGCCCCAAGGTCGAGATCAAAGTGTCCGTCCCCTCCGGCTACCGCGAGCAGCTGGAAGGCATCGAGATCCTCTTCGGCCAGATGAAGGCGCCTTACTTCCCCAACCCGGAGTTCCACACTCCCGCGCGTCTGGCGGGCTCAGAGAAGCCTGTCCTGCTGGAGCCAGGGCCGGACGGGGTGGTTCCTTCGCCTGTGGTCGACGAGGCGCGCAGTCTGTGGGAAGGATGGCGGAGCATGGAGGAGTATGCGCGCGAGGCCTTTCCCGTCGAGGAGGAAGCCAACGGCCTGGACTGGATGCTGTAGTCTCTTTCCCTCTTTACCATCTCTTGCCATCTATACCCATAAAAGTATTCTCTTTTTCTTCTCTTCATCTATTCTTTATACCTACTTTTTCTATGTCTACTTCATCTTCTCTAAGTCCGAGCTAAAGCCGCCAAGTTGGCTTAACTAAGAAAATTTGTTACTTCGACTTTTTCCCACATTCAACTTTTCCTCGTCTTCATCGTCTTTCTATCAATTGTCAATTGCCCATCGAGCAGCTCATCGTCCATCTCTAACTACGCCTGCGACAGCTGCCACGCGAAAAAGGAGAACAGACAAGATGGCTGATAGCGACGACCAGGTGCCGCTGCTCGAGCGAGTCGAGATGCCCAGCAAGCTTCCCAAGGAGCTACAGCGCAAGATGACCTTGCTGCAGGACGAGTTCGCCGACGCCCAGGTCGAGCACAGTAAGTAACAGCTTATACTTATATCGATGTATTACAATTATGCTTAGTTATTGTCTATTGTTCTATGATGGTTTGATGGTTTGATGGTTTGACTGATGGCGATGGATGCTGTAGTGCGCGTTGGCGTGAACATCATGCGCCCCGTCTACGCCAAACGCAACGAGCTGATCGCCTCCAAGCTCAAAGACCTCGACTTCTGGCCTCGCGTCTTCTCCAACCTGCCCGCTGAGGTAGACGAGTTCATCCTCCCCTCGGACTCAGAGATCTTCAACACATGTCTCAAGAACCTCAACATCGAGCGCATCGGCATCGACGAGAAGGGCGAAGGCGAACCTCGCTCTCTGCGCTTCACGTTCGAATTCGATAACAGCGAAGCAAACGTCTGGTTCGACGATGCTAAGCTCGTCAAGGACTTCCATTGGCGCAGGGAACTCAAGATCACAGCTGCTGGCAAGCGGCGGGTGTGGGAAGGGCTGGTCTCTGAGCCTGTTCGCATCAGCTGGAAGAAGAACATGGATCCCACTCATGGCCTGCTGGATGCTGCGTGTGACCTGGCCGAGGCCGAGAAGGCGTTGCTCAAGAAGGAGAAGAAGGAGAAGATCAGCGAGGACGAGCGCATGAATTTGCCTGAGTTCGAGAAGTTGGTTGAGCTCGCTGCCAAGGTCGAGGCGGAGGCTGCGCCAGGCAACGAGGGAGAGGAGGACGGCGACGAGGACGGTGCTAGTCCCGCGGGATTGAGCTTCTTTGCCTGGTTCGGATACCGTGGTGCTGATGTCTCTGAGAAGGAGTCTCAGGCTGCTAGAAAGGAGGACAGAGAGACCACCGAGAAGATGCGAAAGGGCGAGGATGTTCCCGGCGAGGATGACGATGACGAAGACGAAGACGACGAGGACGAGGAGGACTCTCTGGCCATTGCTGAGATCTTTGCCGATGGCCAGAATGTTGCCATTGCCTTTGGTGAAGAGGTCTGGCCCGAAGCTCTCCAGTGCTACGGTATGCTCTGACCTTTCTGACTTCTTTTCCTTGACTTCTCCCTGCTAACATGGCATGTAGTCGATTCGTATATGGTCCCCGGCGACTTTGAGGATTTCGAGGACCTCGACGTCGAAGAGATGGAAGCTCTCATTGCCGGAGACGAAGACGAAGACGAGGAGGAAGAAAAGGGCGAAAAGGAAGAGAGACCTCGCAAGAAGGCCAAGAAGGCTTGATCTCGCAACACTCTTGCCTTTTTTTCTTTCCCCTTTTCCCTTTTCTCTTCGATATTGTTTTGTAACCATAGGAGACATTGGTGTATAACTAGAGGATTAATACCAATACCAAAAGTAGGATCAGTACCATAATCAAAACCGCAATGCAGCAGCTCGACACCGTATCTACTCAAACACATCAGTTCGTTGAATATAAATAAACAGAGCAGAGGTGATGCATGCTTACCTTCGTTCCTCTTGATGATGTGTCCCACCCTCTTCACGCCATCTTGCAGCTTACCCCCAACTCTCTCAGCAAGCGTATCGACATCCTTCAGCATCACAGACTGCTCCTCCAGCTCTCTCCCCATATCATCCGCCTGCTGCCGTAAATTCACCACTGTCCGAAACACCCCGTCAAGCTGCTGGTCCTGATCCTGCATCAACTCAACCTGCCTCTGCTGCTCCATCTCAGAGTAATAGTCTTCTCCTCGCTCCTGTCCATCTTCTTCAAGCAGGCTATCAAACGTAGATGGAGCAGGCAGTCCTCCTGCTGCTGACGATGTTCCCCCTGCACGTTTACCGGCTGCTCCGGGATTCTCATGAACAGTCCGCTGAAGCTCCTCTCGCATCTCCTCGATCTCCTTGCCTACATCATCAACCAGCTTTCGACGCCGCTCAACCTCGTCCAGCTCCAGGCCGTATCTGTAGGGGTCATATTCGATTGCTCGTACGCTTTCGACGAGGTCTTTTAGGTCTGCGCTCAGGTCTGCGACTGTTGCCTCGAGCTCTTCGCGCGCCTGGATGAGTTCCGGGTTAGACGGAGAGGTTGCGAGGGATCGTATGCGTTGATATGAAGAGAATAGAGGCCGGGTCGTAGAGAGCGTAGATAGGATATCTCTGTTATAGATCGTGGTTAGATGCAGACCGTACGTAGGTAGTAGCCTGGGATGGACGGGGTTAGGACGTACGCTTGTACTTGGAGAAAGGGGTCCATGTCGGAGTTCATGCTGGGCGTGAGACGGCGTATAACATATATATATCTGTATATAGCAATCTAACACGAAGATAGCTATCTTCTAGATGCGTTGCAGGCTGTTGGCTGTCTTGTTTACGCTGAATGCTGATAATCGACGGAGAGAAAGCTGATGGTTTGGTTCATCCCAGCAAAAGATTTGGCTGAAAAAGAAAAAATGCGCTGTCAAGCGATATACCATTGTTTGATATCCCACATACCTCATTTTACATGCATTAAATGGTTATTTCCTACTAGATATCCGGATAATAAGACATGAGTAAAGGAGAAATGCCCTCCAAACGGCCGCTGCCTCTGCCTGCCGAGTGGACGTCCCCCGAGGCCTACCTGGACTCGCTCCTGTCCTTCGCTACAACATCAGAACTATTCAAGAACTTCTGCGGAGGAGTGCATATACTGGACTTTCTCATACGAGAGCCAGACTTGTACACCTCTGTTATCCCCGAGGATTGGCGCAAGTTCTTTGCCCGCCATGAAATACTTGATATCCTGGACCTCCTGATGCGCGAAGACATCAGCCCCTTTTTGAATGCAGACACAGACACAGACACAGACACAGACACAGACACAGACCTGCAAGGAGAAAGAAATACATGGCGAGACGGTCCGATGCCACCGAGTAGCCTGGTCGAATATATCCATAAAATCAGAAGACATGCTCTGCTACGGGAGTTTACGCCCGTGGGCGACCAGCCTGATATCAAGCGGCCCGTGGGCAGGAAGGGAATACCCTACCATGTCTTTACAGGCATGAAGCCGAAGAAGTGTCACGAGGTAGAGAATTTTTCAAAATACGTTGCGTCTCTCACCCAGGACGTGGATCGGATCAGGGGAGTCTCAGAGGAAGCTGGACAGGAGCAACGAGTCTCTCATATCGTGGATTTTGGATCTGGTCAGAATTACCTGGGCAGAGCGCTGGTTAGTCCGCCGTATAACCGGCATGTTATTGCTATTGAACGACGGCATAATGATATTGCTAGTGCGAAGAGGAAGGATATCAGGGCGAAAGTAGCGGAGAAGACAATCGTGATGAGGAATAAAAAGGAGCACAGGGCGAAGTTGAAAGCCGCTGCCCTGGAGGGAATTGATACTACAGCTACATCTATACCCAGGGATGAGGATGCAGCAGATACGCCGGTTCTACAACAAGGCAGACAAGGGGAGAGCCCGGCAGATACCGCGACGATACTACTTGTTACTGATGCACAGACTGACGCCGGTCCAGCTGAAAATGGTGAAAGGGAGCAGGAAACCACAAACTCGGGGTCCGGCTCCAAGGGCTTACTGGACTACGTAGAGCATGAAATCCAGGATGGCTACCTTGAACCCATTATAGACCACATTATCGGCCCTGCAAAGGAGGGCCCGGAGCAAGATAACGTCTCTGCTGCAAACGGCTGCATGTCTATGGCGGAGCCCTCACCGTCAGGAGTAATGGTTGTATCCCTTCATTCATGCGGTAACCTCGTGCACCATGGCATCAAGTCTCTTATCTTGAACCCGTCCGTGGTTGCGGTTGCAATGATTGGGTGCTGCTATAACCTGATGACCGAACGGCTCGGTCCTGCAACATATAAGTTACCTTCACTAAGGCTGCCCAATTCCCGTCTAGAACAGACATCCAGTTCATGTGATCCTCACGGTTTTCCAATGTCGAGACATTTCGAGCAATACTCGCACGAAAACGGCAACGGAATCCGGCTGAACATCACTGCTCGCATGATGGCCGTGCAAGCTCCGTATAACTGGGGAAAGGAGGACAGTGAGGCATTCTTCACCCGTCATTTCTTCCGTGCATTGCTACAGCGGGTTTTGGTCGACTATAACATCGTCCCTGTCCCAGGACGAGCTACTACCAGTGACACGCCTAGAACGGGCGACGGGACACAGCCAGAAGTCACACAGGATACGGAGGTCCCGGGATGTCCACTGATAGTAGGATCGCTGCGGAAATCCGCATTCCTATCGTTCACCGCATATGCTCGTGCGGCTGTGGCAAAGCTAGTGCATGATCCTCAGTACGGTGATGCGATCAAGCAGCGTGTTGAAGGCCTGTCTGACGATACACTGGAGCAGTACGTTGCTCGGTACGAGTCTGCAAAGAAGAACCTGAGCGTTGTCTGGAGTCTGATGGCGTTCAGTGCTTCGGTCGTAGAGTCGATGATCGTGACTGATCGCTGGATGTATCTTCGAGAGCAAGAGTGCGTAAAAGATGCGTGGGTCGAGCCTGTGTTTGAATATTCGCAGAGCCCCAGGAACCTCGTCGTCGTTGGCGTTAAAAAGTGATTTTCGTGTCCATATCTTATCTTGTATATGCCGGTTTGAATAGAGGGACCGTAATAGAGCAGCAATCAGTAGAGAGACAACGCATCAGGTGTGGTTCATATCTCTTCTCATTTGTTCAGAGCTGTGGCAGCTATCAGTAGCACATTTCCACCGGCTGGCCTCCCCGGCAACCCCGGCCCTGACAGCTCAGTGAGTCTTCCAGGGGCTGTCCAGGCTAGCTGATAGCAAGCCCCGTCAAGGTGCAGCAGTGGATCGATTGCAAGATCCGATAGTTCAATGGCGAGATAAGCAACAGCAACAGCAACAGCAACGAAGACGAAGACGAAGACGAGAAGCTGAAGTCGACGTCATGAAGTGGACGAGGTAGGATCATGTGACGATGTGTTGATATGTCCCAAAGGGGAAATGTAGACGACGAGCTATCAACGTCCAACATCGAAGACTCAGCCCTCTTCCTATCAACCGCAGCAGCAGCAACATCAATCAACAGCCAGGGAATTCGGGCCCTTGAGACCGACAGGAAACTAGCTGGCCCCGGTTTTTCTCGCCAGATAAGAGCCATCAACGGGTCTGCAATGCACAATTTGCTGTTAGCCCAGTGGAGACCACGCCAAACACCCCTGCGGTTTGGCTGATAACAGGGGGGAAAGAGTGCGAAAACGACTTGCTGGTGTGATAATTCTGGAAAAATCCGTCGACAAGTGACAAGAAGGCGTGACAGTAATAAATCCTGAACTAAGCGTCTCGCTACGTCAACCTTCTATAGCCAGGGTATATCGGAAAAATAAGGCGTGAGATGGGAAGAAGCCCCGTTCATATACGTTGGGCCTGTGGGGAGCAGAGCAACAGGGAGGATTTCTGTTTTGGCATGTCATGGCGCGTCATTGACAGACCGTGTGAAAGGAGACTGTCTTTCTGTCACCTCGGAGCAATTCGCATTACCTGATAGAAAACCTCCCCGACTTGCTAGCTAGCGCTTCATGGCTGATCGGACTGAAGGCAAGGCATAAGGGCCTACGATGTCCAAACCTGGACAACTTTCCACCGCTCTGGGCGGGCGGGTTTCGAACAGACGGGAGTTTCCCAGCCGAAGCCGGGGGGTCTGGTCTGGTTCCCCTTTGATGCTGTCGACCCTGGTTCCCTCCATTTTCTCCTCACAGGGCAACCTCCATACTCAGAAAACGATGCAGTGAGTCCCGGTTGGGCGCAGATGCGGGGAATCCTAGCATGGGAGTTGTCGTGGTGACTTTGCCCGAGACAATTACCCTCCATTATCGCGGGATTGACGAATTGCTAGCCTTTCTTCTGTCACTTTCGTAATGTGACGCTTTACCGAGAAACAAGCCAATAAAACTTCGAAGCGGCCTTCACGCGTGGTACAAAATGAGTTGCATATCTTAGTGCAAAGCGAAGGCTTTCTAGAAGAAGACCTGAATATTCCTTTCATTGCTTCAATAGGTCCAAGCATTATTGATCGTCCTCGCCTCGACGGGATAACCAACTCACCACAGGTTCTAATTATAAGCATTTTTTTGCCTCTGTTGAACAAGCAAAGTGAGATATTGTTATGCAGGCAGGTCAAAGTGCTCGTCGTCGGACCAGGGACTGGTCAGGGCTTTAATAGCGAGGCTGGTGGTGATTATAATGACTACTCCGTACATATGTATGGCAATATTCACTAGGAGCACACCAACTGACTGTGTTAACAGGATGTTGATCCCAAGTTTGAGTTACATAACAGCCTTGACAGAATATGAACATGGGTAGTGTTGGGGATAATAAGTATTGTACGAGTCAATCCACACCAGAGCCAATGCATTCCTCGCTGGCTTGGCAAGCCATTCTGAGAGGCAGGTGTCTTCTCGTACATGCATCTCTAGCCATGCTATCCCAACTCATTTTTTACACCCATAGCTCAAGGACTCTGTATGGAGTACAAGTCCGGGGATCTCTCTATACTTAGCCTAGCTTCGGCGCCAAGCGAGGTAGGGTATCATCGCCTTGCGAGCGACCCTGCCCGAAGCCCTGGACGGATCCTCAGCCGCGGGACACAACGTCGTACCACCTTCATGATTCTCCAGCCTATATTCATTGTATGGCGAATCGTCAGACTACATCAACAAACATGCAACTTACGGGGAAGTTTGAGGGGTCATTTTCGATCACCAAGGTCTTTGTTTATGAAACTATTAGCAAATCGGTTCCTGTCCACCGGAGGGCGTGTCCGACGCCATCGGTCGCTCGCCGGAGTGAGGGAAACAAAGATGCACAGCGCTCTAACCCTGTTATGGACAAGTCAGCGCCATGATTAAAAGCCAAGGGTCCAGGATGGCGCTGTGTCTCTCACTTTGGGCCACACACGAATAAAGCAACTAACTAATTGAAACCAGCCGGTTGGTCGTATCTCTGAACCCTATCTCAACTCTCTTTCTCGCTGCCGTGTCACGTGGAGAAAATTGTGTCAAGGGCCATGGAGAATCCGCCAACGGTCTCTCGCGGCTGCGTGACCCTCAAGGGTTTTTACCCCAGCATGCCCACGCTGGTCCGCGTGAGTGATGGGTTGGACGACACCAGCCAATGATGGAATGAGAAACGACATCTCTTAACTGTTGGAACGATCGCAGTCGACCAGCCCCTGCTCTTACTCCCTTTCAAGCACCCTTTCTTTCGCCCAAACGACCTGGGGAATTTTTCCGTTCTTAAATTCCGCCACAGAATATTTTCTTCTCGTGGAGTGCTGTACGCCCAGCTTGCTTGTCCGGGTTCCTCCGTATAACAGCTTGGCCGTTCTTGGGCAATACACCACTCCTGACTTGGCTATAGGCAGAATGCTGACATTGGGATGCGCCCAGCAAACGCCCAGAGAAAGAGCCCCAGACTTTTCACTGGGCAAGGACAGTACCCTTGTGGTCTTGTTTGTGGAGAAATTTTTCCGACTCCAACATCGTTCAAGTTTCTCACAGGCCTTTGCTATTCAATAGTTAAGCGAAAGGTCAAGGGTCTCCTTTGCTCGAATAAGGCTCCAGTTGGAAATTGTCCAGGCAGCTTTATCTCAATCATCTGTCAGGGGGTCCCCATATCCCTCCAAAACTCTGGCGGTTATCAACTAGCCCCTTCGTATCCAATCAGACAAGGGTCTTGTCTGGGGAAGGAAGCAGACCAGGGATAGCCTGGGGGTCGGATATGGAGACCCCAAAGAAAGAGACATGGGTGTCTGATACTAAATTATACGTCGTAATAAAACCTCCGAAATCCAACAGAACTTGCGATGTACCTACGGAAGGCAACAGATATATTATTGTACGCATTGGCGGGCTATGATTAGTCGAGCATTTTGCTCCTGCAAGTAATTTCCCCCCTAGGACAAAAGCGGGAGGAGGTTCGCTTCTGCTAATATCATTACAACATAGAAATGCCGTTGCAGCTTGTGCGTCGAGAAGCCCAAATCCCACTTCCAGCGCCTGGGAGCCCATGCAACCCCTGAGAGTATGCATTGGACGCTGCTCTTTGGACACCATCGCATCCAACTAATCATAGACAAGTGCGATGCAAAAGTTTTCACTCTGTGTCGGTCTGTCCGCTTCTCAGGTCCCATTTCACGTGTCTACCGCATAAATGGAGCAGATTCGGATATTAAAATAGAAATCAAACTTAGCCTAACCAGCAAGCCCCAAACACGGTCCTTCTCAAATGCAATTTCCGAATAAGCATCTTTTGATGTACATCGGATGAGGAGGCTCCTCAAGCACAATGAGTGGTTGTGGCACAGAGTTCAGCTATTTTCAGGCTGTCAAATGAGTGCTCGGATAACGAACAAGCACCTTGAACTTCCTGCGCTAATGTGCCACTATCTTCGGGATCTATGCATGTTTAGTTAAAGTGGGAATGACTTCCTGACCCCTCGAAGGTTTCCCCCGACACACTCCACACGGGACCCCCGTTGCAACCCCCAAGCCTGCAGTGGTGGATATTTCGACAGGGTGTTCAATTGCGAGCTTCCCCAGCTCCTTCGTCGCCAAATCAGCGGATTAGAGTCCCCATTTTTAGTGGCGACGTACGAGATGGCGAATACTCTGGAAGCCAAGCAGTAGAAGAAGCAAAGACGGAAAGAAAAAAGAAAGAAAAAAGCGAGAGAACCCAAAACTCTCGCGTTGGTTCATCTCGTTCGTTGCTGCTTTGGGGGTAGCGTGCCTCCCTCCCTGTCCCTCCTCCGGGCTCAAGCAACTCAACACTCCCACACCAGAGGACTCAGTTCTCCACGGTTACAAGCGGGTCGTCTGCCAGACCTTGGGTGACCTAGAAGATCCCTTGACCATGTGGTGCCTACATATAGAAGGGGCCGTTTCCCCTTTGACAGACACTCCGGGGATTTTTCAGGTCTGGTCTTGATTGTGCCACTCGAACCTGTCTTCTGCCAATCTCAACTCAAGAGTGCTGGTCGACCAACGAATACCTACGACCATGACGGCTTCAACAGGCTCCGAGGCCGATGGCCGTGACAGCCCCAAGTACACTTCTGCTCTTGACGAGAAGGAGTTGTCTACTGTCCAGGCCATTGCCGCTAATGGCGCACACGAGAGTGACGATGAAGCCACTGGCCTCCGCAGGGAGCTTCCCACTGACGAGGAGATTGCGACTTTGCGTCGTGTCCCTGACAAAATTCCATGGATTGCCTTCACCATAACTTTTGTTGAATTGTGCGAGCGATTCTCGTACTATGGTACAACTGCAGTTTGTATGTCCCATTTGCCTGGTTTGGTTTTGGTTATAAAATCTGCAAGCCTTTATTAACTTTCGTCATTAGTCGTCAATTTCATTCAGCAGCCCCTTCCAAAGGGTTCAACTGCTGGCAATAGTGTTGGGCCTGGTATTATTACCGCCCGTCTCCCTGGTGCCCTCGGTCTAGGCCAGCGAGCATCTACTGGTATCAGTTTATGTACGTACTTAGTTTATTAACTATCGGATAGTGTCTGGAAGTTGCTAACCTATTTCTAGTTAACTCTTTCTGGGCCTACTTTATGCCTTTGGTTGGTGCCTACCTCGCCGAGCAGCACTTTGGACGTTTTAGAACCATTATGTACTCCATCGCCTGTGCACTTGTTGGACACACGCTCCTCATCATCTCCTCCATCCCGCCTGTCATCAAGAACCCAAATGGTGCTGTTGCATGCTTCGCTATTGGCATTCTTATTATGGGTGTAGGAACTGGTGGCTTCAAGTATGCATATCACTCACTGGACCTACGTGGCCATTATGTTGCGTGCTAACCATAGATCCAGATCCAACATTTCCCCCCTGATTGCTGAGCAGTACACAGAGACCCAGATGTATATCCGAACGGAAAAGTCGGGAGAACGAGTTATTGTTGACCCTGCTGCGACAGTATCTCGTATCTTCATTTTGTTCTACCTCATGATCAACGTTGGCTCGCTTACTGGTCAAATCGGCATGGTCTTCGCAGAAAAATATGTCGGATTCTATCTTTCCTTCACCCTCCCAACAATAATGTTCCTCTTTTGCCCGTTGGTACTCTTCATCTGCCGCAAGAGATACGTCCGCACTAAGCCGGGTGGCTCCATTTACATTAAGGCTATGAAACTTATTGGGCTTGTTGCCAAGGGTAAAGGTTCTTGGAACTTTGCTAAGATGTGAGTGCCTGAGCATGTTCGATATCATTCGCTTCTTATACTAACTCATCATTAAACAACAGGAGCCGTGAGTTTAAGGATCCGGCGAGCTGGGATGCCGTTAAGCCAAGCCGCATAGCCAGCAGGCCAGCCTGGATGACTTTCGATGACGCTTGGGTTGACGAAGTTCGACGAGGCGTGCTTGCTTGTAGTGTCTTCTTGTGGTACCCTCTTTTCTGGTGCGCCTATAACCAAGGAACCACCAACCTCACTTCCCAGTCCGGCACTCTGGAGCTTAATGGAATACCGAACGACGTCATCACCAACCTCAACCCCCTAACTCTCATCATTTGTATCCCCATCATGGACAGAGTCGTCTATCCAACTCTCCGAAAGGCCGGCATCCGATTCACCCCCATCAAGCGTATTACCACGGGTTTCTTCCTGGCTGGCTGTGCAATGATTTCTTCAGCCGTCCTACAGCATTACATCTATAAGACCAACCCATGTGGCACAGACGCAAGCTTTTGCAAGTCTGAGTATGGAAAGTACTCCCCCATCAGCGTTTGGGTCCAAGCCGTTGCTTATGTTCTGGGCGGTGTTTCCGAAATCTTCGCATCTGTTACGTCCCTTGAATATGCGTTCATGAAGGCCCCAAGAAACATGCGATCTCTAGTTCAAGCATTCGCACTGTTCATGAACGCCATCTCCACCGCTATTAACCAGGCCATGGTCAGCTTGTCTGCCGATCCTCTTCTTGTTTGGAACTACACTGTTACCGCTTGCCTTTCAATATGTGGAGGCGTAGGTTTCTGGTTCACCAACCGTAAGACCGATGCGGCCGAAGATGAATTGAACCAACTTGCTGTCGCAGACTTCAATGCTGGCGAGAAGGACGGTGAGAAAGCCGTATAAGAGGATGGATACCCGTCGCTGGCGAATTTTTCATGTGTTTATATAGTTATGTCCAGGCCGCTCTATGGTGGTTCTTAGCTACTAATTTCAATGCACGATTTATGTGTTAAACTATCGGGCCTCGTTTATATTCTAAATGAACTCATGAGACAGTGAATGTGTAGTTAACGACTGCGGGAGGTGCATCTCGAAACCTATAAGACATATAACCCCATGACTGAATATATACATCTAGGGGCGCGGGGACTCGGACCCTACATCAGACAAGTTGTGAACCGTAGGTGTATGGCGGGTTCCCAACTTGGTTGCCAGTATCTTCCCGCAAGCCCCTTGATGTTGCGATGATTTTCTGGTAGACTGTGCTGGTATTAGTGACCCCCGGTATGTTAGAAGTTGGTACATATCCTCGTTCTATCCCGATCTCAACCGCTTTTCATCTGTCATACAGGTGTACTCTCCAATTACCTACCTACGGAAAAGATGTCCCGACGAGTCAGGCCAGGGGATATACGCACACACCCCGCACCCTTCGGAGAAAGTTGGTCTGTTTATTTTTTTATAGTAACCTGGACTCATAGCTATTGCCTCCGCTGTTTCCGCTATCCCAGCCCGAGATCTGGCATCCCGGGCATAAGTGCATACATACCCTGCTTGCGTTGGTTGCCCCTACCCATCCCATACTCTGTGTACAGTATGTGAACAGAGCAGACGCCGGGGATACCTACAAGGAAGGAAAACCACGCCCGAATAATAGAAGAGAAGATGAAGCGGGGAAGGTGCTCGAGCAATCTCACAGAGGCTGTGGAGTTGCGTAAAAACAAACATATGTGCGTGAGTTTCGGGGATTATAACTACTAACTTGTCGATCTGTAGTTAATCAGGTCAACATCGTAGGTATAAGTTACGTTTATCCCACAGCTGATGGACATGAACATGAATTAGACGGTTGCCATAGATTTAGTCATACATACGATCTATTATGGGCTCTGATGCTTTACTAACCAGTCAACAAAGATATACCTAGCATCTTGCCTATGGAACAACCTTCAGATTTCGGTAAGCAACAGATCGAAGAAGAAGCTGCTCAAAAAGAGCAGCTTATGAAGGAACGCCGCCGTCTTCAGAACCGGATTGCTCAAAGAAACCATAGTAAGAGGCCCTGATTGCGTATGAAAAGGGGGCATACCAATTTACTAACTACCAATGACTATAAAGGGAGGAGAAAGCACAACCAAAATAAAAGCTCTTCCCAAGATCTCCCAGAAGAGACCGATAGCCAGCAACTCCCTACACATGTGGATAACCTTGGTATATATCAAAACCCAGAGAGCAGCTGGCTTGATTCACCAAGCTTTGTTATCCCTGACCAGGCGGTAGACCCAGAAACTCTTGGAGTCTCCAATGTGGCTGGCTCCCAAGAAAACTTATATGCATACCTGTCACCTCCAGATAGCTTAAGCCCAGAGGCTGCAACTCACAACCCGGAATGCCCCTACGAAGCCAACGATGGGTGCTCCGTAGCCGTGGCTCCTGCGAACGAATCCCTTGAATTTGACCGTTTCGAAGGACCAAATATCACTCCAGACCTGGTTCCCTTGGATGCACAGTTCCTGGACGTGTCGACAACTCCCTCCAGTGATAGTCCCTTACTCCGCAGAATTACTTTCAGCGCCGTGAAGGATCCAAGCCAACTATATGAACCAAACCTTTCTTCGCGGCAAACACCAGAAGCGACTGGCTCCTATGAGCATTTTATGCGGACTCTAGAACCCCAAGAACTCCCTACTTTCATGGGGCAATCCTCCATAGAGAACACGGGACTCCCTGGCCCATATGGGAATGTTATAGATTTTGACAGCAATACACAACTCCATTATGATTTTCTAATACCACCTCATACAGGTCAGGGCAACAACTCAGATGGAAAAATAGCCCTCCATTTATCAGCAGAAAGGGGGCACGCTAGTACTGTGAGGTGCCTGATCGAGTACGGATCCGATATCAGCGCTCAAGATCATTCAGGGGCTACAGCTTTACATTATGCTGCGAAGATGGGGCATACGAGTGCTATAACAGCCCTTTTGGACAACGGAGCTGATGGGAATATCAAGGATTTTCAAGGACGAACACCATTGCATATGGCAGCAGAAAGCGGCCATGAACACGCAGTTCGTCTACTAGCAGAATCAGGTGCCGATGTCAATACTTAGGTTAAGCTATGAATGATGGCAATTTCTTACATAAATCCCGGTCAATCAGCTACATGTTCAAAATGGGGTTTACTTATAGAAAATGGCAACGTTGATTCCTTTCAGACTCTAATGGATAAATTTCATGGTATTACTGGCAATTCTGGATCACCTGGCCACATGTCAACTTCCACATAATGTGGTATCTGGTGTTTCTCTGCCCAAGCGCGTATTGCTTCAAAGTCTTTGCACTGGTGTTTTGTATTGAAATCGACGAATGGCCCGATATCCTTCACCCACCACTGCCCAAAAACGGAGGCATCAGCAGTACACATCACCTGCTGCCGAAGAATGTCAAGGCAATGTGCTAACGTTGGAACGGTTAATCACTTAAGCTTATGAAAGGGCGTTACAACCAAGGACGAAGAACTAGAGCGTACCTGCATGGTGTTTGACAATTTCTTCGGTATCCGTAAAGGGAGCCTCGCCTTTCTTGAGGTAGTGCTCATAGCTAAAATAGGAAATTTTCCGGAGCATATCCTTTATTAAGTCAGCTTCGGTATAGCTCCATGGTAACTGCTGAAGGAGGGCTCTGACGCTTACAAGACAATGAAGATGATGGAAAACTTCAAAATGCCCCACAAACTTGCCTCCGTACTTCTTCGTCGTCTTAACCTGGCCTTCCTGGAAACCGTACAGCGCTCCCTCGTCGTGAGGGATAGAAATAGCATCGTCTATCGACGTATTAGCAGCCGTATTTGCAGTTATTTCTCTTGGACTATCAAACTGGAACTCCCGTACATGCTACACCAAGGCCAATCCATGCTTGATCAACATCATCGCCGGCCCATCGGCGCCAGATGTTATCACCAATGAGGGAGCCGTTAAATGTGACCGTGTTATATTTTATATTGACGTCCTTTGAAATCGGTGATTCTGTGAATAGGTTAGCCGGTCGATCAAACTTTTGATTTTATTTCTGACACGACACTTACTATATTGTGAAGTATACTCGATACAAACACTATCCAGGTCCCAACGTTTGTACAGCTCAAAGAACAATATGATGTTGCAGAAGGCAGAGATACCCAGCACAAAGAGAAGCCCAAAAATGATGATGGAGATCCTGCGTTGCTGACGGCAAGTTTTGCCCTGGTGTTTTTCCAAAAATGGATCTTTCTCGTCGTCCTCAATGGATAACCTCGTATCGGCTACGCTGTTTGAAGTTGACATCTCGTCTGCCTCATGGATATATTCCCAGTGTCAAAATGGCTCTGTCAAAGTGAATCTAGCAAATCTTTCTAATTTTGCTTTTACAACTCCAACGAGCCATAATAATAGATGGGATAGGGAATAACAAAACGGGCGAGTGAGCGAACCTCGATTTGCTGACTGACAAGTTATGCTGACACCCTGGTAATTAGAAACAAAGCTCCCGAGTAAGCAAACAAGGGTGGGCCAGCTACATCGCGCTTGGTTAGATGCTGACATTGTGTGTAGATGCTGACATTGCATAACTAAAGTCATGCAGTCATTGTTACTCCCGAGTAAGAAGAAACGACGGCGAGGCACGCATAATTGTGGAAATCGGAGGTACTTGACTGCATTCTATAAAACCCCGAAAGTGCACCATTTTTCGATATGTGTTCAGAAGCCTCGATAGTCACAAGACGCCTCAATACTCAACTGCAACTATACTATCAACACCATCGAAATCCAAATAGGAGTATCAGTCACAATGAAATTCTCCACCTCTCTAGCACTTTTCATGGCTATTGCTTCCGCTTACGCCGCCCCTATTATTGTAAGCCTTGATACTTAGTTTTAAACAACTGGGCAATACTAACGTCGTATGCCAGGAGCCCAATGACATGAAACTTGGACGCCGTGATGACCCTGCATATGATGGTTGGTACGGTGGTTACGGCCAGTACGTCGGTCCCGCGCCAGATGATGAAGACTATGGAAATATCGCACGCCGAGCCCGCCCAGGATGGGATGTTACGTACGGTATTTACGGCGTCGGTCCCGTGGCAGACGATGAAAACTATGGAAATATCGCACGTCGAGCCCGCCCAGGATGGGATGTTACGTACGGTATTTACGGCGTCGGTCCCGTGGCAGACGATGAAAACTATGGCCAAGCCGCTGGGTCGGTGGCAGACGATGAGGATCACTAATAAATGAGCTCCATAGCTGGCTTGGTAGAAGAGTGCGTGATATAGCTGCTAGACAATCTACACAATAAGCTTAGTGATAGGAATTTGATAATGCTAGGATGATTTTGTTTTGCCTACGATGTCATCTTTATGGCCCTTCAGTAGCTATTACCATTACTTTCTAAGTGGCTTTCCAGAAGCTCTTGCTAGCAGAGAATATTTATAAGGAATTGAAATGGTTTGATTGAAGTTTTGAATATTCTGGTTCAGCTGTGTACAAGCAACACTAGAGGGACGGCTAATAACGTAACAATACTTAATGTATTTCAATAAAGCCTCATGAGTTTCACCATAACGCACACTATAAAGCACAATGTAAAAAATATCAAGCATCACTATCCCACACTCCCACACGCATCCCAGTCCTTTAATAACTGATTGATTAATAAGGTAACCACATCGATGAGATCCATGGAGAGAACTTCGAAAAGCTGATGGCGTTTCCTTAATGTTTATCTAGGCGGACGCATTCGCCGAGCCCAAAATCAACCTGCGTCTTTCTCCACAGCCCAGGTGGTTCTGTGGTGAGAACTTTGCTGCAGTGATGCACATGCTTAAAATTGATGGCCTGCGTATGGATGTATACTCCTTTCTCCCCCCATCTCACACGCTTTGCAGCTTTGGTTAACATGCGCCAAGTGTACAAGCAATGCGCTGAGTGGTATGGTTCCCATGTATGGGCAACAAGTGAATCGAGATTTTTCAGAGAATCAGCGGAAATTGGAATGGTATGGTTGCGATCTTCCCACCATGAGAGAGGTTCCGGTCCCGGGGTTTTCAAATTCGAGAGTGCTTCCAGAGCAAGCTCCTCGTCATAACAAACTTTTGGAAGCCATGATGCGCCCATAACATCAAAAACACACCCACGGGAGACTGCCTCTGCGCGCGACTTCCCACAGCTCACCATTGCTGTAGTCTCGGTAGACGATGGAAGAGATGGATGTAAGGCGGGGGCCGTATGCGTGTGGGAAGCCGTGATTTTATCGAGGCTCCACAGCCTGTAGACCGCTATCACATTGAGCGTTGCTATCCCAAATAGGAAAGCAAAGACAGCCGCCCAATATCGACGATCAGTAGTTCGATTGGATCCCCCTCTCACTCTAATTGAGTCCTCAAGATCAGAATCCGTTTGGACTTCGTGGTAGGTAAACGGTTGGCCCATATTGGGTCATTGGCCGTTCGATGCTGGGTACAGTTAATGGGATATGTAGTTAAATTGCGCGTAACGACTTTTTGGAAGGAAATAGGATGATAGATCAAAATGGAAAAGTTACCTTTGTGGAAAAACAGCGCTGTAGGTTCATTTTGTCGTAAGTGAACATGGGTAAGGCGGGTGTATGAGATCTCGATGCACAGTGAACCTTATGCATTGTCATAGTGCATTGTGGCCAGAGGTATGCACGGTAATCAAAGTGCTGACACTGCATATATGCTGACAGCGGGGTATGTAACGTCTTTCCTACCTAGGTATTCCTTGTAAGTTCCAACATTTATATCTACACTATCAATGGACCTTAAAATAAGGTTTAAGTTTGGCTTACTAATCACTCTATATTGACTTCTGTTGGAATATTCCATTAGCCACGACTCGCACTCATTACCCAAGTATTCCTAGTGGGTATAACACCTTTTCAACTAACAAAACATAATTTTACATACTGGTGTTCGCGTAACCTAACTATAGCAATCTCCTTTCTTCAAAAGATCCGCATTGTTGGCTCCAATCCAACTATTCCTAACTCCAGATACACACTTCACTATCAAACTGAATCTAAACTGCCCAAACGAAGAGTTCTACCAAAGAGCGGACACATTGGCCCGGAAACGCCAAGTATCAACCACCTTCTAGATATAAAAGAACCTTTATACTCATGTTCTTGGTGGAGGAGGCGGCACCCAAGTCCCATTCTTTAACCAAACACCAACACCACCATACAGCCCAGCCGTCGAGCCGCGCAAAAACGCAAATCGGAAGAATAAGTCCTGCGGAGGAGAATTTATCTCATCGTCATCATCATCATCATCATCATCGTCATCACCATCCTCATAGTTAATCCTCAATGGAGTATCTCCAAGTGTAGATAGGGAATTTAGGTCTCTAGTACTTAGCCCCTGACGACCACGACGGTGCCATGTGAATATTCCCTTTTTGGTTTCATCCACATATCCACGCCAGCGTTCAACATCGTTGATAAGAACGCTAACACCGTCAACGTTTAACTCTTTCATCCGTTTCCGATCCCATAGCCTAAATGTAATATTGCCGTTGCCAGGGAAATAATGACTCTCGTATGGCGAGGCAAGAGACACTGTAGCGGATGAACTATTGATATTTGGGGAGCTGGCGCCCCACCAGGTACCAACGCCCGGAATTTCCCCTAATGCATCAGGAGTTTCAATAATGGATGCAAAACCCCATCTTCCAACACCATGGACAAAGAGGCCGAGGAGAAGGCCCTGGTATAGAATAGAAGGTCGAGTAGGTATAGCGGTTCCGGGCATGAGAAGAATAGCTAATATATAATGATGGATACGCAGTCGTAGTCCTGGAAGGGCAAGCAGGATAAATATTGAAATCGCGATAACCAGGTAGATTTTGATGAAGTGGAAGAAAAGACCTCCCTGGCGAATCTGCCACGCCTGTGTAAGGACTATAGTGATGACAATAGTCAAAACAATAGCTAATGCAAGTGGGGCACCCGGCTGGTTCTGTATGTCATGTGGGGTGAGGCGTTGGATTGGTATCCAGCTCGCGAAGGTGTAGTTATTGAGCGCTCCGATGAAAGCAGGACCCAGGTATAAAACGGTTCTGGTGATCTGGTACATCGGTGGAGAGGAGAGCGGCTGAAGCAGCGGGACCGCGCAGTAAAGGTATAGCACATAAGCAATAAAGCTGGCTGGTAGGAGACGGGAAAACAACATGGAGAGCAGTTCAGCCATCCCAGCTACACCTGGCGGGTCTGAGACGAGACCAACATGCATAATGAGGATAACAAACGTGCTGAAAAAGAAAACAGCAGGTGAGGTGGTGAATATTGATAAAAGCGCGAGCGTGGTTGCGGTGATTGCGAGTAGGACCCATCTCATATCTCGTGGACATTTGAATTCTTTCCCTTCTAATTTCACGAACTTGTATGACTTGGGAAACTTGGATGGAAACCCTGTGGAATTGAATCCATGTGCTTCACTAGCGAAGTACTCGTCGGAAGAGCCTACCAACTGCACAACACCACAGCCCCCATTAGCACCAGAAACAACCCCCGCATGTATTGCCGCCTGGCAAACGTAGCTATCTGCACGATATATGGCATCTTCTTCAGGAGACCCTGGAGCAGGACCGCCAACGATAAGAGGCTGATAATTCAGCGTTTGGTTGCCAACAATGTAAGGGTTGAGTAACTGTGTGCTTGTGCAGAAAGCCGGGCATCGGAACGCAAAGGAGGAGGCCTCAAAGGGCCTGCAGTCATAGCCGTTCAAGCCACAACGATGAGCGTTGATCCTATATGAATATAATGATAAATATGAGAACAAAACACATATCTCTGGGATAGCAGTTCTCACCAGTAGTTTGCACTGCAACCTATTGGACTAGGTACGCCATATCCTTCAATATGGCCTGATGATGCTGAATGCCTTAGAATAAGGCCCCAGGACAGGAACCATGCGAAATAAAGGCCCAGTAGTAAGAATATCTTCTGTTTTTTCTTCGGGAAGTATTTCTCCAAGAAGACAATAGGAGCCTCCTGAATACTTGGGAACCAAGGTTCAAACCGTAGATTATGCGGCGGATCTGGACCCTTCAACCACTTAACGGTTGCACGTCCAGCCTTGCGCAATGGCAGCGGCACCCAGCCCCAACGGAAGGACTTGGAACTTTCGGATAGCCAGACTGGTACTACCGAAGGGACGTCATTTGTGAGTCCAAAAGGAAGTAAATTGTCATTGTTTGCTCGATCCGCGTCATGATCATCTATAGGAATAGCAGGTTGTTCAGACAGGACTGGTTGCCCGTCTGAACCAGATATGTGTTCGTCAGGCATCGCGGAGATGATGCATCAGGCGGTAAGCGCTGAGTAGATAGGACGTCCGCCTGGTACGGGTCGACCAGCGCTGTGTATATGTTGACTCAAAAGGCGTCAACAGGGCCCACGAAGATTTTTAAAAGACGAAGGACAAGACTTTGCCGTAATAGGACTCTCTCCTGCCGATGACGCAACCCTTCGCGCCCATCTGCGCTGAAACTGTCGATGAACGAACTGTCCGGGGCATCCGTTCGCTTATATAAGACCTCGGGACCCGCCAAGTGCGGCGCAGTGACGTCTAAATTTAGGCTGCATAAGCGCCGCTAGGCGAAAAGATAATCCGAATCCTCATATTGCCCAATTGGTCATATTTAGCGCAGTCATGTTCGTTGCCCATTTTTTCTCCATGAAGCCATGTGTCTAGACAGTTATTTTATACTGTAGCTACACAAGATACTTTGTGCATAGTCCCCAGGGAAGCATATATTTTGAAAGATGACTTATTGGATGCAGCTACGGATACGACCGGACCTTTGCGCTCCCCTCAAAGTGCTCGGATATGGAGAAGTAATGGCTGGTGTTTATATTGGCTACGCCTAAGTCTAAGTAGGCATTGTTTTAGGTATATGGCGGCATAGAAAACATTAGTTATAATGTATTTAGCTGCTCAGACTTCCGGCTGGGAAAGTTAATCCATCCGCGATGTGTGCATGGATTGCATCGCTTCAATTGCCTGTATCTCAAGCTGCAAGGAGCTTCATGCCCTCAGTTAGCCCCACGAGGCGTTAGACCCATGGCATTCAATATAAAACTCCAAATCGCATGCTTTTAATATCATTATATCACCCCTGGCATTTTTAATATAAACGTAGTCTTGAAGAGAAGCCCTATCCAAGGCCAAAAGCTTAGCCTCTTCTTCGCATGGATGCAGCGGCTGATTCCTGTTCCCGCCCACTAGAACCTGCTGGTTTACCAGTGTCAATCAGGTTAGGATTTGTTCCAGCCATCCATCCAGCCAAGTCAAAGCCTTGAGCTGCGTTGGCAGGATTCGTTTTCTTTGAAGCACGCTGCTTCTCAAACTCTTCGCGGGTTTCAGGGTCCACTAATTCTCATATTTGGATTAAAATCGGGAACGATTAATGATAACGACAGATATGGAAACCAAGTATATGGAAGATAGACGTACTGTTCTCGATCAGGTATGGCATTCCAAACGTAACAGCCAAGGCAAAGACGGCGAGAAGAATCATGGGGTTCTTCAACAACGTCAACGGAGAGACTAGAAAAGAGACAAACATTAGTTCTGGTGTTCATAACGCATAATGCCTTCATGGCTGGTAATAAAAGTGTAGCGGAGGCGTACATTTCTCTCTTTGCTCATAAAAGTCCTTCTTCGCAAGCACCTTTGCCTCGACAACCACCACTCCGGGCTCATAATCACCGCCTGAAATAATCTTCTCAGGCCCTTTATTATCCCATGGATTACCACGGTAGGTTTCCCAGACACCGATTATTTTTCCCGTCTCCGAAGAGACGTCGACTCTGTAGGGCGCAAAGACATGGCTTTTTGAATGGATATCTAGGAGATACGATATCGGCTTTTCGGCGCCTTTGGGTGCTGTAGGAAGTGATAGATCATCGAACACAAATGTCGAGAGATGGGACAATGGCGCCTTTAGAGGCCCATTTGGCTGAGAGATAGTCGTGAGAGTTGCGTAGGTAGATGACGGGATCGAGCCGATTCGGGCGGAGGATGGGAGGGCGACGGTCAGTGAGGAGGCGACGGAGAGGGTGCTGGAAGATAGAGCCAGGAGCGAAAGTAGGGCAGACGAATATGAGAAATGCATGGCTGCTGAGTTGAGTTGCTGGGTTTCGCAGTTTGTGCTCTGTCGCAGTGAGATGTTGATGTTGTGAGGAGCTCGAGGTTCAGGCAAGGGTTGGCTGGCGGCTCCTCTTGGCTGGACAAACCACCAAGTGGTCAAACAATTCTACGACGCTGCTACAACAAACGCCAGACTTTCTTCCCTTTTTTAAATATATAAACTTGAATGACTGTATCGCTCCGCGTCTGTACGTGATAACGGCCAGAGAGACGCAATATATACATAGAATATGAACTGCGTAAGAATATATTCTTTTATATACACTAAACTACTAGGCCACAAAGGACAAAAAGGCCGAAGTTTCAATAGGAATCATTGGCTCTGTGCGTCAATGTGTGGCAGCCGTATCAAAGTGGATGACATAGCTAATCCAACCACCACCCATCCATGGATGGTAATCTATGGTGCCGGGAGTCGTCCATGAATTAGCTACTGGAGGTAACTGACGGGCAGTTAGCTAGAGGAACGGATCAACGATGATCCAACCTTCCTTGAATTGAGATTTCTGTTCAAGCCCTCCCAAACCATCAGCTAGGAAATGACCTCAATTCAAACCCCTTTTCAAGCTGTTCAGATTAGTTATGCTTCGCACATAACTAGTTACATAACCTTGCCACATATCCTCTTCCATAGCTTCTACAGCTTCCACTATCATCACCATGTACACGCATCCAGTACACTACCCACATAAGCCTTAGCTTCTTGGAACAGTCTTTGCTCCTTATGAAAGAGCCATGGGACTTGATTGTGTGTGACGTTTTGCTCCCCACGGCTATGAAATTCTTATAGCCAGCACCTAATATCAGTTAATGACACACTACACACCCTCTCTCTTCAGAAGCTTTCCCAGTCGCTGTAGAGCACGGTCCGAGTGTTCGAAATGGTGCAAGGTTATACCCACTATCACTGTATCAAGTCCGTGTACGGCTCAGGAAACCCGGCCAGAAAACCCTCTTTCTCAGCAGGATCAGGCTTTGATCGATCACTCTGGCTGTGAGTCCGAGGGAACCATTGTGCTGGCATCGTTATGATGCATAGCTCGCCCTGTTAATACCAGATTTTTAGAAACACTATATGCCAGGTGGGATACGACCTCAAACCGTCAGCATATCAAATTTTCTCCGGTCCATTTTCCAGTCGGTATTCTGGTCCGATCGGTCCTGAACCCTGCCTAGGTGTTGATACATATTATCGATGCTATCGGTGCTACCGGAGATAGTGAAGAACAACACTGCCGTATCATTTACAATAGTGTTGAACTTCTCACCTCCCGACGAGCATTGTTTTGTCAGGGGCAGCTTTTTTCCCTCATCAGGGACCTTGTCCCGGCTATAACAATCTGGTGTTTATATGAATGCATAACTAGAGAGGTGGAGATTCTCAAATCATCGAGTCTAGAGGAGTTCTTGAGCCATCTGGTTGACTGCTTCTTTAGAATTGAATCCTTGATCCATGCATAGACAGTCTTATATCCGAGGTGTCCCTGTCCACTTGTCTGACTACTATTACAGTTACTATTTGTGCGTAGTCACATACATAGCATCGAACATCACGGGGTCGGTGGCACTCGATCGGCATACCTCATCGAGCAGCTCAAGCTGTTGATAAAAAATCCGGAACTCCTGGGCCATGGCGAGTCGCACCGTTCAGAGCTTCAACGCCTCACTCGTCTGGCATCTGTGGCATTGGAGACAAAACAAGAATCCATGCAACGCATAATGTTCACGCACCTTCTCCTCGTCACGGCGCGCCTCAGCAATGAGTTCCGCCTTTTGGATGCCCTAGCCAAAGGCAACAATGCAAGCCCAGTGGCGCCTTCTGACCTGATTAAAGCCAGCAGTCTGGCCAAGAGCCTTGTTAGCGCTACCATGGACTACCACTGCTACCACGACCGTCAATATGCGTGATGTTGGTGAAAAGGGCTTACCCGGAAATAACGGAGTTAATAGCACGTGGGGAGCAAAACCGTATCACGTGAGGCACCTTTCTCGTTCTATATATAGACGCTCCCGTCCATCAAAGTTTCTTTCCGCCCAAACTAAGTTTCCTGATTACCATTAAAGTTATATAGAGTTCTAACTGTTGTTACGACCATCGATCACGATGGCTGCTGCTCCTGCTGCCGTCCCCCAATTGACGAAGAGCAAACCGGAGGGCATCGACCTCTATGCTCGCTTTGCTCTTGCTGGAGCACTGGGCTGCTCCATCACCCATGCCGCCTTCACTCCGGTCGACGTGTACGTTTCCTCGATTAGTTATCTCTCACTCTAGCTCCACCATCAACTAAAATAAAAACAAAACACACACAGTGTCAAGACTAGGATCCAGCTCGATCCCGCCACCTACAACAGTGGCATGATTGGCGGTTTCCGCCAAGTTATCCGCAATGAGGGCATCGGCGCTCTTGCAACGGGCTTTGGTCCAACCTTTGCAGGCTATTTTATGCAAGGCGCCTTTAAATTCGGCGGTTATGAATTCTTCCAGCAGAAATTAACCGATGTTCTCGGCGCGGAGAAGGTCAAACAGAATCGCACGGCTGTTTACATGCTTTCCGCTGGTTGTGCTGAGTTCTTTGCCTCGGTTGCGCTTTGTCCATTGGAAGCAACACGTATTCGTCTTGTCTCAACACCCAGCTTTGCAAGCGGCCTCGTTGGTGGTTTCGGGAAGATTTTAAGAAATGAGGGTATTGGAGCCTTTTATTCTGGCTTTGGTCCTATCCTCTTCAAGCAGTACGTTTGTCCATTTGATCAAAGATTCCCTCATTGTTGGATGAAAATAACATGATAATGAGCGACAGCTAACCTACGTACAGAGTTCCTTATACAATAACTAAATTCGTCGCTTTCGAAAAGGTCTCCGAGGCCATCCTGAGCCAGTTCGAGGACAAGTCCCAAATATCAGCTGGTGCTTCAACCGCTGTGAACTTGGGATCTGGTCTGATTGGCGGCTTTGCGGCTGCTATTGTGTCTCAGCCTGCCGATACTATGCTGTCTAAGATCAACAAGACGAAGGGTCTGCCTGGTGAGGGCACTGTCTCTCGGCTGATCAAGATTGCTGGTGAGCTTGGTCTTCGTGGATCTTTTGCTGGTCTCCCAACCCGCCTGTTCATGGTCGGTGGTCTCACCGCGGGCCAATTCGCCATCTACGGCGACATCAAAAAATTCTTGGGTAAGTGTGTTTTTTCCCTTTAGTCCACTTAACATAAAGTAAACTAACTTCGTCCACAGGCGCTACAAAGTAGAGAGAGAGAGAGAGAGAAAGAGAGAAAACGTTAGATATCATTTCCCCACTTCACACGTTTAGACCAGTGTTAAATCTTTCAGTCAGTATAGAGGTCGAATCCAACTCTTCTGTACATGCTTCAAGGTTGTCGGCAATCTGCGCCGCAGATGTGGCTGAAAGGCGGCCCGGAACAGGAAGTTGGTTCTCTGGAAGAGGATGTAGGCAAGCCGACCGAGGTCCGTGTCGGGATACTCCCGTAGGTAACTTGCCAGCGCTTTAACCTTTGCCGCCAGGGCCCGAGCCGAGTTGGCAGACAGGATGAAGAGCCCAACCGCCCTCGATCTCGACTCATAGCCACCCTCGTAGGCCCCATCCCAGCTCTTCATGATGGCGTGGGCATTGGTCCCGCCAAAGTCGAGAATGTTTACACTCAACGGTGCCATGAGCCTCAAAGTATTATGGACGGTCGCGTGCGCTCGTCCAGCTCGCACTTTATATATGTGTCTAGGATAAGCTGAGCTTGTGCCTCTGCGCTCGGCATTGTGATACCTATTTATATTACGGTCAGCACAATGAAGCAATACAACAGATTGTCCGGCAGTTAGACCTAGAGCTCAAATTCGCAAGTCAGGGTGAGCAACGCTGTCTTATTCCATGGTGCTGACTGTCTTGGTGATAGAAAGCCTTGATATCAAAACGGCTGGGCGGAATTTTTTGCACGATATTTCGAGGCTCCTTGAGGAGGCCTCAATAATACCCATGATAAAGATTGTGTCGAATTCAATCAGATGGGACAAGGGATTAAATAGTCCTTTTAAACACAGACTGCGAAGCCAAGTGAAATTCTGTGTTTGATGATCAATGCATCAGGCTACGCTTTCTAAAGTCATCAGTCCTTCTGCTTTCCGGGCACGAGCGAGGTGGGAAACAACGAGGTATTTGAACTATAAGCCTTGAGTAAGTATATCACCTTTACCCTCCGTTATTCACCCATCCAAAGGTTCTGCCGCCGCAGACATGCATCTGGTAAGCCAAACCTCGAAGATAACTATGAAAATTTCTCGAGTCCGATCATATCAGAGCTATGGCAATTTTATCCCGTGGTATGGTGACCCTAATAACCTCTATGAAGTCACACTCTTATCCAGGGCTAGAGATCCCGGCGATTTATGCTTAACAGGTAGATTTTTTAACTCCATCAAACGGCCACATCAACATCATATCTTCACGATCCTTTTGGCTCTCTAGATCCCCTATGATTGTCTCATATATTTGTTGATGAGTTTCTTTTACAGTTTCCCATTGATCCTCTGGGACCCAGCCATCCTCTTCAACCCCTAATGTGTCAACGAGGTCCTTCCTGAAAGTGAGCATCTTGTTATAGATCTCGAGTTGTTCCTGGTAAATCTGCATTTCTTGTGAGGATAGGGCGGGAATAGGGCAGTCATCTGTAAAACCAAGATCCTTCCAATGATCTCTTAGCTGTACTAACTCGTATGTGAATGGCACGAAGCCATCTTTCCACGTCCGATGACAGTAGCGAAAGGGTCGGAGGAGAGTCTCATCGATATTTCTTGCTGCCGCCAGTCTCGGAGCTAGAAGAGCCAAACCCACTTCGTAGGCCTGGCTACAAAGGCTGTCTCCAGAGTCTTCAGGTGATTCTTCTTGTGGAGGTTTCGCAAAATCGGGTATGTAATCGGCATAATAGAATGCTGGCTCGACGCTTGTAGATTGCCAATCAACATACCCTGTGACAATAGTGGGATTGTCTTCGGAGACGAATATATTGCGCTTATGTAGATCGGGGTGAAATAAAGTTGGTGTTGCATTAGACTGTATCTTGGGATGTTGTATAAGCTTGGGGAAAACAGTTTGTCCTAGTTTCAGAAGTTCTAGATGCTTTTCTATCGAGCCTTGATAAGACGGTTGCGGCTGGGTAATAGGATAGCCAGCTGGCGGCAGTCTTGCAAGACCGGCATCAATCAAAGCTGAAGAGTACGAGGATACGTCCAACCCTGTAAGAAAGAATTAGGGTGAGAAGGTACCATAAACTAGAGGGATAGAAAGCTATAGCTTACATGGTCCTCTATTTGGCTTTTTGAACGCATAGTATCTTGGTTCTCCAACATTACAATCCCAATATGTGCTTCTACAATGCGGGCCAATACAGTACCTAGAGTTATCAAGTAATTCTTTTGAGCAAGAATCAAGAAACGGCGCATCTGCAAAATAGAGACTGCCATATGCCGGAAAGCCAAGGTTGGATATATCCATAATATTCAAGGATATCGATCTGATACAATTGATTCTCTGAGTAGTAGACATTGCTGGCCACACATTATGTAAAGGAACACCGCCAACATGCTCCATGATAATATATGCAGAACCAATAGGGTTATTTGGGTCATCACTCCAATCTAGAATGGCTGGGATTGGTACTTTAGTATTTTGCTGCACTAGATACACATGTTAGTAACCTTGATGCTTTCCTCGTAGACTTAGTTACATCTCCTTACAGTAAGAAATAGTTGCAACCTCGGAATTGGTAATAAATCTAGCCTGCCCAACAACGGATGTTGGCAACTTTACAACCACACGTGTTCCATCATTGGTTGTCATAATGAATACTCGGCTAAAGCCACCTTCGATTTTCTGGCAATTTTCTATGGATGTGGCCGAAGGGTACAGAGAGAGGACCTTTTCACATAGATGATTGAAATTGAACTTTATATATCGGGCCGCATGCTGCTGTTGCTCGAGGTGGAGCCATTTGCCGGCAGTGTATGAAAATAGTGCTTCATTATATTGTTAGTTTTGACTCACAATTCCAGTAAAATAGGAGGTTTCGGGCTTAAAACTCACAGTCCATGGATGACGGTGGTGGTACTTGGGAGATGCGGCGTAGCCCAATCGTCGTGAGATGCAGTGGGATTTGCTTTGATGATGCATACCTTATTCGGTTATTAAAAGAGCTAAGAAGCAATCTTCGACATCCCGATATTATGAACATTGCAAGAAAGGTATCAATAGGCAGAGAGAATACACCAGAGACGAGGACAATCACAGCGAGGGAAGTGATGAGTGGGTGCTTGACAAGCTAAACGCCAAGGTGAAACAGAACCTCAAAGGTGGGAAGACCAATGATGATACATAAGACCCTATGATCAGGGGGGGAGGAGGGCGGCATGTTTAGCTATTATTTGTACTTTGCTTCCGCGTTTTCCCTCTGCTTTTGTATGCATAAGGAGTCTCATGTTCAAGATATAAGTGTCCTATGAGCACACATGTAACTATCTAGTTAACGGAATGGACCAACCAGATATATTACACTAGGGAGGTAATTTCTATCGGTCTAGATTGACAATGTAGAGCTTTATATAGTGGTGTAGACTGGCAGAGTATACATAGCTAGACTCCTGAATCTCCGGGTACAGCGATCCATGCCATGACACGCTTCCTAAAATTCGCACACGGGATGAGTCCTGGTTACAGTTCTTCTACACGAATTGTATGGATGCATGTAAATATCTAGTAGCTAACTAAGTTCAAATAAAAGGTTAAGTGTAGGGGGGTGCGTGTTCGCACGGTATGGATTCGTAGCCTAATCTGGAGGAAAAAGACGATACGGAAGTCACATTTACACCGACTAATAATAATATCCACCCTAGTACTTTAATACAAGAAGGAAAATATGTCTAAGGAGCCGCTATACGCCTGTCGCCTTTTTCTTACAACTTAGCCTTAGCTCTCTTGGCTACTGAGAGATCGGGGGTATGGGCATAGAGTCTATCAAAGACATCACGGTACATCTTGACGGATTGAGGACGTTTCAATTTTAGGCTAGGATAATTGTGTTAGTATTGTGATAATGTAGTGTCAAACCATGCGATTCGGGGTAACTTACGTAGGGGTCAAAAGGCCGTTATCAATGCTGAATGGATCAACCATGAGAGCAACGTTCTTTACCTTTTCGTAGCCGGAAAGCTTGTTCGCTCTAGCAGCATGATCCATATCCCTTAGAACAGCGAGGACGACTTTCTCATCGCTGGCAGCGGCCTTTAGGGCCTCAGTGTCTTCCATGGCAATGTTTTTCTTTAGCACTTTGCTGGCAAAAGGAGCGAAGATGTCGGGCTGGACGCCAAGGATGGCGACTAGATGCGACTGCACGCCGTCACCATGGACAAACGCTTGGGCGACATATGGGCAAGAGCTCTGGTAGATACCCTCAAGGCGCTCGGGGGATACGTATTCACCCTGGGCAAGCTTGAGCAAGTTCTTTCGGCGATCAATGATGTGGAAGCGGCCAAATTCGTCAACCTGGCAGACGTCTCCGGTGCGGAACCATCCATCCTCAGTCATAGCTTTGGCGGTTTCTTCGGGGTTCTTGAAGTATTCTCGGAACATAGTGTTTCCTCTTAGAAGTAGCTCGCCTCGTGGGTATGGCTTGTCATCGACAGAGTAGTCCATATCTGGAAGTGAGAGCAGACAGGCTTCTTGAGCAATAGAAACAGAGCCGCAATGACCTGAAGTCAAGTCATGACCAGCCTGACAAGTGGCAATAGCGTAACTCTCAGTCAAACCGTATCCCTGGACAATGTTGGCGCCAAATGCAATTCGAAGGAACTGGTGGAGAGAGCCATCGAGTGGTGCAGAGCCAGAGACCATACATTTCATACGATCAAATCCGAGTCCAGCGGCGACCTTCTTAGTCCAGATCCTGTCATAGATGGAATGCGTGTAGGTGGCATCTTGTGGTTTGGCATCCACCAGATTGGCGGTCTTGGTAGAAACAACATGTCTCGATAAAGCACCCTTGAAGCCAGGCTGTTCGACAGTGGCAGCACGGATAGCTCCACCGAAACGGCTGTAAAGTCGTGGAACAGAGGCAAGCACAGTGGGTCTCAGGAGCTTGAAGTCATCGACCAGCTCGAGAATGTTTCCATGGAAGTAGCCAATTTGACCACCAGCCCAGAGGAGAGCTTGTTCAATCAGCCGTCCATAAATATGCGCAAGTGGGAGGTACGAGCAAGAGACGTCACCTGGCCCCTGTGGAATGGTGCTCAGGGAGCAGGAAGCAGCAGCGACAGCGTTTGCGTGGGTGAGAACAACTCCCTTGGGCAGGCCAGTGGTTCCAGAGGTATAGTTGATAGTAACAATATCATCGGGCGAAGGCAGGGTATATGGGCGGTTAAGAGACGCTCCGAGCTCTTCAACCTCGTTGAGAGTATATATGGCAACTCCGAGCTCTTTTGCAATAGGGTTGAGGATGTCACGCTTCGTGTGGCCCTGTGGCTCATTGGAATCAAGGTCTTCCAGACATACGATGAACTTCAAGGAAGGGAGACGGGGCTTCAATTTTAATAGAGTGGGGACGTGTGGCAGGGAACAGGCCACAGAGACAAGCTCGGTATTCTGAACGATAAACTCGGTAGCTTCCGGCCCAAGAGTCTCGTAGAGAGAAACAGTGAATATGCCTTGCGACATACAAGCCAGGTCTGATCCGCTGTTAGTTATAGCTTCACATGCAGCATAGAGAGAAAAGAAACTCACCAACAAGCTGCCATTCCGGGCGATTCTGGCACCAAAGGCCAACACCATAATTTCTGCCTTGGACGCCGACGCGCTCATGAAGTTCAGCTAGACCAACACCAATCGCTGCACGTCGCTTCTGGACAGTCTGATAGTCCATCCAAACATACGGCCCATAGCTTTTAGTGGCGGGGATCCAAGGGCGGTATCCGAGACAAGGCCGTTTTGGATATAACAAGGCTACATTAAAATCAGCCAAACAGCTCTTTCAAAACTCGCATGATGTGTAACAAAGGGATAAACGAACCAGCGGATTCAAACATATCATGACCTGTATGAACCTATTGAGACGGAAACAGGTGAGTTAAAAAATTGCATTGTTAATTAAAGCGGTACTTCATAAAACAAAGAAGTAGCAGGTTGGGCTGCTGGCGTTTGTCCGTAGCGCAATAGAGTTGCAGTATACGCCTGAGTATGGTATGCTCACCTTTGGATCGATAGACTTGGGGAGCTCCTTGCTGCCAATTTTCCAGTGTCTATATATCTTGCTTCGACCTGGTAGTTCGGAGTTGGGCACTGGGACAGACTCTGGGGTCCCCTTTGGGGGCTTCTGGCCATACTCTGCAACGGCCGCCTTAAGCGGCGATTCAGACGAAAAGATCATTGTGATAGCTTCCGTGTCCCTCTGCTAGAGTATAAATAGGTAGGTATAATATAGGTGCCGGCGCCGGTCGTAACAATAACCAATTCCAACTGTGTGATGTGCTCCGTTCGAGGGGGGTTCGGTACGGCGAAGAATAGGGGAATATTAGGTAGAATAGCCTGTCACTAGACCGATCACCAGGCTCCAGTTAGCTTGACGGATGCTGAAAGAGCCCTGTGGGAGTGCGCATGAGAGAGCGACGACCGCAGACGTGGCACCAGAAGGGGATTAATAGGCGGGCGCCGGCATGGACATACCTGGGACTCAGAGCAATCAAACGCACGACAAATAACGAATAGCTAGCTGGGTCGGTTATTCCATACCACGTAGTTGTCGAGCCTGAGGAATAGGAGAGAGGAGGAGGACGAGAAATAGGGGAGAGAGGAGGAGTATATGCAGGAGAGGGTCGGGTGCATGCAGTGGAAGAAGATGGAGGAAGATTTCCCTTTGCGGTCGATGCCCGTCGTGGTGTTTGCGCCGAGGGAAGTACCGCTACTTCAGCCCCCAGGACCCGGCGCGCTTTCACATGTCCCCTGTCAGGTATTTTTCTGCGGTCTGCTACAGCCAAAAGGTACTTCTATCCTGCCTGTCCTGCGCTGCGTTCTGGGGGAGGAAGTTGTACCGGTACTTTTGCTCATTTATGCAAGCCTCGGCTGGGCCAGCTAGTCAGTCAAACTGTGTTTTTTTTCTTGAGACGTCGGCTTACCCGAAGAAAAAGGACGAGACATGACGGGAAGAACGCAGACGCAGACGGCAGAGGAAGATGATCGAGAGTTTGGTTCACATGCATCATCATTCATTCGTTCTATCGTTGAAGCTAGCTGGCTGAACCAGTACATACAACTATTTACGTTGTCTGCTCCCTTATATTTATATAACCACATTTTTCATCCCTACAATACAGCGTCAGCGGTCTACGCAGAACGGTCAGCAAGAGCAGTCTTGCTGGCAGCGAACGACTGCTCGAAGTCGGCGATGATGTCGTCGATATGCTCTGTTCCGACTGATATGCGGACGGCGTCGTCCTTGACACCAGCAGCACGACGCTCGTCTTCAGTCAACTGCTCGTGGGTCGACGACCATGGATGGATGGCCAGAGTTTTCGAATCGCCAACACTATCGCAGAGTTACAGCCATTAGCCTCAACATTCGAGAACAATCATTCCCACGCTATTGAATTGATAGTTAAGGTGTACTTACTTGGCGAGGTTGGAAATCAGCTTGAACCCGTCAACGAGCTTGACGCCGCCAGCCGCACCGCCCTTGACACCGACGGACAAAACGCCGCCGAATCCGTTCTTGAGATACTTCTTCGCCGTTTCGTGGCTTTCGTGGCTCTCAAGGCCAGGGTACGATACATATGCGACGTTCTCGTTCTTTTCCAGCCACTTGGCGAGGGCCATAGCGTTGGAGGCGTGACGTTCGGCTCGCAGACTGAGCGTCTCGAGACCAAGAAGAAGCTGCTGTGCACCGAACGGGTTAAGAGCCGAGCCAAGGTCGCGAAGGATCTCGACGCGGACTAGAATGGCAAACGCAAGCTTGCCAAAGGTCTCCCAGAACTTGAGTCCATGGTAACCTTCAGATGGCTCTACCAGCTGGGGGAACCGAGCGGCATGCTTGCCCCAGTCGAAAGTGCCAGCGTCGACGACTACACCGGCGATTGTGGTGCCGTGTCCACCGATCCATTTGGTGGCACTGTGGACGACAATATCTGCTCCATGGGAGATAGGACGGCAGAAATAACCTCCCGCTGCAAAAGTGTTGTCGACCTTTGAATTGTTAGCCAGAGATGTCCTCCGTATTAAAATCTGCCAGCCAATCGACGTACAATAAGAGGAACACCCTTGTTATGCGCAACCTTTGCGATAGCCTCGAGGTCAGGCACGTTGAATCGTGGGTTTCCAATGGTCTCAACATAGACTGCCTTGGTCTTATCGTCGATCAACGAAGCAATCTTTTCAGGATCCTCTCCCTCAACGAACTTGGTGGTGATCCCTAGACGGGGTAGGAAGATCTTGAACTGGTTATACGTGCCTCCGTAGAGGTTAGTGGTGGAGATAATGTTGTCACCGGCATGGGCGAGAGCAGAGATGGCCATGAACTGAGCTGCCATTCCGGAGGATGCAGCAATAGCTGCTACACCCCCTTCCAAGGCTGCAATACGCTTTTCAAATACATCAACGGTGGGCTAGTCGTGCGCCAATTAGCCAATTAACCCTTCCATCGGATGGAGGTAAGGAAACAGAGGGATGCCATGCATACGTTCATCAAACGGCTGTAGATGTTGCCGAACTCCTTCAGGCTAAATAACCGAGCAGCATGTTCAGAGCTGTTGAAAGTGAAGGACTAAGAAAGCAAGCAATTAGCTGGCCGTCAGCTAACATGACAGGTCCTCATAAGAGTCGCATTCGGTTTTTCACTAACAGTACTGGCACAGATTGGGACGGCACGAGCATTGGTAGCCGGACAAGGCTCTTGTCTATTATTCTGTCAGTATACATCAATACGCGGGGTGAAATGATAGTGAATGTCAAGCTTACCCAGCGTGAAGCTGGAGGGTTTCGAAACGGCGGTTATCAGACGACATGATGGAGGAGGCTCACTCTGTGTTTGAGACAACAGAAAGACAAAACCAGGTGAAAGGTGATCAGTGATCAAATCATAACAGTCAATTGCAGGCTGGACTGCCGTATTTAAACAAAGCCAGAGCCACGTCGAGGCGGGGTAGACCAGGGCCGTACGAAGGAGGAGGGAGGGTAGGGATAGGGCCTCTTGCTCGCTACCAGTCGATCAGAAAGAAGCAAGCTTATACGTAAAAACCCGGCTGAACAAGCGAAAGATGGGTATGGAAGATTTAAAACGCGCAGGACGAAGTAGCCGGCACTTGTACATCTTCGCCCTCATGCTGTACCCAGCTCGATGTATTTCGGATGGCGTGATCCGGTAGGTTCTTTGGTTATCAAGGGGTTTTGGTCGCAGGTGGATACGGGCGAGTTTGGAGGCCCGCAGGCACCGAGATATATATGGGGTGTAGTTATTATTATTAGCCCATAACGAGTCGCCTGGACAGTGTTCTCTACCGCTGGATGCTATTCTACCATCTTAGTTAGTCGACCTTCGGCGTGAGTAGACCGGGGACTACTTAATTCACTGTCTTTTGGATGGTGCAAGCCACAATCATCGCCTTGCTGAGACCCCAAGGTTGATCAAGTTGTTTGATATGCGAAGTTGCAGCATTTTACAGTGTGAGCGATGAGAGGACGTTAGTGATACCGTTTTAGGCAATATTCCACGACGCAGCTTTTCCTTCATATAAAACTACTTGTGTTCTCACTCTTTCTTCCATCTCATCCTCGAACTCATCGACCAACTAACTATTTCGCGTACAGAGATACAGACAACTATACAGCACTTATCGATCTTTCAACCAGATGGTCTTTTTTTTTTTTAGTTATCCCTGCTGGCTGATTTTCAAATGGCCTGCATCCCCGATAAGCGATCCGGTCCCATCCCTTCGTGCAGAATTAGTGAGTTATCGCGATTCTGCAGGCTTCATGTTGACTAACTCAGTGTGTTGAATAGGCTATCAAGCATGATCGCCAGGGCATCTATTCCCGAGCCGTCTGATGGAGGGGTAATAATGAAGCGATCTACATATAACACATATTGTTTATTAGCCGTTGGCTAACTAGTTAACTTGTCGGCTAGATTGTGCAACTACTCAAGCTGTGAGGCTCTTCGAATCCTGTCCTTCCAACGCTGCAAATTACATGGATTCGCTTTGTTTCCTGTTTAGCCGTTCGCCAGGGTTAAATATTAAAAGGCCTACAGGGACTAATGATAATGGCCGAATTTCAGCCTCTTCCCCCAAGGACTTTAAGGGAAGAACAAGGAATTGACAGCACGTCATCGAGAACTTACCCACTGTGGCTTTTTGCGATGACAGCTCCTTGGCTAACGAGCTAATTTAGCCAGCTGGCTTGTTACATATTCTGGTTAACTAGTTAACGAGTCAGTTTGTTATCTAGCCACTTGATTAAGGCCATTAAGCAGCGGAAACATGTTTGCTGCACTAATGAGCTAGATATCCAACCAAGGGAACGGACAAGCGAGAAGTTTCATGCATCTTCAGTTCGACGCAGTATGTACGTACTCGTAGTTGGCACAGCTAGTTAACGAGTTCACGAGGCTATCCGCAGCGATCTTCAAGGCCTATGCATCCCTTAATTATGATACACACAATCGGAGCAGTCATTAATTCTGTTCCTACAAAAGGGTAGTCTAGGAAGGTGGATTCTAGGAGTGATATTTGCGGACAACCCACACCGCAGCTAATATGGAGGCCACGATTCCTACTCTCTTCCCCATCTGCCGGGCTACCCAATACCACCGGGACCAATATAGGTCGTGCTCCAGCTGCATCGCATCTTTTCCGGAGTTGAGGTGCGGGTATTTACTCTCCGGAACAGGCACCCCGAGAAAGTCGCACAATGGTCCCCAGCCCTGGTCTGCTCTGAACTCTAAAAACCTTTCCGCTGGTACAGCAGCACGGACACGCTCATTGTGCTCATCAAAAGATTCAATAATAGCGTTTCGGGACGACGGGTCGCATGGTGGATGGCCCTTCGATAAGACGGACGTGGTACGATGAAGAAGAGCTTGATACGGAGCAGAAAACTCCTTGTCGAAATAACAAAGGAGAGGCCAGGATTTCCAGGACAAAATTTCGAGAATCAGCTTTTTCATGGACCTGAACCATGCGTCACTTGGCCGCGTGGTGAGGATCACCTTCGCGTCAGGGTACGCGGCAACGAGTTCCTCAGCAAAGAGGCAACATGGGTCGTCCGTCACTGCCTGTACTGCTAGTCAGCCGAACCCGAATCCCACACCGAAACCATGAGGAATAACTAGTCCTTCGCCCTTTGCTTGAATACGATGACAAAGGGAAAGAGCATCTTACATACATCATAGTTCCAGAGTAGTTGATCGAAATCCGTCCCCCGGAACGGCTCGCCAACTCCGTCGTATTTTGCCTTGACGGCCTCCAACCAGATCTCGAAGTGTTTGTTATTATTATTTTTCAACACTTCGTTATAGTGATATGGATTAAAGCCTAGAATTTCCAGGGCGGCACAAATAGCTGTCTTCCCACGTTAGATACGCAACTGTCCTCATTTTATGTTGGTGCGATTGGGTATATACGCACAGGTGGTACCAGTGCGCGGCAGCCCTAGAACCAGCAACCTCATCGGCTTCGGTCGTGGAACCACTTGGGATGTCTTCGGATATAAGTCCATTTTCGATTGCTGCCAGTGACTTGTGTGTTCAGGCCTTAGTGAGTGAAAAGTCCGACATTCATTTTTCTCGTGAAGTGAGGGAGGTCATCTCCCCCGCTCAATCAAGCCACTTCACACCCTGCATACCTACGGAACCGGATCCTGATTATTGCACCCATATCACGGCTTGTATAGATGCCCCTCAGCGGCCCCAAGCACACAAACAGAGGTTTATTTATCCAAGATCAGCATACAAGGAATAACTAACCTTCCAAATATGTTTACCACCTCCAAGTTGAGGCATCAAGAGTTGACAACGACGGCTCTTATACGAGGTACCAGAAGGGATAATAAGCAAGTTAACGACGAGGCTGTGAGCATATAAAATCACTACTATGTTCATGGTTTAGCTTGCTTGCCCTAGCTTCCCGACCCGCCTGTGACGTTAGGATATTCCCTGTCCCAAGAGCCGCGATTGTGACAGAGCTCCAAATTCGCTTCAGACCGACCCATCGGTCCAATACGTTGTTGCTCCTAGGCTGAAATTTAAAAATGTGGACGCCTTATTGTGCCTGAAGGTGGATGGCTAAGCCCATCTCAGCCCATATCCATCGCAAGCTTTCGACAGCCTCTAATAATAGCAAAGTGGACTCGTTGCTCGTCATATTTTTTCGAGCCGACGTCATACGTATTACCAGCTATTTAGCTCTTATATATATATACCTCACTGTTCCCCTGGATCGTGCTCTTTTTGCAATTTATTCACCTATGTCGGTTACTGGTGTATATAACTAGAGCAAGTGACCCTCTCCACGTTGTTGATATTTAGTTGGTCAACACCCTTCTTCCGACTTCTAGTTCTACAGCAACTTCCTCAGATTTACGGAAGATCGCCATCATGCCGCCTAACATCATCCTCATCCTTCGCGGCGTCCAGGCCCTTCTGGCCGTTGTTACTCTAGGACTGATCGCATACTGTAAGTACCTCCTAGGCTGTTTTCCTAGATCAGGAACATATACATGCTAGTTATAGAAACATCACTGACTAGTCCAACAATAGTCGTTAACTGGCTCCGCGAAAGACTTGTATTTGGAGGTCTCGACAGTGCCAACTTCTTGCTTTTCGACAGCGTTTGGACACTGTTCATCGCCTTACCGTTCCTTGTCTTCTCACCAAAATTCTTCCCGGCGATCGCCCACCAATATGCGCTTCTCGGTGTTGAAGCAGCCACTGTCCTCTTCTGGTTCTCTGCCTTTATCTCCCTGGCTGTCGATACCAGCAGTATTGGAGAATGTACCGTGTGCAGCGTCGTCAAGGCTGCCATAGCCTTTGGTGCTTTCGAATGGTGAGCGATTTCCCTTAGATGGCCATATCTCCCATTGTAACTAGTCCTGTGGCTAACGGTCGCATTTAATAACTAATCTATAGGGCTCTTTTCCTTGCTACATTCGTGCTCAACCTGATGCCCATATTAAACAATAGAAACAAAGCGGCTCCCGAGGTTCAGCAGGAACAATATGCGGTCTAGGTTTGCTCTATGCACAAACCGAACAATCGTCCTTTCCTTTTCTGTACTTTGTCCCTTGGATGGTGATGGAATACCTTTTTTGAGCCGCGAGTATTTAAGCCGACGCTTGAATAATATGATACCCATTAAGTTGAAGATGAGCCTATAACTAGCCTAATTATTGATTCTTTTTTATGCGTGTTAACATGATGCTAGTAATGGAACATGGTGATTGCCATTTTTGTATGTTTGCTTTACATTTATCTCCGTCGTATTTTATTACATACTTGACCATTTCACACGGCTGATGTTCGTTTATGCATGGTACCGTGTGACGCCTGGTTGGTGAGCTGCACATAATCAGCAAGGCTTACTATTCCCCGTCATCAGTCGTTAACTTTCCTATTAGAGGATAACATCCGATTTATTTTAAGCTCCCCGAAAATATGGTTCCTTCTCCTGGGCCGTACCTTAATCAAACACGGTATTTGGTTCAGGGCACGAAAGCGGGACTCTTAGACTCTCAACCCACTGAAATCATCTTGATAATTGGTAGAGAAGAAAAGAAGCAAAATACAATACGGACTACCCCGTGAAGGCACACTGCGTCGTACATGTACAAGCGCAAATATCTATACAAAACAAGCCAATGCGAGCGCGACGTCAAAACGCCATTTCATGGGTGGAGAGAGGTAAGAAATATATGCTTAACTGAAAAGTCGTTAAAATTAAAGCTACAGGGTGGATATGGGAAAGGGGAATGAAATCAAACATCGCGGTGGCGGGTTGGCAACAAAGGTAATAGAAAAGAATGTAAAATATAAAATGTATGTACGTTGATGGTGGGAATTGAAGTATTCTTCTGTCAAGGGCAGAGGCAGACAAATGAAACATGTGTATCGTTGCTCGAGAACGAAAGGTGAAGTGCTATTAACTATTTTCGCTCGGAGACAGCGCTAATGCAACGCAAAAGGTATTGGGTCGTTCATGATTTTGAAGCAAGGAAATCAGCCGCCTGGGGATATCGTTAGTATTAGAATTAGAGTTAAACTGCAGAAGACAACTTACTTCATCAAGCTTGTAGTCAAACTTCTCCAAGGCAGCAAGGGCTTCGTCGCGTGGGTAGCCCATGCCGGTTAATCGCTGGAGGATCATGTCGTCTTCACCAGTGCTGGAATCCAAGGCCCATCCAGCAGGTTTATTCTGGCTCGGAGGCTGTGGGAACGACATGGCTGAAGCGCTTTCGGTTGCCGCTTGATTGTCACCGTCCTTGTTTGCAGTTGCAGCGGCTTTAGTTGAGTCAAGGGTAGAAAACAGAGCATCCCAGTCATGGTTTGAGCTGGCGTTCTTTCCAGGGACAGCTGGAGGCGCCTCGCTGGAGAATGGAGATTTGTTGTTGGCGGAAGTTGTCGCATCGGCACTTGGCTGGAAGGAGAAGAAGTCTGCATTGCTGGGGTTATTTGCAGACTTGGTTTGTCCAGATGTTGTATCAAACGACATATCGAAGTTGGATGCGTCCTTGTTAAACGGACTCTCGAACGCATCTTCATCGCTATCATCTTCAACTTCTTGGGCTGGGGCTAGATCCAGTCCAGCAAAGGCAGCTTCAAAATCAGGGTTTGTTGGCTTCTTATTAGTAGTATCGTGCTGTGGAACGCCTCCTATGATGGGATCTTTTGTTGTTGACTCGACTGAATGGGGTGCATCACCTGCTGCGGTAGGATCATGTCTTCCTGGGACTAGCCCTTTGAACTCTGGGGGTGTATTTTGGGCGCCTGGTCCAGGTGGTGGAGACATAGGCTTGCCAAGCGATTCCACTGGAGGAAAAGCGGACTGCGGAGCTGCGTTCTTAGACTGTTCTTGTGAAGTGGAAGCAGTGTCTCGGGGCGGAGATGCAGGGGCGAAATCATCATCGAATCCAGCATGGTCATCCTCAGAAGAGTCATCATCGTCGTCAAATTCCCTAATCGGTGGAAATTCATTACTACCAGCAACAGCAGCAGAGCCGTTGGATTTGTCTTTGTCAACCTCTGTACTTCCAGCTGGCTTCTTCATGGAGGCAAATGCTTCCTCAAAATCCGAGGCATTCTGGGACGGAGATCTGGCATGTGCCACACCACCGAAGAGTTCATCGAAGCTGATTTCCTTCTTGGTATCAGGTTGTGGTGTGGTGTTTGTTGGGAATGCGCCGGGAAGAACGGGCTCTGGGCTCTTCGCGGTAACCCCTGCGGGGCCAGCAGCCTCATCACCAGGCTCTTCGTCAAAAGGAGAGGATTGCTTTCTTAAAGCATCTGCCTCTGAAATCCCCGAGGTGTCAAAACGACTGGCAGGTGGAGAGGGTCTGTTGGATGAAGTTGTGGATGCTATGTGGCCTTCAAGAGGAAGGTTGTTTGGGGTAATTTGTCTTGAGAGTGGTGGCGCTGGCGGCTCAGCGGCAGCCCCAAACTGAGTATCGAAGGCAGCAGAAGGAGTAAAGGAACCACTTGCATTTCTGCTAGCGTCAGGGGTGGACGCTCCACTTCGAGGAGACGCGGCTCTGAAAGTAGTTTGTGGGGGTGGAGTAGACGTAGTTGATGGCGCAAAGGAGGATCCAAACATATTGTCAAAAACACTGCGGTTGTCATTTGGTTGCTGTTTTTGACCAGTAGCCTGGGGAGATAGAGTGCCAGGAGAGGAGACACCGGTTCCACGCCTAAAGAAGGGGTTCTTTGCCTGACTGCCCGTTGATGCAGCTGGGCTTTCAAATGGTGAGTTATGAGAGCCAGGAGCAGTGACATCCCGTTCTGACCCTTCGTTTGGCTGGCTATGTTGGTCGAGCTCTTCCTGAAGGCGATCCCGTTCAGCCTCAACAGTCGCAAGCTGTTTCTTATTGATGGCCACCAGCCCCTTTTGCTGGCGTGCCTCAGATTTGGCCTTCTCCAACTGTGGTTTAAGCTGGGTAGTCTGAGCATTAGCCTGCTTGATCTTTTCCTTCAAAGAAGCGTTTTCGCGCTGGTCAGCCTCCAGAGCGGCGGCCACTTGATTGTACTGAGTAGCCAAGTCGCGTCGAGACGCCTCGATAAGGGAAAATTCCTGCTCGAGTCTCTTGGACTCTGCCCGCGAGGTAGCTAGCTGTTCCTCGAGCGCTTTGAGTGACTTGACTTCATTTTCATACATCGCTCGAGCTTGTGCAAGTCTGGCCTCGAAGTCCTTCTTCTGTTGATCAACCTGACCAATGTCTTGTTCGGCAGTGCTGCGTTTGGTTTGGATATTTTGCATCTCCTTGGAAAGCGTGCCAACCTGGTTCGAGAGGTTTGCGAGATCGGTCGTGTCCTGAGTCAACTTCTTGCTTTCCTCAGGATCCGCATCTCCTAGGAGGTCATCAGATGGAGATGGCGTAGTGCTTTGAGCTCCTGTTGCAGGGCGACCAGCAGCGATAGGTCCTAGGCTCTGACCAAAGGAAGATGCTGGCACAAAGGGCTTAAATGTAGAGGACGGGGGTTGGCGTGTTGGTGAAGAAGGAGGTTGGAACTGCGAGCCAGAGCCTCCTGTAGACTGTGCCACCTGCGTAGGAGCCGTGAAAACATCTAGGCCAAACAGGTCTTCAGACGCCGACCTAGCTCCAGTTGTCTGAGGCTGGATAGTGCGTGCACCAATGCGTCGCATACTAGGAGGGATCAGGTTAGGGGGCAGAGTTTGTGGTAGCGGCTCCTTTGTTGTCCGCTGCTGGCGCACCAGATACATAGCAACCGCAAATTCATCCCTGCTTAGCTGGCCATCAGAGTCAATATCTGATAGATCCCAGATATGTGCTAGGACTTCTTCTGGCAGTCGTGCATTAGTAAAGAAACCAACAGCCTGGTCTCCATTAATATACCCAGATCTTGCTTTGTCTACTGTTGAAAACACACTATCAAAATGTGCTTTGTCCTGTGGAGAGATTAGCCAGTCACTTCCTGTATGTACCTGGCTTAACGGACTCTGTGCACGGGGGACATGGCTCGAACCACTGAATTGCTTAGGAATGGCAGGCACTGGCGGCACATCTGGAATGGACCGAGAGCCAGTTGAGTTCCGGGCAACTACTCGCCGCGCTGCCGCTTCATACAGCCCTGGTGGAAGTGACTGAGGTATCCCTCTTAAAGCACCCGATTTATAAGCGGTTAAAAGGTGCATGGCAATTATAAATTCAGTAGCGTCTAAGGCACCACGCTGCATTGAATCAGCTAGATTCCATATTCTGCCCAGGATCTCATTTGGCAAACGGGCTCTCTCGAATATTTGCTTTGCAGTCTCTCCTGTTATCATATGGTCAGCAACTGGCCAAGGACGTCATAGTGGGAGCTAAAACATGTCTCGTACCTGATATATATCCGTTTTGCGTATCTGACTTATTAAAAAGGGCAGAGAACTTTGCAACATCATCTGGGTTTAGCGGCGGTACTCTAAGAGGCGGACCGGTTGGGGGCGGACTCGTCGCAGTTGGAACGTCTATGTTCAGGCCGGAAAAATTAGGTAAGGGGCCAGCTGTACATTCAACATTTGCCAGTTAGTTGTGATTCCATATATCTGCGGATGCGCAAATCGCGTCGACGTACGCTGTAAAGCCAATTCCTCTGTTGGATGCCGGCCAGCCTGCGCATGACCGATCAATCTCATCACAATCCCAAACCCAGATGGCGTCAAAAGCCCGCGATTCTGTGTATCCGCGATTTGCCATATCTACACTCATATTAGCCACTATTCCGAGCTAGAATGATCTGCCCATGAGTCCTAGAGGACGGAAAACGACGTACCAAACCCAGGGTCTCGGGAGCCAGGTTCGTCTTCTCAAAAAACGAAACAGCCGTTTCCCCGGTGATGACACCCAAATTGGTCTTATCTGCGGTTTGGAACAATTGGTAAAACACTCGTTTCTCTTCGGGAGTTAGGTTTAAATTGGGATGTTGTGCAGCTATATATTCAATATCAAAAAGAGTCAGTCAACGGTGTTGCGCGAGTCGTATGGTAGGTAGTCAAGGTACCCGGAAAATGCGGAGTAAAAGCAAGACGGAGGAGCTTACGGTCAGCCATAATGCCGGTATTTCCCTCCATCTAGAGGACAATACTGCAAAGAACTAGAGAGTGAAGCTCCCTGCTCGACGACAGTATCGTACAATGTTGGAATGTCGAGAGGGCAGCCGCGCGCAGGTTGATAGTTTACAACAGCCAACCCAAACAACTAACGGGACGGGCGCCCCTGATAACAACCAAACAACAAGGAAAGGAGTGTTTGTTGCGGTGTAGAGTGCGAGGACGAAGAGAAGCGAAGAAGACAAGCGCTTCGACGGCGTGTTAACGGTGGGAGACGAAGGCGTTGAAGGCGTGTTTGGTTGTTGTTGTCTTTCCTTCGTCGACCTCGTCGTCGTCTTCGTCTGCTTTTGGGGGGGAAGCTCGGTGAGATCGCTGCAGCCAATCAGGAGGCGCGCGGCACTCGGATAAACCTACACCGGGTGTTAGATTAGGTAATAATTACGTCATCATTTAGAAGCCGCGAAGATCAATGAAGAAGATGAAGAACGAGACGGAGAATTAGTTTTAATATATTCGAACGCTTGCTGTGGATTACCGGGTCTAAAATAAAGAAATTTTGCATGTAGGGAGGGGAAGAGACTCTACTCAAGAAATGCAAAATATAAGAAACTCCTTGCACCTCCGGAAGAAGAGAAGATAACAAAAACATAGTATACCAGGAGGACGCTCCCTAAAATCAAGGACATGGCATGGATTGACAACCAACACCCCAGCTTGGCCTGGCCGTCCGGTCAAGCAATCAGGAGCAACAACACGCAGTTCATTAGTGGGCCATATTTTTTCGGCGGGTTAGCGTCTGGAGATTAGTTGTCATGGGCCAGAGAACCGAGCAGGCAGAGAGCGTTGTGTGTATTATGATTGTAAGGGATGATGACCAGCAGGCAGATGGGAGTTTGTTAGTGGTATGTTGATTTGGAGTGCTGTGGATTAGTACTCCTGCTCGGGCTCTTCATCACCCTCGCCCTGGGCGATTTCCTGGTAGTCACGCTCAAGGGCCGCTAGGTTTTCACGAGATTCAGCGAACTCACCCATTTCCATGCCTTCGCCAACGAACCAGTGAACGAAGGCTTGCTTGGAGTACATAAGATCGAACTTATGGCAGAGTGACGTCCATGCCTCTCCGATGGCAGTTGTGTTGGAAAGCATGCACCTAAGATCTCGTTAGCTTAGTTGCCTCGCTTCGTTTCATGTCATCCTCCTCCACTATCCATTTATGGGGGAGCCTTCGTTTCAGACTTACACTGCACGGTCCGTCTTTGCCATGTCACCATTTGGCACGTGCTGAGGGAGCTTATCACAGATACCAATCTTGAAACCGGTGGGACACCAGTCGACAAACTGGATTGTCTGTTTGGTCCTGACAGCAGCGACGGCAGCATGGACTTCCTTAGGGACGATGTCACCACGGTAGAGCAGACAGGTTGCCATGTATTTGCCATTTTGCGGGTTGCATTTGACCATCTGGTTGTTAGGGTCAAAACAGGAAAGCGTCATTTCACGGATAGTGTTTGTTTCATGAGTAGCCCTGGAGTCCTGTGCAATGGGCGCATAGGCAAACATGGGGAAATGAACACGAGGGAACGGAACAAGGTTGGTCTGGAATTCAGCTAGGTCAACGTTGAGATAGCCGCCGAAACGGACAGATGCCGTGACCGAAGAGACAACTGTTTATATGTCAGCTTTTCTCTTTTCTTTTTTCTTTCTTTTTCTTTTCGTTCTTTTCGGGGAATGTTAATCGAGAATAGGTATCTATCTGCTTACCTTGCGCAACGAGACGGTTCAAGTTTTCCAATCCTGGCCGCTCAATGGTGAGCTGCTTGGTGCAGATATCATAGATGGCCTCGTTGTCAAGGAGGAAACTGCAGTCCGATAGTTCCATTGTCGAACTTGTGGCTAGCACCGAGTTGTACGGCTCAACCACGGAAGTTGAGAGGTTAGGAGCAGGGTAGACACAGAACTCGAGTTTGCTCTTCTTTGCAAAGGAGGCGGCTAAACGTTCTAGAAGAAGTGTACCAAAGCCAGAACCCGTACCACCGCCCAAGGAGTGGAAGAGCAAGAAACCTTGCAGGTCATCACAGTTCTCGGCAAGACGGTTGACTCTCTCCACGACATCGTCAATTATCTCTCTGCCGATGGTATAGTGTCCACGAGCAAAATTGTTCGAAGCGTCTTCCTTCCCGGTGATCATCTGGGCAGGGTGGAAGAGTTGGCGATAGGTACCGGTCCGAACCTCGTCGATCACATTCGGTTCGAGATCACAGTATATCGTTCGGGGAACATATTTGCCATTTCCTAGAGGCCGTTAGAAAGGACTTGAAAGCCATTGGGTAGCAGAGAAAGCATAATCTACCTGTCTCGGAGAAGAAAGTATGGAAGGTATCCCTATCTGGATTCTCGGCTTTGCGTTCTTCAGTCAGATAACCGTCAGGCTATAATAACAGACATTGACATATTAGGAGACCATATTCTTGCAGTTTAACGGACAAAGAGAGCGAGAGCGAGAGGGGCCCGGGGTGTCGAGGGAAAGGGGATCTGGGTGAGTAGGTACCTGGAGCCCGTGTTCAAGGCAATATAGCTATTAAGGCCAGGACAAGTCAGACGATCAGCATGTTCACGCAATCAACATTCACAAGATTATCCAGTCGCATAGACCTAGACATGAAAAATTAATATCGTACCTCCCACGAGGAGTTTGCAATCTGGCAACCGGCCTGGCCGACTTTAACGAGGCAGCAACGTCAGCAAACAGATCTAAGATCGATCTCCGTCTAAAACACGGGAGCCCGCAGCACAAGTTCATGTATATATTACCGTTCAAAGAAATAACTTCTCGCATGGTGAATCGTTAGAGGTCTCAAATCTCTCGAGTAATGTTGTTTAAGCAGAAACGAAGCGAGTCTCTCGCCCCACGGTCGACTGTAATGTAACAGGGAGGCTCTGCTCCTGTAAATGTGAGGTTTGCTGCCCAAAGCTGAAACGGCCGAAAAAAAAACCAACAGCAGGGTTAAAGCGGTGGGATGAGCAATCTTAGTAAAAGCTTCTATACTCTTGGAAGACAGGTAAGCAGTATCTCTGGCGGCCCTTTGCAAGCTTGACCGAGTGAACGTGAGCGTGAGCAGAGCGAGTGTGCGGTTTTCCTTTCTACCGTTTTCCTCTCCCCTTTTGTCAACAAAAAAACGGCGGCTGTTGTGCCATTGGCTCCCTTTTTCCTCCCCTTTCGGCGGTTCCTGGCTGGAGGGAAATAAGCGCGCTGGGAGAAGCGCCACCCCGGCTAGCTTCCCCAAAAGAACCTACAGCCTATCGACCTCTCCAGTCTACGTATCTTGGGCGATCTACGCTGCCTAGATAGATATTGATGTCGAAGGCGCATAGACAGTTCTTATATGACATATCGCTTGCCTGTGGTACGACCTTTTCCTCTCGACATGAGTGCGACGCTGGCTTGAGCAGTAGGACTGGCTTGTGTGGTAGGACAGCTGTCAGCCAGGCAAGAGCTAAAAGGACCCAACTACTGCACAGGTGAAGCAGCCACCGGACCACCGCGATCAACCGGGTCGAGTCCTCAGCCGTCAGGCTCATCGCAGCTGACCGCCGGGATACCTAGTTAGCCCTCCGGTGGCTTGACGCTCGCTGCAGGAAGTGCTGCGACCCGTGCTTGAGTTGAGACAATTCTCCTCCGTACATGGGCGCCGCTTTGTCATTGGAGCTGTGCGTTTGCTGCCGAGTTGGCTAGTGACAATCCAGAGGAAGATCCCGTGAATGATACTACTTGGAAGGATATAATACCTTTGTCTACCCCGCTGCCGAGTTGAGGGGGGGTTTTGCTCTCGTTCTGTTCATCGGTTCTTTTATACCTGGGGGAGCTTGCGTCAAGGATATAGCTATCACGGACATACCAGCACGAAAATAACAGAAAGGACCGCCATAGCACTCCGGAGAATAACTAAATATGCGGGGTTTACTCTGGTTAGTTAGTGGCCTTGTCGGCCTTGCACTGGCAAACGTCGAGAAGACGATGTTCATATCGCCAAACTTGGACACGGCACAGTCCGCCCTTTTAAAAGCCGAGTTGAACACTCTTTCACCTTTAGCACCGAGCATTAGAGCACACCTTGACGCTGAGTTTCCAACCGATACGGCTCCTGCTGGGAAGAGGTCGTGGTATCGTCTCGAAGGGCTGGTTCCTGGACAACGCTATGAAGTTCGAGTGTGCTGGCTAGCAACAGTGAGTACTCCCTGCCCGTAACCACTTCGGTATTTTTGGCATATCAAAGCTGTCTAGTAACAAGCCACGCTAACTACTCTCTTTAGCAACCTACCGAATTCACTCTATCAACATATACACCATCTGAGATTCTTCAGTCTCCAAACCTGCTAGCTTCCCTAGCTGAATTCTCCGAGCTACAAGCCCACCGTAACCAAAACAGTACTTCACTGGGAACCTCTATCCGCGCCGCCGAGGTAACGCTGTACCTCGTCGTTGATGCTGCAGCAGACTACTTCACCTCAGACAAAGCACTGATGGCAAATGTCCCACCAGTCCTCGTCGACCTCATTCTTGACCCCTATATTTTTAACATTCTTCCAACTTCCCTGGTGCCTACTTTGGGCTATGTTGCGGTTTCAGCTGTACTTGCATGGTTCATATCACGATATGTCTGGCTCCAGCTTTCAGCCGCAGCGGAGGTGCTGGATGTTGATGCCAGGAAGGAAAGTCAAACACAGCCTCGGTCGGCTCCGGTGCAGAACAATTGGATCGGTGCTGCAAGGAAAAAGAATAACCGAATTAATTTTTTCAGCTGTTAATTGAGTTGTACATGGTGAGGTGTTGGATTTCTCCGTCTTGGACTCCGGCGGATTTATGTTTCGCATGTGTTAGGATGCATGAAATTGGCTGAATGATTTCGTTTACTCTGCTCCTCATGGTATATATCACTCCTTATTCAAGCAGGTCTTGACAACCTTGTTCGCTCACCTAATATGAAATCGGAAGAGCAACTCTATACGTGTCATTGCTGCTAGGAGACTTACATATCCTTAGAGAATATTATTCATATTCAACCCCATGATTCTACTAGTCGGCTAAGGAAAAGCATAGCATATACATTTTATTTGGCACAGTCCTGCTTCTCTAAACCTATCCGGTCTGACTACTGATACGTATATACAGGCCTTTATACCAGGGCTTCGTATGACGCTACCATACGGCAATTAAATGGGCTGGGTCTCGCGCTTTAGCCAGTTGGTCGTCAACTCATCCTTCTCGAAGAAAGGACTGGTCTTCTCCCAGACTTTCGCATGGTAGTCGTTCACCCATTTCCTCTCAGCTTCAGTCAGGAGAGAAGCATCAAGAAGTTTCTGGCAGAAAGGAACCAAGGTGATGTACTCAAATCCGAGGAAAGGCTTGTCACCGAATTTGTGTGGAGTCTTGACTTCCTTGCAGATCACAAGGTCTAAAAGATATCGTTAGTATAAAGAAGATAGCAGATGTGGCTTTTCTTTTTCAGACTTACTCTCGAGACGGATACCGAAGTTGCCGTCCTCATAATATCCGGGTTCTATTTGGTAATTAGCATCGGATTAAGTAACTTGAAGGAGAGTAAGCTTACCGTTGGAGAGAACGTTGCTGGCGGAGAGTGGGACTTCAGCATACTGAGCTCGGCTTCCGATGCCCATAGGTCCCTCGTGGACGTTCTAAGAATGATGTCAGTAAGGCTTATAAGGAAGAAACTGGGGGAGGCCCGTACCAAGAATGACCCAACGCCGTGGCCGGTTCCGTGGAGGTAATCCAGACCTTCCTTCCACAAGTGCTGTCGAGCAAAGGAGTCAATGGCATATCCGGTGGTTCCCTTGGGGAAAATGGCATTGTCAATGCTAATGTGTCCCTTGAGAACAAGTGCATAAGCCTTCTTCTGGAACTCGGTGGGCTCTCCGAAGTGAAGAGTTCGGGTAGTGTCAGTGGTACCATCGAGGTATTGGCCGCCAGAGTCACACAAGTACATGGCCTTCGGGTCAATTACAGCACATGTGGACTTCTCAGGCTTGTAGTGAATTGTAGCACCGTTGGCGCCGGTCGAAGAGATGGTGTCAAAGGAGTTGCCGACGAAGTGGTCATACTTCTTGCGAATCTCAAAGAGCTTGTTGGCTCCATCTACCTCATCCAGCTTGGCACCTTCTTTGATCAGGGCATTTTCAAGCCAGGCGAAGTACTCGATCAAAGCTGCGCCGTCACGAATGTGGCATTTCCTGAAGCCTTCAAGTTCAACCTCGTTTTTGATGGCCTTGGCGTCGGTTATGGGGCTTCGAACCTCGACAACGTTCTGCTCTCCTCCGAGGGCAAGGCTCACGGACCAGGAAGCCTTGTTGGACAACAGGAATTTTCCACCGGAACCGCTGCTAGCCGATGCCTTTGATTCGGCGAGGGCTTTGGAAGCTTGGAAGATGCTCTCGTATGGCTTGAGAACGACCTTGCCTTCGAGGTGTTTTCTGGCTTCTGGAGACAGCTTGTTCTCGTCTACGTAGAGTTCTGCCACGGAGGGAGTCACGATTGCATATGAGAAGAAGACGGGGTTGTATGGAATACTGCATCAATCAGTATGGCGGTTAACTAAAGTGGAGATGGGATTGATATGAAGACTTACTCGCTTCCACGGAGGTTGAAGAGCCATGCAATCTCATCCAAGGTGGCTATAAGGCATTTGTTAGTATGTGGTTGCTCTGGTGTAGATATGGAGTCATACATATCACCATAGCAGATCTCTTCTTTGCGGCCAATTCCTTTCGTAGGTCTTCTACCTTCTCTTCGAATGACTTTCCTGCACGCTCGACAGGCTGTACAGTAATCTGGTTGGAAGGTCGTGCAGGACGTTCATCACCCCAGACGGCATCGATCAAGTTCTGGTCAATTCCAATCAAGGAACCTCCGGTGGTCTTCAACGTCTGAGACAGCTTTCTGGCATCGGCTGTAACGTATAGTTAGTCACAGATGAGACTTGTCAAGGGTGCATGCTGTAGACTCTCACCTGCTGTGATGAGTGACGGATCAACGCCAACAACTTTGCCGTTCTCAGCCTGCTCAGCAGTCCTATGTCCAGCTTGTCAACCATTGTACCGAAAACAACGTTTCACCGCGGACAAAAATATACCATTCTTCCCAGGTTGGGACACCCTCGACGCCTCGCTTCAACAGAGTCCAGTTGGAATCGAGTTGCTTTGCAGCTTGACTGAAGTATCTGCCGTCCGTAGACAGAGCAGCTTTACTCATGGAGACGATAGCACATCCCGCGGAGCCAGTGAAGCTGGATATGAAAGCTGCGGGTAATACGTATGAGCGTCTGCCGACTGGTAGGTATTACGGGTAGGTATTTCTTCTCTATGGAGGGACAGGTCTAACCTCGACGCCCATCACAGGGAGCAATGTACTCTGACTGATGGCTGTCTTCCGAAGGCACAACTTTAAAGCGAAGAGTAGAAAGAAGAAGAAGAATGAGTATAAGTCTTTTTTTATTATCAAGGGACTGTTGGTGGTGTATCTGATATGCATACTATATACATCGACCTTGTTCTGAGCCATCAGCTCTCGCAGCTTTGCGAGACGCTGGGTCGTGTCAACTGGCGGCGGCGGCATGTCGAGAGCAGTGCGGAGTATCTGAGAGGTAGAAAACGGTCGACTGGACTGCCCGGAGGGAGATTGGAAGTAGAGGAACCGTGGTTTGAAGAGAAACCGGAGAGGATGGCGGAGAATGGTCATTTATCGGGCGGACGAGGGGTTCTTTATAGAGGAACAGAGGAGAACGAGGGGCTTGTTCCGTGTCCGGGGGGATCATCCGCATGCAAGGGCGGCTGCGGAGAAGTTGCTGTTACTTTCGCTGTTAGTCTTTTGCCTGCTTGGGTTGGATTCTTCCTGCCCGTCGGTTGGTTGGCAAGATGTAACTATATACAGGGGGCGGGTAGTTCAGCGAGCGAGAGAAGGCGATCCGCTTGAGCCGGGCGTCCTATGCAACCCACTAGATATAGCAGTTAGTCAGGTAGTAGTTGGTCAGTTGATTGGTACAGGAATGATATCCCGTCAAGCTTTCGTCTGCTTGTTTGTTGATATCGACCTTTTTTTGTATTTTGCCTTGCGAGCTGCTGACCACGTGACCATCTTCTTCCGACGTCCTTTTTTTCTCCTTTGGGGAATTTTCGACTTCACGACAACTTTTGAACGCTGGAAGCGAGTGTTCTGCAGTGGTGCATTCGATGGCCTGACCCGATGAACCGGCGTCGACAGCCATCAGATATACCAAAAGAAAGGTGCCCGCCACAGCGCCATAGTCTCCATAGCTATCCCGACCTCCGGTGAAGCGAGTTGCGGCCCCTCCTTTTGTGACCAAGTAAGAGCGAGCAATGCTGTTTATTTATCAAGCGAGTTTCTATCCCGCAGCCACCAGGCAGCCATGCGTTCCGTATATGAAAGGGAATATACACTTATGTACCAGATTCCTAGAAAGCACTCTTCTTACTCTCCAAGGCTATGCTCTGTCTAGAGAAAGGAATGGCCCTTAATCCTGTGCTGTCACTGTTGAGTCTCCATTCCCTGGACGTCCGGTAAGCCAGCCATCGCCTGGTCAACCCTGCTGTTGTGTTGCACCCTCTACCAACTGGTGCAGTCTAAAGCAACTAATATATCTTCATTACTACTACCATTATCATCATTATTGATTGACTCTCTTTGCTCATCCCCTTCTTCCTATATTTGTGGGACAGAGCAGCTTTTTTCCCCTGTGGCTGTCTATTTCTCTCTACTACATTCATTATTGCCTTTGATTCCTGTCTGTCACAGGAGGACACTTGCTGTCACTGGTTTTTGATAACAAAATCAAGAATATCTTCTACGAAATTCCTTTTCCTAGCCAGAATCTCTCTTCTCCGTCTCTCCATATTTGGAGAGCCAACCAAAAGAGAAAAGAGACTTAACAAAATTTTCTGATCCTGGTGGAGGTAGTATCCAGGATGGACCGGCAAGATGGATCAGGCTCAGCTACGCAGCAGCAGCCTGATATTGATGCCCTGATTATAGAAGCGAGACAGGTATGTACAGAACATCTTTTTATGTGTATCTTACTTGTAACTTGACTGACCGATCTCCTCTAGCTCGCAACTGACTTAACTACCCCTGGTCTCGCTAGTCAAGTGGCCACTATTCAAGAGCGTCTACTAAAACTACAAAAGTCGAGTGCAGGATGGATGATAGCAGATGGCTTTCTAGGATGCGAAGACCCGAACATCAGGTTCTATGGACCGCTTACGCTGACAATGAAAATTAACCAGGAATGGTGAGGACGCTACAAGATCCCGCGTATAAGGAACAGTTCACTTCTAACATAGCCCTCTCGCGCTTTATTAGGGAAATCCTCAATGTAGAGCAGCGGCTGAGTCTCCTTGCCCAGTTGATGAACTGCTTCGTAGTGCTTGTCGACTCTGCGGAGAAGCCGTTGGTCATGAGAAAATTCTTCTCTACGCTAACCACATTCTTTTACAAGCCTGGGTCGCCGTGGACATATAGCGTGCGTCATGTCACTGTGACTTTGGCTAATGGGAAATATCTTCCTGAAGATAGGTCGGAGGAACCTACTCTCGCACTACATGCGCTATCAGCCCTCAGCCATGAACGTCTGACCGCGCTGCTGTCATTTTGCACGGCATTGGCTGAGGAGTCTACGCGGTATCTTACAGAAGGGTTGGTGCTTTCCCACTCTTCTCCTTTTTTAGAACTCATGCTTACGCCACTAGTAGTACCGAATCTGGTAATCGACTGCAAGTCAATACTGATGACGCGTTCCACTTAATCGACTATGGCTTTGAGCGTGCTGTAAACAATGCAAGCGGTGCCACAAACCAAAGCATATCAGATCACTCTCTCGCTGTAGCCAAGCAGTCCATCCAAACACTACATGTATGTACTACGCTTCTAATTTGGCTGACTTCCTTATTATTTCGGTACTGATTATAGCAACAGGCATGGCTGCAAGCATTCCATAATGGAAAAATTAACCCTCCAGGTCTTGCTGAGAAAGTGAGAAAACCTTTAGGCTTTGCTGCACGCTTCTTTAGCGTTGAGACCTTAGCTTTGCCTGTGATGGAGCTATTTGCCGAAACCATTGCCAAACAATACAAGCTGGTCGGTACGGATCATATCGATGCCATTCTAGACTTTATAGTCGGCCCTGGAGAGAAGTATGCAATTGCCTTGGTGAATGGTGAGTATGACGATGGATCTCTGAAGTTCCTGGATCTCCTTTTACGATTCTCAGCGCTCGACCAGTCAAATATCATTGTCAGAGGTCCATCCGATGAAAAACGAGAGAAGGTTCTCTTCCTACTGTACAAACTATTTCACGCACCTGGCTACGCCCAGGTGGATGACTGTGCCGTTATTTTGCTTTTAGAATTCTGGACTGAAGTTGCAAGCGATATAGACGAGCTGGTTCTTGATGGCGCACTAGCGGTCTCTGAGGAAATTAAACAAAAGCTTGCGAGAGTTATTACTGAGGGTTATGATAAACTACGTTTCCCAAGTCATGAAATCTCTGAAACCTGGGACGACGATGAGCTAAGGCTGTTCGTCTACTTCCGCCGTGAATTTACCGATTATCTCCTGGAGGTATATCCGCTGTTGGGAGTTGACGTTATCCGCCACATCCTAGAACAAGCTTCAACCTCGATTGCAAAGAACGACTGGGAAGGGTTTGAAGTTGCGATCTATTGTTTAGGATCTCTCGCGGAATCAGTTGCTGAAAACGAACATACCGACCATCTTCTTGATGACCTGTTTTGCTCGGAAGTATTTCAGTCAGTATGTTTCGGTCAAAAGGAAATTCCCCTGAAAGTACGGCAAACCATGGCAGACATGATCGACCACTATACTCCATATTTTGCTAGGAATGGGAAGCTTCTTGCTCCAGTATTGAACTTCCTGTTTAGTTCCCTTGATTTCCCTTCTTGCGACCCAGTGGCCTCACGATCTATTTCCTCCCTTTGTCAGTCATGTCGAAAGTTCCTTCCTATGCATTCTCAGGGGTTTATCGACAAATTCCACCAGCTCTGCACGAAAACTTCGCTCGGTGACTCAACCCTTGACCGTGTTGCGGAGGGTATTGCGGCGGTCATCCAAGCAACGGAACTTGATAGCGAGAGAGCTGTTGCTTTATTAAAATTACTCAATCCTTTACTCCAGGAGGCACAGGCAGCCTGCCAACAAGCAAGCAGTGGGCAATATGAAGAGGGTCTAGCACGAAGTTTAATAGTAATGCGTTGCACCGCAAGTATTGGACGGGGTATTCGCGCCCCAGAGGATGATGTGATTGACCTCGATACCCAAGACTCCCAGCCTACTTCCGACTCCTTTTGGGTTAACGATCCCCTTGGAGTATCCGTTACGGAAACAGTCATTCGCATACTGGATACATTAGTGGGCCAGTTCCCCAACGAGAGCTATATGATTGAGGCAACATGTGATGTCCTCAAAGCTGGTTACACCGAGAAGCTTCCAGGGCCCTATGTTCTCCCATCTCAAGTGACAGTTCGCTTTGTAAAGGCCACAAACATCTCATCTCCTCGCTTTTCAAATGTGATGGCTACTGCAACCGCATTTTTAGCCTCCCGCTCTTCAACACCCCTTGTTATTGAACAGGAAGTTACTGAATTGACCCTGCACACAGCTGCTTTGATACAAACCTTGACAATGTCATCCAACAGCTATGATCCTGAAGCGGCCCACAGCTGTATAGACTTCCTTACTCGCCTAATCCCAAGATACTATGTGCAGTTCTTTAACCTGCAGTACGTGGATAGCGCCCCGCCCCCTCTTCCTGCAATCCTTAGTTTCACTCTAGATGTTCTCAAGAGGCCCGATCCCCTACCTCTTCGCGCATCTTGCTCATTCTGGGCGGCCATACTATCTCTAACAGACCTACCTTCCGGGCTAATCTCAACCGGAGCTTCTATGGGCCGTCCCCAACCTAACGAAGCTCCAGGGTTTCTCGACCCATATTTGAGCGTCCTTGGTGAATCCGTTATACACCAAATTGCAGGAAACTGTGCTCGTTCAGACCTCGAACATTTCTGTGAAGTCATTAAAAAATTTGTTTTCAAACATCAGGGTGCTGCTCGACTTTATTTCGGCAATGGGCTGGCATCACTGAATATTGCTCCCAAGGCTCCCACCTCTGACACTGGAGCGGCGGAGTCATTACCGGCACCATCTGTTACACAGCTGGACCTTCAAAAGTTCCTTTCTACAATTATTTCTCTCCGAGGGGCAAGACAGACAAATGCAATTGTCAAAAATTTCTGGGTATCTAACCGGGGTAAAGGGTTTGCATACGCATAGGCGAAACTTGATACTGGGATATTGATGAAAGGAAATCCTCATCTCCATACCATTAAACTACGAGTATAAGGTGCAAATGCTTCAACGCAGGGAATGTATGTCTAGTCACACAAAAGAACGAATGAACGAACGAATGGATGAATGCATGGTAGAATATAGTCATGCGAGAACTTGTAAGTTCTTTTTTGTTCCGGTGTTGCGCCATTGTTTTGCGATTTCCAGGGTAGAAGGCATGTTACTGTGCATTTAGATGCAAGGTATTACCAACATCTAAATAAATAGGTACTTAGGTAAGTAGTTACGGCTGATGCACTGCGGTCCGCTTCACCGAAGCTAATTATCAATGCTTTAACTCGTCGAGTTTAATTTCTTTATCATGTCTCTTTTATCCAACATTTCAACACCCTAACTATCCTTGGCATGATGGCATAAATGTCGCATTTTCTTCCCCAAAGACTGAAGGATCGATCATCAAATATCAGCAGCTGGCACGGGATAGCTTCTGTTGAGAGTGAGAAGGTTGCCTGGCGCTTCAGGGCGCAAATAGCTAAGGGCATACTTATCCATCAACCTCATATCGCTGATATCTCATAACACTGCATCATGATTATACCCTACGGTTTAAAAACTGGTTTCAACTCCTGGATACCCAACACTCCCATCTAATGTGGAGATGCATACAACAGCTTACCGTCTTTTAGTGGTTGCGCGATTTACAGATACCCTCTGAATCAGTTGAGTATCTGGTCGTGTGAAACATTTCTACGATTGTGCAATGGTGGAGATAGAATGAGATAATTTAGATTGTACCCCATACGGCCCCAGATTATGGCGCTCAGCCTCGAATCTGGGGTTCCTCTTTGGCCATGATACCATATTTCAATGCATACCAGTCTTCCATAAAAGGGACCTTAGACCCCGTCTATTTGATACGAATTCTTCTCATCATCAGCATATTCAATCTCATCTCGACTAACTACTACATCCAAAACAAATTGCCAAACTCGACTTTCGAAAATACTCAATCTTCAAAATGCACTTCTTCATTGCTGCTGTCGCTGCACCCAATCCAGCTTACACGGCTCAACTGAGTAGTATGTGACTTATACCCCTATATTTGGCAGCTATGGTCCGGTACTTTATAGAAAAGATTGCTAATACCACATAACTAGCTGCTCTTCAAGTCCGAGAAGGCCAAGAGGTTAGCTTCATCCCTGGATTATCCACGGAGAAACGTGCTAACAACGACGGTAAGAACATCACACATAGCATGTTCATCTTTATCAGCTAGACAAGTGGGCTGATAAATCTTACAATAGGCTACCATAACTTCTGTAACGGCCCCTGCACGGGTTACTACTGCACGCTCGGCGCTAACCCTCAGTGCTGCGTTACCAATAACGGTTGCGGTTGCTGCTGGTATATGGATGGTGCAGCCTATTACGCCGACACAAAGCCTACTGATATCAAAGCCAACCATGGTGGAATGGTCGACGCGGGATCTACGAAAAGTCTCGCTGACAAGGCTGCTCCACACCGACAACCTGCCAGCCAATATAGGGTCGGTGGGTCAAAATCGAAGGTTCATTAAATCTTATACGCAGTCTATACCTGATACGCTTTCGCCTCCTCGGAGGTCGACTTTGATTTGATATGAAAAAGGTTTCATATGCGAGTTTGTGAAATGAGGATGTTGACGGGCTATCTATGACTTGAATTGCACCTGCAGCGTGCATATTTAAGACATCTGTCTTCCACAAGAGCCGTTTGGCTAGGCGTGATGCGTTGGAGTTCTTTTTGGATAGGGTCATGGATGATGGGTTTACGTATAAGGCTGGGTAGCATGATTCAGTACAAATTGATATGTATGGAAAGGAGGGCTTCCTTATTTACCTGGGTCTATCTATAATCTAGCAGTGTATAAGTGAACCTCAATTTCTTTTGGGCCTGGGACAACTTTTGACAACGCTATTCCATCATTACAAGATTTTCCAGTCACGCCATTCACAAAAATACTCGTATCAGGAGAACACAAAAGATATATCCGCAAAATCCCAAGGTGTTAAAACATAATGGAGGGACAATGGCTCAGAAACACTGATTCAGGCAATCCCATGCGTGTGTGTTGAATCCATTAAATATAAAGAAAGCTCAGAAGGTTTTCACCTTAGTAGCCTCGCCCAGATAGCTTATCCTTTTCGCTCATGTCTCGTACGCTAATACCAACCATGGCCTCACCGAGGCCCTCGCTCAATTCAGCCAACACCTTAGCATCCTTGAAGTGAGTAACGGCCTGGACAATGGCCTTGGCTCTCTTGCGTGGGTCGCCGGACTTGAAGATTCCAGATCCAACGAATACACCGTCACAGCCAAGCTGCATCATCAGGGCAGCATCGGCAGGTGTGGCAACGCCGCCGGCAGCGAAGTTGACAACTGGAAGTCTGCCCTTCTCAGCGGTCTCACGAAGCAATTCGTATGGAGCGCCCAGCTCACGAGCAAATGCGCGCAGCTCGATTTCGGGATCTTGAGCGGACTGCAGGATGGACCGGGCACGGGCGATTTCAGTGTTGACTTGACGCATGTGCTTTACAGCCTCAACAACATCACCGGTTCCAGCCTCACCCTTGGTGCGGATCATAGCAGCGCCTTCAGAAATACGGCGGAGGGCCTCACCCAGGTTTCGGCATCCGCATACGAATGGAACGTTGAAAGAGTGCTTGGTGACGTGGTAGACATGGTCGGCTGGAGTAAGGACCTCGGACTCATCAATATAGTCAACGCCAACAGCCTCCAGGATCTAGATTTTGGGTTAGCACGGTATCCGAATTGCACAGAGCTTTCCCCAGAGAAACATTGACTAACCTGACACTCAACGAAATGTCCTATCCGGGCTTTGGCCATAACTGGAATTGTGACGGCGGCCATGATCTCCTTGATCATGCCAGGGTCAGACATGCGGGACACACCACCCTCAGCTCTAATATCGGCTGGAACACGCTCAAGAGCCATAACGGCAGAAGCACCGGCTTCTTCAGCAATTCTTGCCTGCGGATTAAAATGCCGAGTCAGCATCGATGTGCCCCTTGGTTTACAACACGAAATCTCCAGATTGCAATGAAACGAGACGAAGTTCAGCATATACATACCTGCTCAGCATTGATAACATCCATAATGACACCACCCTTCAACATCTGTGCAAGACCGGCCTTGACGGTGAAGTCCTTGGTGACATTGTTCTCACCGGTATTGCCGTTGGCGGGGTGCTCTTGTGCCATTTTGGATAGATAGTTGGTAGTATGGGGGGTTAACTCAAGGTAGAATGGATTTGGCAACGAGAATAATGGAGTGAGGTGATGGTAAAGCTGGTTTAACGAACAATTGCCCGGGAGAAAGAGGTGAAGATATGAATTCTGTCAAGAGAAAGGAAAGATGGAATCTTGCCCCCCGCAGTTAGTCAAAATTTCGGCTGGAAGACAAAAAGATTTTGAGTTTTAGCGATAAGAACGGAACAGGCAAAGTTTACGGCCAGGGATGAGTCAAAATCTACCAATTTGCAGGTTGACGCCCCTTTGCTTTTGGAGATTCTCGTCGTTGGCAGGGCGCAGCTGATAAATGCAGCGTATATTAACTGATGGCGAGCGCTCCGTGTGGGAGAACGGAGTACATTCTCACGGACAAGTCATATGAGCATGTCCCTTTGCTTGGTTGGTCGCATCTGAATGCCCTGCCATGAGAACGAGTCGCCGCGGATACCCGTATACCCGCCCGTAGCGAGCAAGCCGCAAGACCTTGGGGGTTTATCAACTGGTTTGTTTTTTATCGTAGTTGATGACATATGCTGTCTAGATGTAATTGAAAGGTCCCTCTAGAAGCTAGTCAGATGAGGGATGTTGATGCTTCCTCGTATCCATCTCTCCGCACATGCCTTTTTTCTCCGCGGCCACGCTAGGAAAGCATCTTTTTTACCGAGATACATCATAAAGCATGGGCCGAGATCCTGTATATGCTTCATCAATACACAACAGGGGGGTTTATTCCTTTGGTGGGCGTCCACATGGTCTTGTGCATGGCGTTGTCTAAATTTTCTGCTGTGCTGCCCTTGGACAACTCAAAATAGACCGTGTCTCTTCATCGATGTTCTGGCTCAGCACCTAGGTAGTTAGCATTCAAAAATAAGCATCGATGGCAACTTTGTCAGATATAACAGGTTCTAGACCAAGTATGATTAACGCCCTGTAAGAGCTGAAGAATGGATGAAGGTGAACAACTTCGCTGTTCGTTGAAATAGACACGAGTTTCCGGATGTCCTGATTGGGCAATGGTCCCGAATATACGGATAAACTATGGTCCGTGCTTGCCGCGCCCTCCGACGTCATAGCAAAAGAGGGAAAGAAGGAAGGAACAACAACAACAATAACAGCAACCATCAAACTCGCATAGAAGAGCGACAGTTTGAGGCCATTGAACCTAACAACAGCAAGATATCACTTCAACCCTTGCTTCTACGGCTCCTCTCTCGAAAGGTCACCCACACAGCTCCACAATGGCCTCCCAGTTCCTCCGATTCGCCTGCCGGCCGCTCCTCTTTGCCGTACCGCTGTGTGCCTCATATTCGGTGCTACAAGCTAGAATCAGCTCTCCTATACGCTGCGATTACGCATCCGGACCTCTGCACCCGTCTTTATCAGAATTCAGCCTTCAACATGGAAACCCTTCGTCCCAGCAAAAAGGACTGTTCGGTGGTCTAATAACTGCCGAGACGGCCCGCCAGATCAGCCTCGGCAGTGCCCTCGGGGTTCTCACTGGACTTGGACTACGCATTTTCTCGAGGACCCTAGCGTTTTCCCTTGGACTTGCCATTATAATAATTGAGGTGTGTCTTAATCATAGCTGCATCAAGCAAGTCTTCTCTTGTCCTTGCTAACGATTTGGACAGTGGGCTGCATCCAAAGGATACGACATTCTACCGACGAGCTGGTTGCAGAGACACATCAAATCCGTTGACTTCCGAAAGCTAACGCATGAAAATGTCCCTTTCAAAGCTAGCTTTGGAACAACTCTGGCTATGGCTGCTTTTGGTGAACTTTAGATCGATGTTTATATAGATCTCCTTTGTCTTAACAGTTGCGGTTGGGGAAGCCGAGCCGTGGCATATATGCAGTACCATTTCTAGGATACACAATGCACTACGGGGCTAGTATATACATCTTTTATACTTCGTCGCAATTGAGATCGGAGGGTATCACAAGTAGCGAGAAAGCGTTCATTATTACTCATTCTCATCCATCGATGACAAGGTCTTCCAAAATGCTTTCCATTTCCTCTCGTGATAGAGGAACGCCAAGCAACTCTGCACCACTAGGGTCCAGCTTTGATGTGATCATCTGATGGTCATAGAATTCCTTCAGCTGCGTTCTGAACATCATCTCAGACGAGGAAATAAACTCTTCTGAGGCTTTATGAAAAAGAGCTCGCCATTCTATGGCCGCCCCCTTTCGACTTCGAGTGTCACCTTCTTCAAGGTCTTCGGCCTCAACCTGAGCATCATCTTCTTCCTCGCCGTCTTGGTTGTCCCCTAGCATCATAAGGATCTCCGTAATTAGTAATCGATAGAGCTTGCGCGTATTCTCTGGTAAACTCTTCAGCACAAATCCAATACCCTGTTTACCACCAACTCGTCGGACTTTACGCCCGATCAAGCTATGCACGTCGTCCACAACGTTTAGTTCAACGTTATATGAAGCAAATGTTGTGCAGTCGTGAAATACAAAGTTGAATTTATCCCGAAGGGTAATATCCCATAGAACGAGAAAGTTGGGAGTATCGGCAGTTGCCAAGACGTTGATATGGGGTATATCAGCAAGTCGAGCCAGATGCGACTGTTGCTGCGCGCGACGCAATGGTGGTGCATCAATGGAATTTATAAGAACTGTGATTGGCTGTGGAGGAGGGTGTTTGAGCAGAGCCGCACGAATAGACTCCAACACGTCATTTGGCTGAACACCGAGTTTTGAGGTATCATCGGGGCCTAAAATAGCAGTAGCAACAGTTGCTAGAATAGATCGGATGGTGATATCAGGTGTATATCCATTCACAATCACTATTGCAGGGGCATGACTGTAGTGCTCATACAGCCAATCTGCGTATCTCTGGACAAGTTTCCTTTTAGATCCATACCCGTATATGCACACATTGAATCCTTCCGTCATTTCAAAATTCCACTGCGGAAAGGAGCGCTCGTGAAGTTCCAGCAAATAATCCTTTTCCTCTTGTAGTGGGTCCTTGTATTTCCCAATCTGTTCGAAAAACTCTTCATGGGTAAACAACGACGATTTAGCCATAGTATTATTGGATGTCTGTACCGGTCCGGTCCGAGTTTGAAAAAAAAATTTCTCTTGTGGTGGTAGATCTCCCTCTGGCGTCGCAACTCGTTCGTTTCTCCTTGGTGTCTTGGGCGTCTTAGGTGTTTTCGGCGTTTGATCTTGAGGTTCTCGAACCTTCGGGGGCCTGCCTCGTTTCCGAGGGGTGACAGGAGGTTCTTTGGGTGCCTCTTTCGATACTTCTTTCGGCTTGGGCTCAGGCGCCTTTGGCTTGTTCGCTCCCTCCCCAGTAGTATCGACATTGGGTGTCACATTGTCATCAGAGGGAACGTCCCAGATTTCTCGCGCTAAACTATTGCTGCCATCCCATAAATCATCTTCATGGGGATCAAGAAGCACCCTTGCACTTTTCCTCTTTGCTGATCTGTCTGCATTCTGAATTCGTGATGGTGTTCCCTTGGGCGTTCCCTTATCAATGTTTCTTAGCTTGGTGGGTGTCTTAAACAGTGCTCTCGCTGTCGGCGTCTTGAGTGATGACTCTAAATCTGAAGCAAAGTCCACATTCTTCGTTGGTGTTTGTTTGGTCAATCGAGTCCTTAGTCGACTTGAAGGTGTGTCAGGAGCGGCGTGCTTCGTTGGCGTTCCGTTCAACTCATCATCTTTTCGGGGCGTTTGTCTGGGTCTCTTTGGCGTAGTAGATAGCTCTGATTGTATGGGGTCTTCATCCGAGGATATCTCCCTTTGCTTACGCTTCATCTTGTCTGGATGTCGCGCGCGAACAGAGGTTTCTCTCTGCTCCCAGCGTCAGTAATAATTTATTTTGGTTTCGCCCTGAAAGCTTCGAAGCGCAAAGAAACGCGAAACCACGTGATTGGCGCTTATCAGCAAGCTTAGAAGCGCGCCATCGAACTAAATAATTCGGAGCCAACTTGTACCTCTCTGGCTTGACTCATGCTCTCACAATATTTACCTGGACTAGGACTGTTGGAACTGCAGTCAATTGGGTGCGCATAGGTCCAAGCTGTTACGACAGTCATGGCTCCAAAGCAGGTTAGAGCCATTGGCCAGATATCTCAATATGCCTACCTCCTATCGAAGCCCGGAACTCCGGTGTCGGGCCAGGTCCGCCAATTCACAACACCGGTAGATGCATCGATCCCAGCGTCTAAGCAGAAATTCATACCGTCTTCAGGGACATATCCGAAAGGCTTTAAAGTGTCTGGGAGCCATGCTGGAGTTAAGGCATCGAATACATCCGCTCCCGACCTCGCATTGGTATGGTCAGAGGAACCGTGTTCTGCTGCAGCCGTCTTTACTACAAACAAATTCCAAGCTGCTCCTGTCCAAGTGAGCTCAGAGTTGATTCGAAAGAAGAACGGAAAGAACATTCGAGGCGTTATTGTTAACGCTGGTTGTGCAAATGCAGTCACAGGCAAAAAGGGCATACAGGATGCCAGGAGCATGGGCCGAAAGGCGGACGAATGTAATGGGCTCACAGAGGGTGATTCTAGTACTCTTGTCATGAGTACCGGTGTTATCGGCCAATTGTAAGGCAATATATATTCGATATCCTTCAAAAAGTCATTGCCACTGATGCTATTATTCGTCTAGGCTACCCATTGATAGGATCCTCAATAAGGTCCCTGAAGCGCAATCAAACCTTTCATCGACCCATGCTGCATGGTTACGCACCGCTCGAGCTATCTGCACCACGGACACGTTCCCAAAGCTCACCTCTAGAAGTTTCACGCTCCCATCTTCCCCTGGCCGTACGTATAGCATTGCGGGAATGACCAAAGGAGCTGGCATGATTCACCCGAACATGGCTACACTACTCGGTATCATTTGCACCGATGCACCAATTGAAGCCCCCGTGTTACAATCACTTCTTTCTCACTCTATATCACGATCATTTAACTCCATATCCGTTGACGGCGATACCAGCACGAATGATACGGTAGCTATACTTGCCAATGGCGCCGCAGGAGGAACACCGATATCCACAAGTGATTCAAAGGATTATACCGCCATGCAATCTATCCTAACACAATTCACGCAATCCTTGGCTCAGCTAGTTGTTCGTGATGGTGAAGGAGCTACAAAATTCGTCACTGTGCGCGTTAAAAATTCTCCGTCCTATACAGATGCTAAACGCATTGCTTCAACCATTGCCCGTTCTCCGTTAGTGAAAACTGCATTGTATGGCAAGGACGCTAATTGGGGCCGTATCCTCTGTGCGGTTGGATATACACCCGATCTCGCTCCTGGCACCGTTGTGCCTGAGAAAACGAGCGTGAGCTTCAAACCTGCTGACGGGAGCGCTGAGCTTAAACTACTAGTAAACGGAGAGCCGGAGTCTGTGGATGAGGAGCGAGCCTCGACTATTTTGCAACATGAAGATCTTGAGATCGTGGTGGATCTAGGAGGTGGAGCTAGTGGAGAGGCAGGCAAGGGTGATGAAGATGCTGTTTATTGGTTCTGTGATTTCAGTCATGAATATGTGACTATTAATGGAGACTACAGAACGTGACGTCGTTGCTAATAATGCTAATCTTGTATGATAGATTGGGTACTCACTCGAAGATAAGTCGAATTGGAAGTTCAGATCGTTTGAATGGTCGTAATTGAGAGAGAAATATGAACGAGCAGCTATTATATACAGATTAGAGAACTACTACCGGCCTTTCTCGAAATGCCCGCTTTTTGATACGAAGGGGAGGACGACTCAAATAGGCAAGCAAGAAAGCAAAATGAACAAAGAGCAAACAGGATTGGCTGGTAAATTATCGAATCTCAACCCACGCCTTATGGTTCCTTTGGATTTTATTTTTGCCTGTAAATGACAATTCGCGCCCAGTCATCTTCCCGTCCCAAGAAACATATAGAAAGAAGACCACTCGACATTGCTGATAATACAAATCGAATATTTAAGAGTAATAATAAATGTTGTTGTAACGGTGCTCAGAACTTGCTGAGCCGTTATAGAAAAATATTGTGCCTGGGCCTTAGTTGCCAGGGACTAGGCCTTTGAGACCAGCACCGAAGTCACCTTCCCGAGCGGCAATTTCGAAGTAACCGTAGATAATTCTGTTGATAGTTAGTAAATGTACGGAAAGAAAAATTTTTGTCAGGCGGGAGAATGTCTTACGTTACTGCGAGAAGGATACCGGTTCCACTTCCAAGAGCACCCATGAGGTCACTGGCCACGGACAAGGCACCAATACAGGCACCACCAAAAGCGGCGGCGGTAGGGATAATTCTCTTGAGTTCCTTGTACATGCTCTGTTCACGGTGTCCGGCCATAACTAATCCTTGGTCCTTGAGCTGCTTGGCAACGTCCCTTGGAGCGGAACCGGAGACTTCGATCCAGGTTTTAGAAAAGAGAGCGCAGGCAACCAACATGAAGATGAGGTAGCAGACGGTGTGGACGGGGTCCAAGAGAGCTTCCTTGAAGTTGAATGGGGGAGACATGTAGTAGGCGATACCAGATGAAGCGTAGAGTTGAGCAGAGCCACCCTCACGAGGCTCCCAAACACCGAGAAGCTTGACAAGAATGTTGTCAGAGAAACGAGAGTACAGCATCTGGCTGACCAAGAAAACGTTGGAGCAGAGGGCAGACTGCAACATGATTGGCATGTTGGAAGTGTAGAAGAGACGAACGGGGTAGGATCCACGAACACCACGTTGGCGGGAGGACTTGACGGGGATTTCAACACGGAAACCCTGGAGATAGATAACAGCAGCGAAAACGACAAGGGTGGCGATGAGGTTCATGATGTTGGGGAGGTTCTGGCGGTAGAATGCCTCATACAAAGCACGCTGCTTATCGGGCCAGGTGAGCAAGAGGTGGAAGAGAGCAATGACGGCGCCTTCAAACTCAGGTCCACGGCCAGTGTTGATAGTAGTCGGGGAGAAGGCCTTCCAGATGATAGACTCGCAAATGTTAGTGGCAATGAAGAGCGAGATACCGCTCCCGAGGCCGTAACCCTTCTGCAGGAGCTCGTCAAGAAGAATCACGACAAGTCCGGCAACAACAAGCTGGACGATGAGTAGGACACAGACACCGGCTCCCAGGTCGCTGGGTTGACCGTAAAGACCAGTAAGGACATAGACGCAGGCTTGGCCGAAAGACAAGATGATAGCGAAGAGTTTTTGAGCGGTCTGGTACAGTTCGCGATCGGTTTTGAGGTCGAGGTTAACGTCGATGAGTTGAGTTCCAGCGAGAAGCTAGAGAAAGCGTATTAGATACTGGAATAGCGACACTGCAAAGACGGCGAGAACAATGATATATTTACCTGGAAGACCATGCCGGAAGAAATAATTGGGGTGATACCCAATTCCATTAGGGTACCTCTGTTGGACGCCAACATCATACGCAGCCAGTATAGGGGATCCGAAGTATCGGAAGATACGATTCCATACAAAGGCATTTGACTCATGACCAAGAATATGAGCAAGGTCAACTGTTAAATCTTAACCATCAGCCACGGCCCAATTGCATCCCTCTCATACGGTTTTGATGATGGTTCAACGTACTCCTGTCCACATAGCCTTCTGGTTGAACGGGACCTTGGTCTCGGGGGCAGCCACCTCCGGGAGGAGGGGCATAAAGGGTTTGATCAGATCGAGGAAGCGTACTGCATCAGTCAGTAGGCAGTCCCTAGGCGTATACACAGCTGCTGCCGTCACAATTGTGGTCTGGCAGTGGAGATGGACTTACGGCCGCTCATGGTGGCGGTTGTCTTTGTTTTCCCCGAACTGAACAAAAAAGGAGGTAGAGAGGGTTAAAGCGGTTTATAAACAAGCCCAGACAAGCGATCAAGAGAGAAAGGAAAGGGGAAGAGGAAGGGAAGAGAGAGACGACAAGGTGGTTGAAGCAGCAGAAGGTCGAAGTTCTCGTCTCCTTGGATGTTTTTGTGGACAGAAAGAACTTACTAGCGCTTTGAGGACACTCTGGTCGCATCACGGCGTTGCTGACTAAGAAAGACTACACGCGACCTCTTTTGGGTCTTTTTCAACGTCGCTTCTTGACCTTCACCTTCAGGCTTCATCTTTACTGACGGCCATCTACAAGCGCTGCTGGCCAGAAGGGGGACGGCCAGGGCTTTACCGGTAAACTACTTGTTAGCGATGCCATGTCTGCCACGAGAGTGCTGAGGTTTACTTGAAAATAAGTGCAGTGGCGGCTGGATGCTCCTAACTTGGGCCATGCTTCAACACAGTATAGGCCCTGACAATGCTTCTATGATGCGTTGGTATGGGGCAGCTGGAGTGACAAGGGTGTTATTCATGCCTTACAAGCTTTCATAGCCTCATGACTATATTTCTTTTAACTATTTCTTTATACCCAAAAGGACCAGGGAGGACACCAAACAATGGCGATATGGGAAATTGTTTGAGTTATTCCTCTGGCCTACTGATGCCATCCGCTGTTTGATATCCCTTTCTATACCTATGACAAAGGTATTGATTCTACACGAACAGTCCACAGGTGAATCAGAGAAGAAAGCTGTTCGAGATGCTCATTCAGCATCATGGAGAGCTCCGGCCTAGCGTCACGTCCAGAATGAATACTTAAAGGCATGATGCAGGCTGCTTCATTTACTACTCCCTCTTCTATTACCCCAGAGTATTCACAACTACCAACTTCTCCCTAAGCAAACTCGGATGCTATCCTACAAACTTCATCTTCACATCCGCAAACCTAAAGACACCAGTTTGACCCATTCTTCTAGGGTATATGAATTATTTTCCTTCACTTTTCATATATCAAAATCCCTATACCGGAGGCACCTCAGGGGGGATTCACGTTAGCTTTATTGTTTTGCAATGGGGTCACCAGGGCTAGTAACTCCTAGCGCCGCTACTGGAGGTCGCCAACGTAACAAGGTATGCATTTACCTACCCGCTATAAAAAGGGGTTAGCTATAGTGTTAACAGTAATAGTGGCCGCGTTTGGCGCCATCTCCACGCAAGGATCGCACTTCTACAGTTCAATCCTTCGTCAGTCGTATGAAGTCGAAGCTTTCCCCCGACTCTACCAAGCTGGGCGCGGCTAGCTCTATAATCCAAGTGAGTTTGCTCCTATAGCTTAGAGGCCATCATCCTGACGTGGAACGGTAGGATAGGGGCCCGTCACCGAGGGATACATCCATTTCTAGTAAGAAAGACGTGGAAACATCTGGGAAGAGCCCGTGCATAGAGGAAGACATTTCTACCCCTAGCATTTCTGCCTCTGGCTCAAGTGTGGATATCGGCAATAGCACCATGGTCTCACCCTACTCACCTCCAGACAGAAATTTTTCAACTGCTTCTAGCGAGGAAAGATCTACTAAACAGTCAGTTGAAGAATCATATGGCAGCAACTCCTCCTTTGTCGTTAATCCGGATAGAGAAGATGACGTATTTGGACTGTCGGAAACGAGATCCCAAGGAGAACAAGAAAACGACCAGGAGCCTGAAGACACCGGAGAGGCAGAAATTCTTGAAATAGAAGTAGAAGTTGATTCGAACGCAGAAGCGCATGTGGAGGCCGACTTGGATGTTAGAACTGATACAAATTCCAGCTCAGAGAGCAGGGACGTCATTAATGACGACTCCGCCGACGACGAGGGTTGCAGCGATAGGGAAAGCGATGTGGACAACGACAGAGAAAATGGCGACAACGAAGAAGAGGAGGAGATGATATCATCCCGGGAAGTGGACTTCCTTCTTGACAATGCAGAGACAAACAGACTTAACGACCTGGCTGCACTCCAAGATGAATTCGATGACCAGATTGGGTATCTTGCCGATGAGAGAAACAAACTGCTCAGTGAGAAAATGTTCTGGCAGACCAAATTCGTCACTGCCATCAAAGGAAGGGAGCAACTACGCTCCCGTGCCTCATCCTTGTCGGAGGATAACTCCCGCATTGAGGCGGTCAATAAGATGCTCCAGCGTGAGATGGGGCTTATACAGGATATCGTTGACCGGCAATACGAAGAAATGGCGGAAATTAAAGCCAACTGTATGGACACGGTCACGCAGCTCAGCAAGGCATGTGAGATTACCAAGTCATACCTCGAGAAGGCCAGAAACGAAAACACGAAGACTGCAAAGGAACTAGCCATTCTGCGCAAAGTCGTCCTGAGAATCCGACAGCCATCTAAGAAACTCACTGAGTTCTCGATGCATCATGACTTCAAAGAGACCTTGGAAGTTAACCAAAAGCTAAAGGATCGAACCGAGACCCAGCAGCTAGAACTTGACAAGCTGCAGGCCCAGCTAGCCGAACGAGATGCGAAGGTTGAGAAGCTACAGGCGGACAGTACACAGCTGGAAGAACAACTCGACGGCCTAGTGTCCCTTAATGCGAAATGCAGGAAAGAGTTAGAGGAAGCCAACCGTTCGCTAACAAGCTACGAGAAGTCTCTATTACAGGCTCGAGACAAAGAAGCTCAACTAAACGACGGCCTCGTTACCGCCCTAGGTGAATGGTCAAGCAAGAAGAAGAAATTCAAGAACGAGTTAGTTGAGTGTCGGGCTAAGCTGCAGCTTAAGGACACGATGATCAATGCTCTTCACGGCCAGTCCTCGATATACCTGGAAAACTGGAAGGAGACCATTAACATGCTCTCGGAGAAGAATCGGGGAGATGAGCTGTCGGTAAAGCTAGCTGCCTGTCTCAAGGAGACGCTGGATCGCAACGAAGAGCTAGAGCTTGAACTTGGCCGGCTTCGTGAGAGGACTTTAACTCTTAACTGAAGCTTGAACTAGGATACTGTTGAGTGTGGAGCTAAAGTTTTCTTTGTATGCCAATATGGGTGTGCATCTCATCCATTGCTCCGCCCTTGTGCGATATAGCAGTGGTTGACACCGAGTGATCATTACATTCTTAATAAGGCCGAGGAGAGAAGTGGAGCTTTTTATTGAATGTGATGCATTGAAACTGATACATTGAGAAGCAGGAGGGGTTGATAATGGTGAATAACAACACTCTACCGCCTTCGAAAACGATGGCCAACATCAATCTATGTTATCTCGCCATACCGCTTTCTTCTTTCGACGTTGTATTTCACCAAAGTTATATTATAACTATCACTATCTGCATGTGAACGGTTAATAATTAGAAAAACATTTTTGTTGCTAGCAAATCGAAACGGTCATAGAAGGAATATCAATAACCTCCGCGAATTTGGCCTTCAATTGAACAATATCTCCAACCACCAAGCTGCTGTATTCACACGTACTATTGCCTTTCATTTTCTCGGGGTATTCCCTAAGACGTACCTAGGTAGGTATCGCAATCGGCATCCCATCTCTCTGGTTCTTGACTCCATTGAACCCATCAACCCTCGTCTGCCCCTGGTTCCCAACAGGAGTAGCCCCTTCGCTCTTCACTCTCCCAGACGAAGGCTCCATCTGCACAATACCAAATGACACCAAAGCCCACCAGCAAACCCATCCCCAGAACCAAACCGACACACCCACGAAGGCCGTAACAGCAAGCACCGGCACAAGCACAAGTAGCGCCAGACCAGTGCACACAGCCGTAAACGTAAGCGCGCAAAGCGACGCGAGCACCAACGCGGTAGAAAGCGAGAATATCAGCACGCTGACAATCTGTACCACGAACAGGATGAGTGGGACTCCGCAGAAGATGGCCTGGGAGGCTAAGAAGGAGGCAAGGATAGGCCGCTCCCTGGCGAAAGATGCGAGCTGGGATTTTATCTCTGCTCGTTTTGGAGGTGGGAGGACTGCATCGAGGGATGCATGGAGAGCCGTGTAGGCTTTTACGATGAGTGCTTTGATGATGTTGATTATAGATCTGATGATTGAGGATAGGTTGGATCTTGGACGCGAGGTGGTGCTTGCTGGAGGCGGAGGACCCATTGTGATTGATGGTTAAGTTGTTTGCCTGGTGCTCTTAATGCTACCTAGGGGTGATATATTCAGGGATTGAGAGTTCTTATGCACAGGGAAGAACGGAATGGATGGTTATGTGCATAAGTGGAGGGATGGAGGAGTAGCTGGGAATGTTTTCTTTATATTCAAGTTTAGCTAGTTATTTAGTTGCGTTGCTCTGCCACCGTCGACGTCATAGCTGGGCCTGTGATTAACACCCAGATAACCAACTACCTAAACTACCTCTTGAACGATCCACGATCAGGTTCTCCCTCCCAACGCTCGACGCCCTCTGGTATCTCAATGACAGCTTCCTTGCACCAGATATGTACTGCATCTTTCATCATCTCTTTATCGAGCGCCACCAGACACCCGGCTTTGACACTAAGCGTGTCTCCTCCCCGCGGCCGATGTACCAGGCGGCAGCCGCAGTTGGTGCAGAAGAAGCAGTCAAGTTGATTTCCTGATTCAGTGGGACGAGTGTAGACCCCTAACTGGCCTGGTGAGGATGTAGGAATTTCGAACGCAGGGAAGAGAGCTGTCATTCCGTAGGTTGACGAGGACTGATGTCGGCATTCGGTGCAGTGGCAGATGTACATCTTCAGCGGCTTCGGGAGAGGAGTCGTGAAGCGGATTTGGGAGCACTGGCAGCGACCTTCCATTTTGGTCTTCTTTTGTTACTTGAGATGCTTTGTATGGTTGGTTCTGAGGTTGGTAGATGTTGGTATACTGGATGGGCCCGTGGAGTACCTAAGTGTTCTTATACTGCGGCTACATCTGGGGTGCATGTATGCAATATTAATAATTGTTATAATATATCCCCACTTCGAGCTCGTGTTTAGGATGCTCTGAATGCATGAGAAACACGGTATTATATACGAGATACAGCGCCTGATTTATCAGCTCCTTGGGTTGAGCCGGCTATATTCAACCCACCTCCTAACACACTCATCCACTCTCTTGAGCTGTTCCTTACTGGCCTCCACCTCGAAATACTCCTGGTGTTTCCTCCCACACTCCCCGCACGGCTTGCCAGGTTTAACTCGTATATCAGTGAGTTCAAGATGCACTAATCTCTCTAGCCTATGCACGTTTGGAGCCTTCTGTGGAAGCTCCAATGAGGCAGCTCCAGACGAGGGATGGTAAGGATAGTATCGGATAAGCGTGAGATTATGAGAGCATTGCTGGGTCAATCGACGACAGACGTTGACTGCACGCCCTATCTTCAGGGTTATGGTGTTTGCGGTCCGTCTGCCAGCTGGGTCATGTCTTGTGATTTGGGATGTGGGAGCGATGCCTGCAGAGGACATGATATCGCTTGTTCGCCTTCTTCTAGCATCATTTCTATCAGACGAGGACGGTATTAAAGAGGCAGTCTCGTCTGCCTGGGGCTGTGAGTCACTGGGTGTCACGCAGTATATGTAGATATAGCCCGCCTCTTCAGCGGATGAGAGAGGCTCCGCGAGCTTTTGTAGTAGTTTTGAAGTTGTTTCTGGCGACAAACTTGATGGAATCCAGGAGAGAAGGTACTCCGTTTGAGATGGGCCACGTTTGTTGGAAATCGATGGACGTAACGGTTGGTTGTTGGATAGCGAAGGCTCCTCGACGGTGGGTGGAAGTTGTTTCCTCTTGGGTGGTGTGTACTCTGCCAGGTCAGACCTATGACGCGAGCCCCGTTCATGACCAGATCTTGCATGTCGACGTCCGCTATGTGGCAGAGGCTGCGGAACCGGGTCGCCTGGATGTGGTATGGGCCGAGCATGCGAACTCCTTCTAGGCACAGGATGGTGTTCATCATCGCTGTCCATGGGGGTGAAGAAACAGACAAACTTCATCCGCTGCTTCGATTTCTTCTTTGGCGCCTTTGGAACATGCAGAGTAGCTACTCCAGCCACCTGCTCAGTCCTTCTAACCGAGCCATCCAAACGATGCCCAGAGGTTGGGTTTCGATCAACATTAATCCCTGAGACAGCCGTACTGCCACGTACAGAATGCACTTCATCAACAGACAACACGCCCACACGTTCAATGAGCGTGTCCAAGCTGGATCGCGGCTTTAGCCTTGACGTCCTCGGCCTCGAAACCGACAATGTTTCACCCTGACTCTTGTGCTGCCAGCAAAACAAGCCGCCCGGCGTCTCTATCGTGGTATCATCTTCCCTGCCACTGTCTCTTCCTCTCTGCAGGACATCTTGCTTGCTCGATGATGCAGCAGCTATCACCGTCCGTCGACACCTTCGGCCATCGGCTGTCAGCCCTTGACAGGTCGTCGCTGGGTTTTTGGAATCAGACCGGGCGAGTTGGAACTCTGGACAGTGGCGGATATGGGACATTATCTTTATTACCAGCTTGGTCTTCTTCTTGGAGAATGGGAATATTGCTCTGCTTCTCTCTTCTCTTCTTGCGCAAGTTCGCTGCTTGAAAGCTGAAGGAGCCCGCTGACAGATGGGCTTCGTCAAGTGTTCAGTTGTCAGCTAGTTACGGGACAAGTCAAAGGGACTCATAACGTATAACTGTTTATTTCACAACCAAACTCGAGGATATCGTGTCTCTCTTTCACGTTGGTCAGTCGGTCGGTCGGTCAGTTAAGTAGCCGCCGATGCCTGAGTGACCGCTGGCCGACCGTGATGGCTGTGCAGAGCGTCTTGTCTGCCTTGGAATGAACCCTTGATGTCCCCAGCCACGCTCCATCTTCATCGCCTTACTTTTACTTCTCACCTTCTCCTCGGGTTATATGTAGCCGACCCAGCTGCTTTCGATCCCACTGTCGAAGAAGATACACGGACATAAATATCAAGATGGAAAAAAAAGAAGGAACAAAAAAAGAAACCGACCACGGTGTGATTCGAACACACAAGTCTCTGGTGAGCTGAGGCTTACTTATTACAGCAAGCGTCGCCGAAAACCAGCGCCTTAACCATTAGGCCACGCGGCCCCGTTGAATCCTAGCATTACCGCTGACTTCTCATCGTCTTTCACCTTTACCTTTTTCACCACTTTTACAGTTAACCATCATAGAAGAGCTCTGCATACCGTAGCTAATGCTGTTAATATACTTAATTTGTTAATTTGTTAGCTAGTTAACTAAGTAACTAATGTTCTATTTTAATTAGTTAGTGTTAGCTATTTGCTCCACTACTTTGTTAACACTGGTTATAACATCAACGTTGACTCACTATCGATTTTCCAGATAGATACTTCCTAACTTCAAACGGCGGAACTCAAGAAACATATCTCATCCTTCCATCCCTTCAAGCCAGCATTTTTGAAGCCGATGGCCCGCACATTTCTCGCCTTCCAGCACAATGCAAAGCTGTATACCCTCCAATCACTTGTGACTGCAGTACGGCCATTCGCTGCACTCGAGGAAGCCAACCGCCAGCTCTTCAAGCAAGGCAGCGAAGAAGACCATGTGGTAGTCACTGAAAAGACCATCTTCCACCCTCAAGGCGGCGGCCAGCCTTCAGACATAGGGACTATCACTTCTCCCTCTGGCTCTTCTTTCACCGTAGCCTCGGTTAGGACGGACGCCCTTCAGGACGGCCAGGTACTCCACTTTGGGCGCTTCAGCTCATCTCCCTTCGCGGTTGGCGAGACTGTACAGCAGGAAATTGATGTGGAAAAGCGTCTTTTCTACTCGCGGCTGCACACTGCCGGCCATGTTCTAGGCGCCGCAGTCAAGCATCTCGTGGAAAAGGAGGTGGAGGGATTCAACGAGCTGAAGGCATCGCATTTCCCTGACTCGGCGGCTTGTGAGTTCCAGGGTCTTATCGAGGGGAAGTGGAAGCCGTCTATACAGGCGAAGGTCGATGAGTTCATTGCTGCTGCCATGCCAGTTGAGATAGAGTGGTGGGATGAAGATGATTTCCGCTCTAGGGGGCTGGAGAGACTGATACCAGATCCTACCCTGGTGCCTCCGGGCGAGAAGTCTAGGGTGGTCAATATAGTAGGGGCAGAGGTGTATCCATGTGGTGGTACTCATGTTGATACAACGGATCTATGTGGACAAACGACCGTGAAGAAGATTTCTCGGAGCAAGGGCACTTCTCGGGTCAGTTATACTGTGGTTTGACAAAAGGATACATAGGAATACATAGACGGAATAGATTTAGAAGAATAGATGGCTGGGCTGAGATTTTTCTGCTGTATATAGCGGGTGTTCATAGATCTTTAGAAGATGAAGTCCTTCTGTATGGCCTATACTGCTGGGCATCTAAAGGATAGAAAGCGTCAATATGCTCACTCTCACTATCATGTAACCGCTTTATATTTCTTCTGCCTTTTGAACTGAAACTTTCCCGTGATCTCGCCTACGTTGGATATCATACCTTAATCCTCAGTATATAGGTCCTTCGTTAAATCCTAATGAGTGATGTATATATTAGGTCGAACAGGTGTTGAGGTATGTCTTAACCTTAACTGCACTGGTATCTCTACCCACTGCAATTCTCTGCCCTTCCTGTCGCCGTTCAGGTCCGCAGTGTATATATGAGATCGAAGAAAGCAACTGATCTGACTATAGCAGCTATAGTTAGTGGCAATGCCAATCCTTGTATCATCTGCATGCAAAACAAGTTCTTCGGGCCCTACCCTGAATCTAAATGGCTATTATTTCTCTATACACATAATTAATATAATGTTGTTAATCTTTGGGGGGCCGGTTGGTATTGATATCCTTCAAAATGGCAGCGGCACCGGCCTCTAGTAGTCTTGCGGCTAATTCTTGTCCCAGCGCAGTGGCTTCTTCTTTGGTATGCACCACTGTATCAGTTGTATCTTCAACACTTTGAGTGCCATCGATACTAACAACGATTGCTCTTATTCTCAGGGTTGCGTCCGGTTTATCAATCCACTCTGTTTCAACGCCAATGGGGACACTGCAGCCACCCTCAAGCGTGCGCATCAGAGAACGCTCAGCAAGGCATGCGAGGCTAGATTTATGGTCCAGTAATTGGTCTGTTAAACGCAAGATTTTGGCATCACCTTTCCTAACTTCAAGGCCAATTGCACCTTGGCCAACTGCATGTAGAATCCCACCGTTTAGAGCCAAGCCGTTGGTTGATCCGATAAGCAAGTCCCACACGTTCAAGTCCGCAGGCAGACATTACTATACAGATATACTCGCTTTTTGGATCATCAAGCTTTGCTAGGCGGGTTTCAACATTGCCACGTATATTCATAAAACGTAGATGCGGAAATAGACGACGAAGCTGCGCAGAACGACGCACCGAAGAGGTACCAACAATTGCACCTTCAGGCAGTGTTTGTAAGCTTGTATATGGTAGACCAGCTTTGATAACTAAGGCATCACGGGGATCATCACGGAGGGGAATAGCAGCCAAGTCACAACTATCGGGGAGCTGCGTTGGCATATCTGGCGGAGGGTTAGTTAAAACTATTTTCTTGTATTCGGATTTGAACGGAGCGTTTTGAAGAGCTTACCTTTAAGACAATGCACAACAATATCCAGCTTGCCCGAAGTCAGTAATTCCTCTAGCTCTGTTGTCCATAGATCCTTTGCACCAAAGTTATAAAGAGCACTATTTTGGTCTTTATCTCCAAGGGTATGAAGGGCTTCAATTTCAAAAGTATGCTCTGGTGCAATCTTCTCTAGTTGGCTTCGGATAGTCTTAGCTTGGATCACGGCTAGGTTGGATCTTCGCGTGCCAATCCGCAATGGCAGGCTGGCCACTGAAGCTTCTGTCTCTGCCATGGCGACGTCGTGCTGTCGAGGAATACCTAGGTGGTTATAAGTGCTTGCTCCTCTGAACTTTTGCGGCTGTTAAATACTTGACAGTTTTTGACTCCGGGAAGTAAAATCGAGGACCCACGGCAAGGGTTAAACACGTGACGCTCTCTTCCGGCATCATCCATGGTGATATTAGGATGTTATATTGGTTATGTCTGTCAAATTAAAGCATGCAGAGAACATAGTTGGCTAGAGTTGATCGTTGAGCCTGTTCGTTGCTGTGCTTTGTAGGAGGCTGATGTCTCTAACCACCAAGAAAAGACTAGCTAGTTAACCTGTAGGTTAATATTTGATCAGCGACCTCAATAACTACAACATCCAGACTACCCCCTATGACAGCCCCTTTTCGAAGGAGAGCACGAAGTAGTATCAGGAATTTAACATTCTTATGATGTTGAAACAGGCTCCGACAAGAAATATATTCCTGCCTTTTCACCTATAAATTTCTCGCAGTTATACTTGAAATATTATATCTTAACTTAAAACCTTAGGGTCCTTTATCAAATAGATATTACTTCAGACAGGCCTGGTATCTTAACAATGTTAAACTTGTCAACTACATACCATTGTAGGACGGTTGATATAAAATGTGTGGCTAGGCAACAGCTTTCCCAACATAACACCATCTGTCCTCTTCTACCTGCATAGCTATCTGTACACTGCAGTTAGCAACAGTACGCTCGCTAGTTAACTAGTTCAGGAAGCCACCAGAAACACAAAGCAATGGGCTCAGTTTTCTCTTCCGCTCAGCAGCCGGAGCCCCTTGACTTCAAATACCTTCCTGCACCTCCACCAGGCCCGAGCTGCTGGCGGCCTCCGTCAGATGAATACACGAGACGCACATCTTGCTACTCGCTGGATGGCTACCTTATCCATGGCTATCCGTCAAAAGGGCCCAAAGGCGAAGCTAGAAAAAATTCTATAATCGCAAAGGGAGGGGCAGACATAGTTGATCTGAGATTCCTTGGATTTGACAGATTCGCACCACCAAAGGAACGCCTCCAGAGTCAAGCAGCAGAAGACCGGTTTTGTCGTCTACTCTTGAAATTAGGGGCAAGGCATTGGCGAAGTCATCTTGCTATATTTAACGCCATGGACCCGATGAGCGAGGAATACGATGATGAAATAAAGTGGTTTTTTGCATGGCCAGGAATCGACGAGCATCCAAGTGCGAGAAACCTCGAGTCTGACGAATACAGGGAGGTAGTGGAGAAGGGTGGTGTTTGGGCTTTAGAGATGATACCCGAGAAAGTCTTTGAAGCTGGGAAGCTTAGGATGTGTCTCACAATGGAAGAAAAGGTAGAGGTGCTGAAGGAGTCGGGCGCGGTATTCTATCCAGACCCGAGAGACTGTCCGCCGCTCGCAGGCCTCTATCCCGAGCATAATCCCTCTCTCGAGCCATCTGTCGAGCAGGCTGTGAACATGTAGTTATTATAGTTTCTCTCGGGACGGGCCGAGCAGGGCCTCCTTTATGCTAGCCGGATGAAAGTGTACTAAGTTCCAAGAAAAGGATTGTCTACAGATTCATTGCTGGCCGTGAATATAATCGGTGTCACCCGACATAACGTGCATAAACAGGAGCCTTCGTAGACTTAAATGATTTGGAGATTGACAAGATTTTCATCTCGCAGCTAGTTATTATGTATAACTACTAAATAACTAGTTAAATATGTAAATGAAGAAAAATCACCAAGCACGTATCTTACATCTACTTTTCTAACTGTCCGACTTTTAGATAGAATGTTGAAGCATATTTGCAGTTTCGAGGCATTCTATGCAACTGTTACCTCCTCCGGGCCGATAATTTCGTCACTTGGTGGCTGTTCTCCGGCAAAGAGAGCACTGATAATAGCAGTAGCACCCGTCACCAAAGCAATAACCAGAGTCATGGTATCCCATCCAAAACGAGCCTTGAGAAAACCTCCTATAATGGGACCGAGTAGCTGTCCGCCAGCAAATGCCATGTTATATAGGGCATACCCCTGGGCCACGGGGTTGGCATTGCTTGAAGCACCGCCGCTTTGAGGAGAATAAACGACTTCAAACACTTCTGACATCGCGGCAAGGGAAGACGCGGAGATTGCTAAGCCGTTTATCGCCAGGAGACTAATCATCAGAGAATATTCTGCTATGACAGGGTGCTTAACGAAGCGAAGCGGGACCAAGGTCGCAGCCGCAATGGTGAAAGAAACCGTGGCAGAAACTCGTGGCCCACATCTGTCAACTACCTTTCCAACAAGGGCGCCTGCCATGCCGGGGATAGACATGATGAAAAACACCAATCCTATGCTACTGGAAGACCAGCGGAAAGACTCGATGAGGAAGAGAGGAAGTGTCTAAGAGCGGCTGGTAAGCGGTCATGTTTCTAAGTAGTGAAGAGGAGATCGCCTTACTGTTTCAAATGCAGAGAAGGTAATGGCACCAACTAGGCCGGCTAACAAAGCTACAAGCAGACGTCGTTTGCCCAGCAAGTAGAATAGTTGAAATGTGGATTTTGGCTTGTCCGAGTCGTTGGCAGTGGGTGCCGGGGGTTGCAGTAACGGTGAGCGTTCGTCGCTTTCCATTCCTTTCCACTCTCTCGCAGCTGAGAACATTTAATGTCAGCCGTCATATCCATAAATAACAAAATCAACGGGATATATGCAAAGACATACCTTTAGGCTCAATCAAGACAACCCGCAAGATAACATCCAAAATGATCAATCCAATCGGCACATAGAAAGCTCCATAGAAACCGAGCTTGTCATACAAAACTCCCCCCGCTGCCGGGCCTAATAGAGACCCAAGGCTCAAGCCCATGGTAGTGTATCCCATGGCCTCTCCTACTCTCTCCTCGTCCACGGTATCAACGACAAGCGTCAGTCCGGCAACCCAAACGGCAGCACCGGAAAACCCTTGGAGACCTCTAGCAATCAAAAATAGGATAGGAGACCTAGCAAGCATGAAAAGGGCCGTTGAGAGCGCGAGAGCGACAAGGCCGGCGATGAATGGGCCTTTTGGTGATCTGGTGCGATCCGCAATATACCCGAAGATTGCTGCAGTTATTTTCCCGTTAACAGTTGGCGTTAAGAATAATGAGGCACGGTATAGACGTACGGGATCCCAGCAGGAGAGTTCCTCCATAAGCAGCTAGTAGTATTGACATCCAGCTTTGGGCTATATAAACGGGTTAATATGTCAATTATCAAAACGATGGGAGGAATTGCATATAATGCTCTGTACGCACCATCGTCAGGCGATACTCCGATACGGTCAACAAGGGCTTTCGGAATGATAGGCACAATCTAGAACGCACTGTAAATATCAGGCACGAAGCGCCTCAGTGGGTAATCGGTGGTGTCACCGTCTCATACCATGCTGTAAAGAAATATATCCTATAAGACCGTTAGAATAGCATCCTTTAACGGCGCCCCCAAATACTCCCAGTCCGTGCTGGTTTTACTTACCACAAAGATAGCAATCGAGACAACCAGAATGATAAACGCCTCCGAAGAGCGCGCCTCCAGCAGCCATGGTTTGGAATGCATTTTCAACATTTTTTGGCGCTCGCAGTCGCTGTAATTAAGCAACGGGTTGCAAGTTCCGGGCCCTGAAGTTCAACAAGAAGTTGAACGTTCAGTGAGAAAACAGCCGTCTTGGAGGGCAGGTCTCGAAATTGAGATCCGGCCTATCACAAAAATTAGACTAGAGTTACTGATATCAGCTTTGAACGGGGATTGTAATGTCTCGTATTCCTTTAGGTACGGACAAAAGCAATTATATTTTTTTTTTTATATTTTCCTCATTGATATGAAGCTATAAAACTTCCCATTTGATAGCAAGGCTTTGAGTATTTGAAAGTTGACGTAATGCACCTTCAACAAAAATAGCCATCAAGCACTCTGTAGTTGCCGGGTGTAAGGGATATTCGAACTAAGGCCCTCCAAAGACAGAAGGTAACACAAGAAGGTAACACGAAGAACTCAGGGACGTATCAAAATTGTCAAAGGGATGCGTAGCCCGCATGGCTGCATTACTAACATTGACTAGTAACTGCCTTGGCAGGAGAGGGAAGAAACCGGAACCCAGAATCATCACATTTCTTTTTAAGTAAAGGGCATTTATGTTCTTCTGTCAAAAAGAGCACATAACGGCCTTGATGAGAACAGAATATAAATACAGTAACAGAACAGGCGGAAATATTACCTTGTCGCTTTAATGGCTTGTCGCATCACGCTTGGTTTAATTTCCTTCAGCTGTGCATTGACGGCTTCAAGTGATAGGCGAAGGAATCCCTATCTGCAGCAACATATGCTGGTACGGAAATATCTACTCATTAAGTTGTTGCAAATCAATCAACCATGCAGCCCCAGGCAGAAGCAATGGCGGAGCAACATCCCTGGGCTTGCAAAACCCCTTTTTTGCTGATAGTGATACACATGAGCAGGCCACATCCATGGCTCCTAGAGTAATATTGAGTGGCCATCCAAATTTTCCACGGAAGCTTTTGGATTTGGTTGTTCAGCGTTTGAACAGGTTGTCAACCGAGACAGCACGTGGATAGCATCGACGACGAGGAAGTAATTAGAGAAGAACAGATAGATACCTACGATAGACCCTATCGTTTCGCGGGGTTATACCAAAGATTGGCGTAGAGAGAGAGCTAAATGTGCTCAGCAATGTGTATCTCAATATAATGAATATCTTGAGATACTTCGGAACGGGTATCTCTAGGCATCCCTCACTTGAAACCCGTTCAAATCAACATAGCTCTAGATAGAACTTTAGATCCTATAGAATATGGACGGCTCGTGATCAAGTCAGATTCCATCCTCAAAAAGGGGATGGCTCCCGACAAACGGTGAAATTTCTTGGGTCGGTATAAAAAGGGCCAGGGTTGTTTAGCCTGCAGCTAGGTCATTATCAGCCTGTATCGCATTACGCCGTTGACGTATACGCCACAGATAACGGAGAGGGGTGACGTTTTAGCCGAGGATGGTGCGAAGGAGTGAGGGTGGAATTCAGGCATAATGGGGATAGACACGATACTAGCGGATTGAATATTAAAAAAGTAACTTAAATATAAAACGTAGGTTGACAACCACCTACTGAGCAATGATACTTGACCAATAGAGCTCAGTGCAGTACGTTGACGCGAAGGTTGATATCGATGGTCCTCGACGTCAAGATACGCGCAATTAAAGCCCGGCGGCTACCGTCTCGGCAGTGAAATTTCACGTGACTTAAATCACGTGAGAGTTTATTTTTAAGTATTTAAGCTCAGCTCCCCTGTCGCCGCAAGACTCCACTCTTAGGCCTAGGGGTTTTCTATATCATATCAACAAGCCCAGCAGTCCAGAACATATATGGAAAGATGAAGTTCATGAGACAATAGATTGATTGCAATGGGTCAATTACTAGTTAACTGCCTGGGGAACTTGGATATTCCAACACAAAGAATGGAACGAGGCGATCACTGCCTCAGATGCCCAACCTCAAGCCCCTCTGCTTCATTCCAACATCTGAACATAAACATTCGTAAGATATCATCAATCGGTAGCCCAAATATTCGTACGTAAAGGGCCGAAACTCATTTTCAGTTTTTATGGCCTTCCGATGGGTTAGTACAGAGTCCTGATCTCGAAAAGGTTCAAACTAATAGGCTGTGCCTGGGAGAAGGCGCTCATACTTGCTGACACAATCGTTGCTGCAGCACCAGCAATCCCCGTACAGCCAGCCTCCACAGCCGCCACAGCCAAAGCCTTCGCCTCGGCATCTTGCTTCACAAGCTCCGTCATCCTGACGGCCGTTCGGGCAATCGCCGGAATGTCTCCAGGTAGGATCTGGAGTGCCGTCACATTTGGCGCTGACAGTGATGACTAGTGCAGCCAAAGCGAGGAAGATCGTGTACTTCATTTTGATATAGGAAAGGTTGCTGTGAACTAGATTATTCTCTGTGAAAGGTATGATGTTGTTGTTGTTGTAGAAAAAGACAATAGGAAGAACTCCTGGAGTATCGATATGGGATGCGAAAGGCCTTATTTATATCTAGCACTGCGTCCCTGCTATGACAGCCCAACTCCAAGGCCTGGGGGGTTCACAGTCTCTTCGTGCCGATCTTGATCTTGGGCAGGCAATTCAATTCCAAAGCCAGGTTGATTGACTGAGGTGGCTGGCCAGGTTAGCCGATATTGGTCAATCGCACCACCAGCCTGTTCTAAAATTCATAACTAGGAACTCATCCCGTGTATGCAGATGGACGGAGGTAGAAAAGATCAGGGCTTTATCAACCCAGCCGTATGTCACACGGAGTATCAGGACAGTTCAATAGGTGCAAATGGTAAAGCGGCCTGGGCTTTGAGATACGAGCTTGGTAGAGAGGGGAGGCCTGGAGAGAGCCAATTGAGCGTAGGAGCGGAGGATAGGCTGACGTTGCTTTTCAAGAAAGAACATATGCTGTCTTGATTCATTATTGGTCTATATGCATGCTGATGGCTAAAAAAAGAGGCGATCATCCACGGCGTTGTTTCGCCACTATGATCTTCAAACTAAAACCCAAACGCCAAACGTGTCCAGTCCATATATACAGAGGGGGGTGAGATATGTAAATGGGGCCAGCTGTACAAGGAGGTGGGAGATATAATAATATGTACCGAAAAAGCATGGACAGAAACTTTTCCCGCTTGCTTTGTGGAGATGGGGAAATGAAGTGGGGTAAGGTATTAAAATAGAATATGGAAGATAGGGGGGAGACAACAAGTGGAGGGTATATGTGTAACATTAGTGAGTTTTCTCGAGGCTCTGCATGTGGACCAATTCGTAGTATCGACCCTTATTTTGAAGGAGTTCGTGATGTGTACCGCTTTCAACGATGCGGCCCTGGTCGAAGACATAAATGACGTCTGCCTTCTGAATAGTGCTAAGACGATGAGCAACGGCGATAGTCGTTCGACCCTTCGCAGCTGCGTCAAGAGCAGCTTGAACAACCTTTTCAGATTCAGAGTCTAGTGCAGATGTAGCCTCGTCAAGGAGGAGAACCTTTGGATCTCGTATAAGAGCACGGGCGATCGCAATACGTTGCTTCTGACCACCAGACAACATGCTTCCCTTGCTTCCGACCACAGTGCCAAAGCCATCGGGTAGGGACATGATGAAGTCATAAATGTTGGCAGCCTTGCAGGCAGCAAAGACTTGCTCGTCGGGGACATCATCCCTGTCAACCCCAAGGAGGACATTGTCCCGAATCGTTCCTTGGTAAAGAGTTGGTTCCTGGCTGACGAGTGCCAGGTGGCTTCGGTAAGAGTTGACGTTAAGCCTCGAGATATCCTTCCCATCAATATACACACCGCCAGATAATGTGTCGTAGAATCGTTCGATGAGAGCAATGGTAGTACTCTTGCCGCATCCACTTGGTCCAACCAATGCGATATATTGGCCAGGCTTGACAGTTAGGTTAAGGCCACGGAGAACAGGTTGTTCCGGGCGTGTGGGATATCTGAAATGCACATCACGGAACTCAATAGTACCTTCGACTGTATCAAGCTTTTCACCATCAGGCGACTCAATGTCAATTGTCGGCACACGGTCAAAGAGCCTCTTGAAATCAGCAGCCGCGCTCTTTGCCTTACCCATATCAGGAGAGAACGAAAAGACGATTCCAGCTGACTGGGAGCCGAAGATAACGCAGGAGATACACAAGAAAAATTGGAAAGCGTTATACTCTCCCTTGCCAAGAAGGCCACCTCCATACCAGAAGCCAAGAGCAAGACAGAAAAAGGAGAAAGATTGCGAAGCAGCATATAGAAGCGAGGATTTGGCAACGGACCTCAAGCTCTTCTTGGCCTGATCATTAAGTTGACCCTCGTAGATCTCCATTACACCCTTTTCTCTAGTGAGAGAGGCAACAGTGCGGATGGAAGAGGTGGCCTCACAAGCATAGCTTGCAGAGGACTCATACGCTTTCTTCGCTCTGCTCTGAAATTGTGCCAGGATCCAGAATCGATAGAATCCACAGAGGAGAAGAACAGGGACAGTGGAAATGCAAACAAGGGCAAGTTTCCAGCCAAAGGCAAGAGCCACAGTCAGAGCCACGATGAGGGTAGTGCTAACCATCAGAATTGTTCCCAGAGTGGCACCACTTACACCGGAAAGATGTTTCGTTTCAGTTGATAGGAAGGAAGTCAATGCGCCAGTACTGTTCTCTGGGAGATCAAAGAATGCAATATCCTGTCGAAGCATAGCACGGAAGGACTTACTTCGTGCTCGGTAAATCAAGCTCTCAGAGCACATAGCGAAGATGACACCTTGAGCAGATTGAGTGACAAGCTGAACAAGACCCAACATCAGGAACATCAGGGACCAGAAATTGGCATCGTGGCGCAGTTTGCCATACAAGGCAGGTGGCAGAGAGAGTGTTGTAATACCCTTGGCGAAAAAGACGGATTGAACAGGCTGTCCAGCACCAGAGAGAACGGCAAAGAAGAAACCACAGAGCATTATCAATCTCTCTGGCTTGTTGAAGCTAGCGATGAATTTTATCAATGTACCGAGAGAGTATTCGGTTTCTTTTTCTTGGCCACGTCTTTGGGACAGTATAACGCTTGAGAGAGACTTCTTGGTATCGATTCGTCCGAGGTTGGCTTCAACATCTTCATCAGGGTATTTTCCAGAGTGAACACTCTTTGCCGGAACGGAAATCTGGCGTGAGATTTCCTTCTCCTTCTCGATCATGGCTTCATCTTCAGATTCGTCTCCACGCTCCTCGTTAATCCTTTGTGCCTCAACCAGTTGAAGATATGTGCCTTTCAGATCGACAAGCTCATCATGAGTACCCTGTTCAGCGATGCGACCACCAACAATGACAACAATGTTATCGGCGGACTTAATAGTGGACAGACGATGGGCAATAACGATCGTAGTTCTTCCTCGGGACGCGGCATCAAGGGCAGCTTGGACAACACCCTCAGATTTGGTATCCAGAGCAGAGGTGGCCTCATCAAGCAACAGGATCTTAGGATCGCTCACAATAGCACGAGCAATAGCAATACGCTGCTTCTGGCCACCAGATAGAAGGAAACCACGCTGACCGACATCCGTTTCATAGCCTTCTGGCAGCCCCGTAATGAAGTCATGGGCGTTAGCCTCCTTGGCTGCGTTTTCGATCCGTACCTTGATTTGCTCCTCGGATTCATGCTCCATTAGGGAGCCAATAAGGCCCAACCGGATATTTTCAAAGATGGTAGTGCCGAATAATGTGGGCTCCTGGCTCACAAGCGAGATCTGCTGACGCAGCCATCGGAGGTTAAGGGTCTTGATATCACGACCGTCCAGAAGAACGGAACCAGAAACCGGGTTATAGAATCGCTCCAATAAGCCGACGACGGTACTCTTTCCGGAGCCTGAAGGTCCAACAAGAGCAGTGGTTTTGCCTTTGGGAACAATTAAGTTGATGTCTTGCATTACAACAACTTCGGGCCGAGATGGGTAGATATGCTTAATGCCACGGAACTCAATGGTTCCCTCCACTTTTTCGATAGTGTCTCCCTCATCAGAACCCGGGTCGATTGCCGAAACACGATCGATGGTGCCGAAGATCTTTGCGCCGGCAGAAATAGCGGAAGCAAAAGCCTGGGTATTAGGAGCCACGTTTCCGATACTGAATGATCCAATAACGATTGCAAGGAGGATGTTGACGATTGCAGAGAGGTCAGTTTCACCATTAACGAGGAAGCGCGATCCCATCCAGAATCCAAGACCATAGTTCGAGTACATGATAGCCATCATGGAGCCAAACATGATGCCTAGCATCATTTGGAGTCTTCGGCCCCATTTTCTGGCTTCCTTCAAATGCACCTCGTACTGCCTTGCAAGCTTCTCTTGAGTTCCAAAGGCAGTGGCATTTCTGATAGAACTGATCACTTCCTCCGCGACGGTACCTCCTTCACCATAGCTTATCAAGGTCATCTTCCCGGACTTGACCACGAATCTGGATATAACGCCCATAACTAGAACCATCGCAACGATGGTCGAGCTGCAGATGAGTGCAAGCTTCCAGTATCTGACATATCCGATAATAAAGGCACTGAAGAAGGTCGATAGGGCAGTCAAGGTCAAGCCGACCTTCTCTGATATACCATCTTGGATAAGGTTTGTGTCTGCGGTGATCCGGGTGGTGACTTCTCCAGCTCCGAGTTTATCGAAGAAACCGATGTTCTGGCGTAGGATGGCATGGAGATATTTTGCGCGTATCTTCTGAGTGATATGTTCACCAACATAGATGAATCCAACGGTGGATACGTAGAGGAGAATGAATTGGGCGATTCCAAGGTAGACGAAGTAGAGGGAGTTTCTCGTTAATATACTATTGAACTCATCATAGGAGATCTTTTGGAGAGCAATATCTCGAAATGTACCTGCGAGCGAACCGAATAGAACCTATAACAGTGTCAGCCATCAAACTAAACTTTCAAGCTTTAGGGTTATACGTACTGTAAAAAGCGGGAGAGCAGCACCAGCTGCAATAGAAGCTAAAGAAACAATAGCGAGGAATATCAGATCATTCCTAGTTGCATATCGAAATAGTGTTCCGTAGGTAGCCTTGACTTCTGGGATGACCAGCTGCTGCTTTAAAACCTCCCGTTCGTTCTCGGGTAGATGAGCAAGCAGAGCATCTAGATCCTCCGGTGTCGAGCCCTTAGTAGCATCGGTGTCACCCTTCTTAGTCACCTTTTCCTTCTCAGTAGTTGACGAAGACGACGAGGCTGGATTTCGGTTTTCCTGCTTGCTGACTTGGTCATCCGGGGTATTCTTTTTCTCGCTCAGTTCGCCCATCTTGATTAAATATTTCCTATAATATAAAACAGAGGTAATGAATATTATACGGTATCACCCCTTCAGAAGAGGGAAGAGGTAGGTGCCGTAAATCAGGCCATGTGGTGGTCAACGGTATTAAATAAATTGAAATAGCTGAAGATGCACTGTTCTAGTGCAAAGAATGCTGAGTAAAACAGGGCAGCACTGTGGCGATTATTCCACAAGGGAGTTCAAAACAAGCACTGAAGATGAATCCACGGCCAAGCAAAGGAGGAGAGCAACGGCTGGACCTCTTTATATATATGTATATCGTTGAACAGAAAAAAAAAACCCGGTCCACCCGCGCTAAACAGGGCGGTTCATTCTCCGGGCAGCCCCATATCCGTGGTGGTAGAACTCTGGAACCCAACACACCCCTGCACGGAGCTTGGAGACGGAGTATCCGAAGATATGCCTTCGGTACCAACCATGAACAAAAAATACGAGAGAGCTGGTTGGCTAGTTGCCTGCCATGCGATGTCAAGTAGCTTCATGCCAGAAGCTTCCTCGCTTATCACTTGCATCCCTCACTCACGGTATGATGGCGCCCATAGCGTAATACCGCTCATTCGTTGCACAAGCTGCGTAGTTACATCATTGAATGCTCATAGTCGGTGTGTGTGCAGGATGTAATGATACTGTCACGGGCATAAAAAAGTTATGCAACTCCGAAAGTCTCGGTTGACTCAGATTGAATACGAGCCAGCGAATAAGATGATTTGATCGCAACCCGATCTCAATTGAGGACATGGGGCGTATAGGTGAGCTTATGACCGGACGGACTTACCAGTCATTTCTACCCCATTCCTTTGCATGGATGGATTTGTTATACGTGAGTTTCAGGAGGTCGACGACGTTTCCAGGATGGCCAGGCAGCGAAGTAATTAATACACGTACATTATGTTGAAAGCCGCGTAAAAAGCTTAAAGCCAGATTGGACCCAGTTGCTTAACCATCGCAGCATCAATCTATCCGATGTCCGAGTCTAGGCAACCAGATTTCATAATTGCATTTCGCTGGCTTACTCCGTACTTCGACTTGGATTGAGGAATAGGAATCCTGCCATTCCATACGGAATACGCCATACGGAGGGATGATTCTCGGCATTGTTCCCCCTTAAATAGTTACTGGCTCCTACTGTCAGGATCGAAGCGCAAAGGTAGTTGCACGTATAAATGCTCGTATGGAGATCAGTCCGCCTTGCAAGATTTCACAGCCAATTGATCGCACGGAATTAAGTAAAGTGAGCTACCTCGTGGGCTGCTGGCGCTCCTGCGCTAAAGCCAGGTTTGGTCTCCGCTCGCTTAGAGAATGAAGCGGACTCCTAAACCCTTTCCCCCTGATCCACCTCCATGACGCATCCGTTTTGAAGTCGGCTGAAGCTCAGGAGCTCCGTCCAAGCGCATTTCAGGCTTGCTTGGTTTGACCGCTTCGAGGAAATGCTGGACTGAACTGCAGCGCCGGGAGGTGTCGTGGCGGCGACGGTACTTACATAAATTGATCTAAAAATATTTATTTAGTCAAGCTTTTCGATGACGCTCTTGTACCTCGTTTAGTCGTTTACCGAGATGAGCAAGCATACATATCAGATGCGTTATATTTGTAAGGGATGTACGGAGTACTCTGTAATGGAATGCTGGGAGGATTTCACGGATACGGACGATTGAAGCGTTCCGTGGTATTTCAGCCGCCCAATCCTTCCTGTCTGGAAGGGGTCTCATGCATCGCTCTGAGTCAATCAGGCATCAACAATCAGGATCCCCAGCCAACTCCCAACTCAAACGAAGACTCATCATGAGTCTGTCGACGGCGAGAGACAGTCCGTCATCCTCACGTCTCATCCTCTGGCGTCAAGTCACCATGGGTAAAATCGGAACTGAGAGCTCACAACCCATGCACACCTCCTGATCAGGAACAGTCCAACATTCAGGGGCTTTTCTATTATCTGCCTCTATGGAGTATACGGAGTACATGGTGTTGGTTGTTGGTTGCTGGTTCTCGTAGCGTCTTGGTCGGTCGTCGTTAACAAAACTTCCCGAAGCGAAGTCGATCGAGACGACCAACCACGTGACATCCTAAACCAGCCAAGCGAGCCAAGCCCACTTCACACAAAACTTCTTTCTTTTACAATTCCCTGACCACAGAAAACTTCACGTCGCAACGCTCAACATATCCAAGGACGCGACAGTTCACGAAACACCGTCAAGATGCCTGTAAGTTGGTTGGAGCTGATGGAGGAAATATCAGGATTGCGTTATGAAGCTGTACCGATGCTGACTGAATTCGCTACAGAGCCAAAAGTCCTTCCGCACCAAGCAGAAGCTTGCCAAAGCCCAGAAGCAGAACAGACCTATCCCACAGTGGATTCGGTTGAGAACTGGCAATACCATCAGGTAGGATGCTCTTTGCTGTGATGTTCTGGTGGTTTCGTGGATGAGTGCGTGTGTGCGTGTGTGCGTGCGTGTGGAAGGGACGAATCGAGGATTTGAACCACAACAGTCGCGGGGTGGAATATCGAGATCTACGGAAGTGGGAGTGCGCCGATTTTCGTTGATGTGATGAGGATATTCAGATTCCCACGGTATATCGAATGGGGATATCATGAGACTTGAGCTACGACGTCGACTTCTATATACCCCGCGACAGGACATCGATCAAGCTCAACGAACACAGACCAGAACGCAAGCATATTCTCACAGATGCATCCGCGAAACCACCACTTGGCCTGTTGAGAACTACAAACTAATCTGCTTCTCTACTAGATACAACGCCAAGCGAAGACACTGGCGCAAGACCCGTCTCGGAATCTAAACGATTTCTCTCAGCTGCCGACATTTTCCTCGATTTCCAACCCTACCTGCCCACTTTCTCGTTCACTTGCCTCCCACAATTTCACATCCCGACTCTTCTACCTTCGACAATCAATACATAAGTTGCAGCAAGCAAGTGCTTACTCCGAGATGGGAAAAGATGAACGATCAATGAAAATGGGTTCTGTTACGTTATGAGGATAGGGATAGTTGTTACAAAAGCAATACAAGGAAATGTTTTCCATGTGGCTAAAATTTGTTCGGTCCTGGTGCATTTATTGGACTTATAGCATATTAGACCACATTTGTAGAGAAGGAAAAGCAAAAGCATTATACTATGACGTATTGTAGTAGAAATTGCAACTGAGTAGCTTCCCTAGCTAATGTACCTGCCAGTTTTTCCCTTGAACAAGAGCAAGAACGACAAGAATAACGATGACGATGATGATGATGATGATGCTGCAGCCAACCCAGATCTACGGAAGAAAGGGGCAGAAAGAAGGAAAAAATAAAAGGAGGTAGAAGTTGAGTATGAACAGAAGGGTAAACCCAAACGCCTCTCGTGTAATGTGGAGGGAACAGAAAGAGAGTAACAGAACAACGTCAACAGATAAAGACGGAGTAAAAAAAAAAAGAACTGTGTCGTCGGAGAGTAAAGATGAGATGGAACGTCTTTTTGAGTGATAGGCTCATGGTCGCGTAGACATCGTGTAAGGGGATAAGTAGTGAATTGTTTAGCGGCTAGGTGTTGTTAGCTTGATAGATCCAGTAGAAAGATGGAGGTAGGGAGGGCAAGGAGGCAAGCTTACTCTTCGGCCCACTCGTTCTCACGGCGGATCTGGTCCTCTTCCTCTGGAGTGAAGTCGTTCTGGATGTTGAAGGTCTTGCGAATCTCCTCGGGGGACTTGCCCTTGATCATGTTTGCGACGGTCTTGCAGCCGACGTCAAGCAGGGCCTTGATGTCAAGGTAGTTCGCAGCCTATCCAGCATTAGCTCTGCGCATCAAGTCGGAAATGAGAAAGTGTAGAAGAAGAAGAAAAGGAGAACTAACGAGAATGATTTCAAAGAGCATCTCCTGATCGACCTGCATGAACTTCTGATCCCACTCGTCAATGTCGGTGGTCTTGCGGCGGGAGTCGACGTCATCATCACCGGTGCTTGGAGGGTCGCCCTTGTGGTGCTCACACCACTCGATGACTTTCTTGAGAACAGACTCATTGACCTGTACATCATATTTATTATTAGCTATGTACGGGGAAGGAATGAATAAGAGGTAGACGCACGTTGGGAATAGGAATAGCTTCGCCGGAGTCGCCGAGATCCTCGAGCATGTTCTTGATCAGGATGGAGCGCTCAGCTACCTGGCGTTCTGCAGTCATGAGTTAGTTAGTGGAGGCGGTTGCCTGGCGCCGGAGTAGCAAGGGCGCCTACCGATGGTGACTTCAACCCCATCGGAGCTGGTCAAGGTGATCTTGTTGGTCGCAGTAGCAGCCATGGTTGAACCGAGAGAAAAGAAGAAGGAGGTTTTGGTAGTGTAGAAGAGTTATGTGTCCTAGCCGAAGCAGTCAGAGAGATGCGCGCCTTTATGCTGGGTAATGAAGCTAGCTATGCTGTTGTGGAGGGGTCGGAAGAGCTGGGAGAAACGAGGTCTTTGGAGCGGCGTACCCTGTGCTTAAATAGAGCCAGCGACAAGGGCGGGTTGACAAGGCAGCAGTCCAGAGTAGAGGCAGCAGCCAGCAGCTTTGTTGATTGGTTGTTTGTTAAGCGTTGCCGTTGTTGTTTTTTGTTTGATGAAGCTGAAGTCGAGTTGAAGTCGTAGAAGAAGAAGCAGAAGAAGAAGCAGAGGCAGAAGTGGAAGTGGAAGTTGAAGCCTAAGAAAGAAGAGAAAAGGCGGAAAGTAGCAGTCACGTGATGGGACTTTTCTTTATAAGTGGGAAGAAGTCGATGACGATAGAAGAAGAAGAGAGGAAGAGGACGAAGTAGATGACGATGATGATAGAAGATGGAGGAGAAGAAGTGGATGGAAGATGATGGAAGAAGAGGAGGAGGCAATTAGTTAGTGACAGTGAAGTTACTACTTAACTGCCTGCTGGTAAAGTGAAGAGAGCCTCCAACGTCATTGCAGCTAGTTATCTAGATCAAGGAGATACATAGATATTAGTAGAATAGGGTATTGAAGAGTTAGTAGGCTTATATATGGATAAGAAGATCACAGGTAGAGAGAGAGCCATGGAGTAAGTGTCTGCCAGGATCAGATATCTCGAGACAAGCCCTTGACTGTCCAGGTGCCCCCTACCCCTTGCCCCTACTCCCTATATAAACACCAAGTGCTTAACCACCACGGAGTACTTCTCCAAGAGACGGATCTTCAACACCAGGACTAGCTTTCTTAGTCTTCCAGACTGTAAACAACCAACTAATCAGCGACAGTCAAGATGGTCACGATAGCCAAAGCAGCCTTCGAGTGGTCGACTCGCCTGTCCTTTGGCAGATGACGCTCCTTTGTCTTCTTCTCTCTTCTCTACTCCGTAACCACCAGGGATCAAGCATGTAAATAACCAAGACGCCGCCTCAAAACACCTTAAAACCCGTCCTGCTCAACTAGTTCTACTGCCTAAGCTCCCCTTCCAAGCATCTCCTCGATCTCCGTTGAAAAGCTTCCTCCTTGCAATCTGATGTGAGCTGCCCTTGTCATTGGCTGTTCGTATCCATCTTCTGGCATCTTGAAAGGAGTTCTCTTCTTCCTTTCTTCTTCCATCTTTTCTCTCTCCTTTCACGTCCTCTTTCTTCTCCTTTTTGTCCCTTTCGTCTCTTCTCCTGCTCCCTTGTCTGGCTTCTCCTGTCCAAGCATGTCCTGCTAACTGCACAGCCGCATCTCCCAGCTGTAGCTAGCCAGCTAGTGAACCTGCCGTGGCTTGACCGCATGCGCCAGACAGACAATGCCAGTCCCTCTCATGCGCCCGCAGACTCTTCTCTAGACAGCCAGACAGTCCGACGGACAGCCGGATAGACGCATTAGACGCCATGTGGAGGAGGACGTATCTTCTTCTCCTCCTGGTGCGCGTCTACCTCGCCCTCTGCCCAAGCTACATCCACCCAGACGAGAACTTCCAGGGCCCCGAGCTCTTCGCCGGTTAGTTAACTACTACTGCTACTTTTCTTTCCCTCCCCACTTAAACCTGCCAGTCCGATTTACTAACTAACCAACCGTTATCTAGGCCGGCTGTTTTCATATCCCTCGCATCTGACATGGGAGTTCACCTCTTCCACGCCGATACGCAGCATCTTCCCGCTATGGCTCGTCTACGGCCTGCCCATGACGCTGCTCAAGTGGCTCTGGGCAGAGACGGGCAACGACCGCCCCAACCCGCCGCCGCAGCTGGTATACCATGTCCTGCGCCTGACCATGTTCCTGCTCAGTCTCATACTCGAGGACTGGGCCATACATGAGCTGGTGCCGAATCCGCGGCGCAGGAGGCAGGCCGTCGTGCTGGTCGCCAGTTGCTACGTGACATGGACGTACCAGACGCATGCCTTTTCGAATTCGCTGGAGACACTACTGGTACTCTGGAGTCTAGTCCTGATTCAGCGTATTGTCGAGAATAAAGTAGGTCTCCCTTGATAATTATTGAAAACAAAAAGGGATTGATATTGATTGACTGCTTTAGCATCGGTCGTCGGTGTTTACTTGTGCTCTTCTCGCACTCGTGGCCGTCATGGGCGTGTTCAACAGGATCACTTTTCCCGCTTTTATCATGATACCCGCACTGCAACTGGTGCCTCATTTCATTAACAAGTGCGTGTCCCACCATCTATCTCTATTACATCTATACATCCATATACTAACGCCAGATAGACCACTTTCTTTAATATCCCTCGCGTTCTTCAGCCTGCTATTCTCCTTCTTCGCAGTCGCCATAGACACGACCTTCTACACCCTCCCGGACTCCTTCTCCACCTTCATCAGAAACCCTACCATAACACCACTAAACAACCTCCTCTACAACTCAGACACCTCAAACCTGGCCTCCCACGGCCTCCATCCACGCTACAACCACCTCCTAGTCAACCTCCCCTTACTCCTGGGCCCAGCATACCTCGTTTCCCTCTGGTCCCTCTTCACCAGGGGCATGGTATCACCCACCTTCCACACGCGCAACACACGCGCATACTCCGCTCTGTTCGGCGCATTAATCATCTCCCTCTTCCCACACCAGGAAGCACGCTTCCTGCTCCCTTGCGTCCCCTTACTACTCACATGCTTCAAACCGCCCAAGTCACGTACCTTCCTAGCCGCCTGGATAGTATTCAACTGCACCCTCGGCGCATTAATGGGCATATACCACCAGGGCGGAGTAGTTCCAGCACAACTACATATACCAACACTTCTATCCGAGTCCCTCCCACCTTCCGAACCAACAGTCAACGTCTCAGTGCTGTGGTGGAAAACATACTCCCCTCCCTACTGGCTGGTAGGAGACGGCAGCAGCACCAACGCATTCAGCATAACCACGCATGACCTCAAGGGCATGTCGAGGGGAGATTTCCTTAACAGGACGATCTCGAGCGTGCCGCGCTGCACGTCTGATTCTAACCCGTTTGAGTTCCATCATGGCCTGCCTAAAGTGAGGGTGGAAGGAGGGGACATGACGCTTCTTGTTGCGCCGCGATCGGCTTCGTATCTGGATCAGTTTGTTGTTCCGGATGGAGGGGAGGATGAGAGTGCTGCTGGTGGGCCGGTGCGAGAGATACGGCTGCATAAGCTATGGCAGTATGATAGACACGTTAACATGGATGACTTTGATCCGGGCGACGATGGGTTATGGGGGGCGGTGGAACGGGTTTTCGGTAGGTATGGGTTGGTTATCTGGCTGGTTACGAGGCCTTGTTTAGCATAGTTAGCATAGTATAGTATACCATAGCATGCATCTTTCACTAGACCTACATACTACCACTAGTGTTTTATTTTAATTTTATTCAAAAGAAAAATAAAAGTATTGAATATAATCCTACAGGCGTATTCTTACGAATAAGACTAGACGAGGATGTGGAAGAACACAATTATCGTTGGTTTGGTTACGTAGTTAGGATACATGTTTTGCCTATTTCTTTAACCCAGTAAGGAGTGAAGAAAAGTCCAGCAGCAGGAAAAGTAAAGGAAGTAAAGGCCAGAGAAGGTAAAAAGTATGAATTTCATGTCATTTCATTTCACGTCGTTTGGGATAATTAAAAGCTGTGCGCGCGTACTTGCGGTGTTATGTGTTGTGTGTGGTAGCCGAGCCTCCTTTTTTTATTTCAAGGGGGAGCGTCTTGAGAAAAAAGGGTCTTGGATAGCTAGAGATGGTCATGGGCGATGATAGTGAAAAAGAGGAGGCTGACTATCAGTACCGAATTGGACGGACGGGCGTAACAAGCGGGTGACGTTAAGAAACATAAACTGCAGAACGGCGAGAGGGATGACGGGGATCTTCTACTGCTGGTCCTCGTTTTCGTCGGGTTGGTCGAATAGGAAGTTGGCAGCCAGTTCCTCGTTCTTGTCACAGGCGAAGTAAGCCTGGATGACGGAGTCGCGAGAGAAGCCGAGACGGCAGAGCTACAGAGACTAACGTTAGCTGATGGTATAGTATCAAGTTTCAAGAGAGTGTGATGCTTACTCTCTCGATCGCATCTCTCTCTTCCTCTGTCACGCTGATAGACTGAGCACCAGGTGGAAGCTGTGTTTCGTCATCGACATCCTCACTAAGCAACTGTAGGAACTGCTCCTGGTTCTGACCGATCAATTGGGCAAGCTGAGGGTTTCCGGCACCAACCTGCTGAAGGATGGGTTCAAGCATTTGTGGTTGTTGCTGGACAAGCTGGCGGAGCTGCTGGAAATGAGGGTTGTTGCGCAAGAACTCTAGGCTTCCCAGGCTGCCTGCAGATTCTCCTGAGCCTGCTCCAGCACCGGCACCGGCACCACGACTACGACCGCTTCCGCCTCCACTGGCCTGCGCGGCAGCTTGTTCAAAGAGATTTAAAGATTCCTGGACCTGGGACTCGGATGCGCCTTCAGTGGCAGCAGGCCGGGCGCTTCCTGCAGCGGGGGCACTAGGGGCTTCTCGCTCGGGTTCATCAGGGATGCCCTAAGCTAAGGTTAGCGAACAAATTACGGATGCATACAAAAGGTTATGAAGTGAAGTTGACATACGTTCAGCAGATATTCAATGGCACGGTCTGGGTTGAAGTAAGCAGCTCTCATTGCACGGTCGATATCACCTCTCGAGAAACCCATGGCCAACATCTGTGTAATGGCCTCCTGTCCCTGGTTACCCATCAAAAGAGCAGAGGGGTCGTTAAACGTAGCCCCGGACGAAGCACCGGACGAAGCACCTCCGGCAGGCGAAGGGGTAGCCGGAGTCTGTAAAGGGGGGGCATTTACACGAGCAGGAGCTGAGGGAGTGGCGGGAGTGGGAGCAGGTGGTGCAGCAGCCGGTGTCTGGGATGAGGAGGCAGCAGCAGCCGAGGGAGCAGCAGCCTTTGGCTATGCCAAGTGTTAGCCACAGGGCAGGCACGGTGATATATGATGGATGCGAATAAAGCGTACCTTGGACACCATGCACACTATAAAGCCCTTCTCCTCAATGCTATATGATTCAACGGTGTTGTCATCTTGTAGAATCTTGCCTGTATGCGGTGTGGGGCGAGTCAGTATCGGCAAACAACTCGACTACAGCAAAAAAGCCATGGTCTCCCAAGGCAACGCACCTGAGTATATTAATTTCTGCTGCGAGGCAGGCCATCCTTTCTCGGTTGCGATCTTCTCCTTGACATCCAAAATCTGTGGTGGGTGATTAACAACGGCATCCCGAAGAAGCGTTATGGAAGCCTAGCTAAGAGGTAAAGATGGCGGGGAAAGCAAGCCACCGACTGACCTTCTCTGAGGGCTCAGCTTCTATCACAAACTTCTGCTGCTTCAAATCCTGTAGATAAGAAAAGAAGAGTTAGCTAAGAGCGGAACTGGCCATTATATCCATCTGGATAACAGTGGGCTTGGGGGTTGGTGTCGCATACCCTAAAAGTGAGCTTCATCTTTGTGCCAGTCACCAGCCAAGCGGTAGAGCGATCCGGAGCAATCAAATAGGAACAGCCAAGTGGGCTATGAGCGGGCCAGAGAGCAGTGTCTGCAGCAGTGCTTGTTTCTTCTACAGCATGCAGCAGCGAGAAGAGAGCTAGAGAAGTGCAAGCAAGCAAGCAAAGGAGAGCAGAGCAGGAAGATCAAAGGTACAATAATGAGGACAAGTTGAAGTTGACGTTGACGTTGAAGCTTTTGGTCGCTTTTTTTTAGTTTTTGTTGTTTCTCCAAAAAGGCGGGCGGACGAGGGCGGCTGCTTTGGGACTAGCGCGGGCAAACAGTGCAAAGTGCTTCCTTGCCTAGTCAATACTTAGTAAGTGTCACGTGGACGGTCAGGGTCAGAAGAAGAAGGCGAAGACGAAGGCGAAGATGATAAGCAGAAGACGACGATGTTGACAAGACGATGGAAAGATGGAGAGATGGAAAATGGTACTTCATGGTGATGGTGTAGTGCTAGAAAGTCATGTCTATTTCGATGCCCCCAAAACGCTTGCTCCCCATGCAGATAAACAAGAAATAATACCGTGCAACGCCTTTAACCCCAAGTCCCCCTGAGTCCTTCTACCTGACAGCTCATGGCCTTTCCCCTGACCTTCCCCTAAGGCTTTCTATCACTTTCCCCTGCATGTCTTACTGTGATGTGTCCGGAACACCCGACTGGACCCATCGAAGACCATCTAGTGTCGATGTGCTGTTCTTGTGTTCGTCTCTTCTGGCTGTGCCACGCTGTTCCACCCCAAAAACCAACTTCACACAGTGCATACACCGTATAGTTCACACCGACATTGTGCTTCTGACGGACAACTACACACACCGTTAGCTCAGTCAGACCCTAGATACCAAGGAGCAAGTATACGACTCACTGGATAGCGTCCTCCATGAAGATGATATGCCACATCTGCTCGAATACCCAACCAACCCCAAAGCTTGTAAACGATGAGTTTAAAGCCCAATTTCGCATCCTCACATAGTCCTCCACTGGCCTCTGGTGTATCCTCTCCCTCGTCACCGCAAACTGAGCACAGCACACTCCACCAATATGCTCGGGCACCTCGCTCCTACTAACGTTGAACAGCTCCATGTATATCTCGGGTAACTGTGCTCGTTCGTTTTGCTCGCGTATATCTATCTCAGTCGGGCTGAGCGGGTTAAGCGAGGTTGGGCAGCCCGGCTCCCAGAGACATCGCAGGTTGGCGTACCCTTTTCTCTTGACTGCTGCGATCTGCAGGGCGGAGAGAACGTTGACTGTCTTGCGGGCCTTGAAGTCATTGTGCCATTGCTTGTTGGCGCTGTGGGTGAATGCCATTATCTCTGGAAGGGAGTGGTAGTAGTCTATGATGAAGGAGAGGTACACCATGGCTTCACGGCCCACATTCTTTGGTGTGCGAAGGGTATATCTTTCATCTCCATCCACGGAATAGACAAAGGGCGTCCATCTAGATATTGTTAGTATAAGCCCACGGAACAAGCGCGTCACTTTGGTTCTGCTACTCACTCTGGCTCCAGCTGCTTTACCCAGCCTACTCTATCCCATTTTGTCTTTGGAAGGATCACCGCCTGGGAGATTTTGATAGCTTGTTCATGGACTGGTGGCGGGACAGGAGTGTAGTTGTCATAGAAGTAGAAGAAATAGGCCATAGCCAGGCCAGAGAGGAAACACAGTAGAAGCACCGTCTTGCTCCGGACCAGCTGGAGCCTGCCATAGCTAAACCGGCTTCTTCTTAGAACTGCCATAACAGTCATGTTTTTCATCTCTACCCAGTGGACCTTTTCAGCAGTTTGACTAAATCAGGGCAAAGAAGGTATTGCTTTGATGGTGACAGAAATAATGCTCATCTTGGATCTGCGATAATGAATTTTCTTCTCTCTTCCCAAATTCTGCTCTGTCTCGACTTTCGTTTCTACTGACAAAGAAAAGCCGAAAAGGTACGACTTCAGCCCTGTCGTCCCTTTAAATATCTATTTTATATGCGCGAAACCCGCCCGCGGACAAGGATAGCCGCGTCTTCAAAAACTCTTTCCACCAAGAGAGGCGCGAGCAACCATCTTATATATCACTAATAATATTACAGGCGCTAGCTCTCTACGGTTCTCCGGCCCTTGCTCTCTTTCTCCTCGAATTGAGCCCATATCTCTCGCCCCTGTCGGACAAGCCAAAAGGCCGCCAATAGGAGTAAGTGAAACAGGGTCAGGGGCTCGGCTTTTTGGCTTGCTTGTATGGGCGTCCCACAGGCATCAGAGCACAAGCTGAGCAAGAAGAGAACAGAGAAAACGGAGTAAGGGGAACGGGCCCAATGAGAGGGTGCCTTTTTTTTATCTTATGATTTTCCCTTCCATGGATCTGCAGAGCCATGGAGAGTTACGGAGTATGTGGAAGAGGCAAAGTTTTGCTTTTTTCTGTCTTTTTTCCTCCTTGGTCGATTTGCGATGGGATGGGATGGGATGGACAGATGGATGTGAACTCGTTGGTGTTCCCTGATAACTATGCTGATGGTCAGTGATTTACGTTTAGTTTAGCTGTTAGATGATCGGCGAGTACCTGTCAATCCTTCGAGGGAGCACTTGCAAGGAGATGAATGGAAATGCTAGCCAGACTTGAGCGAGAAAATGGGTTCATTTTAGCATGGCCATGGCAAGGCAGAGGCGCAAGACACTGAAACGCCCGCCTCTTAGCCTCCTTCTAACCAACTTACTTGAGTAAGATTCATGCAAGCGGGGGCCCGCGGAAGCCAGAAATGACATAAGACGACGGCTGGCTGAAAGAGGGCTTACACTCTATACTCCGTGCTTGATCCTGCGAGCGGACGAAAACAGTGACTCAGGGAGCAGACTGTGTAGTTGATAACTAAGTCAACCGGTAACTGGTTAACGAGCTGTCAGATTGCATAGTTACCAGTTTACAGAGTAGCTAACTAATAGTGACGATGGTTGTGGTTCAGCCCTTTGCCGTGGAGCAGGTAAGCTCACTCTACTATAATTAAAACTCCATACATCAGTATTCAGGCTGGTGTAACTAAGAGGCTGTGGGGTTAACTTCTGATAACATGAATGCATAGTGGATGGACGAGTATGAAACAACGGCCAAGTACAACATCGCAGAGACATGCTCGTCCTCCATCTCGCTCGACGACCTGTGTGCCTTTGCAGGGGACACCAGGCCAGCAGACTTGTTCGACTCCTCGAGAAAGCTGGGATACGGCGCCATCCGCGGATCTGAGGAGTTGCGCTCCGCCATAGCCCGGCTACATGCTGGAAGTTATGAAGGTGCTGCTGCCCAAGTACCGACCCTAGATAATGTGTTGATCACTCCGGGGGCTATCAACGCCAACTTCCTACTGCTATATACCTTGGTGCATGTCGGTGACCATGTTGTCTGTCACTATCCGACGTACCAGCAGCTCTATTCTGTCCCGGAGAGCCTAGGTGCAGAAGTGACGCTCTGGAAGACCTCGGCTGAGAAAGACTGGGAGTTGAACGTAGATGAACTAACGGGACTTATCAAGGAAAACACCAAACTCATCATCCTCAAGTATGGTGCTTACTCGTTAACCAACTGCCTCTTTACCGATGACTGGCCCAACTGACTGTGGTGAACTAGTAACCCTCAAAACCCAACAGGGAAAACTATACCAACCAAAGATCTCCAGCAGATAATCAACATCGCTCGAGAAAGAAACATCTACGTCTTCTGCGATGAAGTGTACAGGCCTCTCTTCCACTCTCTTGATACCACCCAGCGCCCCGCATCAGCCTACTCGCTAGGCTACGACAAGGTGATAATCACCGGCTCTGTGTCCAAGGCTTACGCTCTCGCTGGCATCAGAATAGGTTGGATCATAGCTAACAAGGAAATGATCAACCAATGTCTTCATGCCCGTGACTACACTACTATATCCGTCAGCCAGCTAGATGATAAAGTAGCTTCGTTTGCGCTTGGAGAGAAACGCGTGTCGAATCTACTGGCTAGAAACATGAGTCTTGCAAAACACAACTTGGACATCCTAGCTGCGTTTGTTGAGGAGTTTTCATCCGTGTGTGATTGGTATAAACCGCTAGCTGGTACTACGGCGTTCGTTAGGTTTTCGAAGAATGGGGTACCGGTTGATGATGTTGGGTTGTGCAAGATGGTGTTTGAGAGGGTTGGAGTCATGTTTGTTCCTGGCGGGCATTGTTTTGGACCAGAGTTTAAGGGGTTTGTGAGGATCGGATATGTATGCGAGACGAAAGATTTGGAAGAAGTCTGGCACAGCTTAGGGTTTTCATGAAGGATGGTTTTAGTGAGGTTTGACTTGACGTATGTAGTTAAGTAGGCCTACGTTTGGATATATAGTTATTTCATATGACATAGCGAATGCCGTAATAACTTTGATTGTTCACCTTGGTGGGAGAGAATTAACTATTTGGTATATAACGAGAGAAGTAGAAGTATACAAAATTAAGAAAACATAAGGGAACTCCAGCCACGTGAGGTACGTTATATCATCAACGTTCTATAACCTTGGCCTGAAGGGGAAAAAAGGGGAAGTCGGAGGAGGGCGATAGTCTAGGCAATGCCAGACCATTTAGGGGCATTGATGATAACGCCCATTAGGCAGCCTGAAATGATACCAGCAACAGGCAGGGTGATGATCCAGCCAAGGTAGATCCAGGCAATCATCCTCCAGTTAACAGCTCTCCAGGTTCCAGAGCAGAAACCGACACCGACGGTAGCACCGGTGATACACTGTGTGGTAGAGATGGGCAGGCCGAACTGGCTGGCGAGGATGACGGTGATGGCAGCGCCGAGTTCCATGGAGAAACCACGGCTAGGAGAGTGCAGAGTAAGTCTGTTACCGAGCTGGCGCATCATGTTATATCCGTAAGTCCAAAGACCGATGGCTGAGACATTTGTTAGTTATCTATGTAAAGTTTATGTTGAGTAGAAGGAAACTTACTGATGGCGGCACCACCGAAGACAAGAATCCAAATTGGCACATCAGCCTTCTTAGCGATGGTGTTGGTGTTCCAGACAAGGTAGATGGTGGTCAATGGTCCAATGGCGTTAGAGACGTCGTTGGATCCGTGGGCGAACGAAGCAGTGGCGGCAGTCAGGACCTGGAGGAAGGAGTAGAGATGCTCGGTCTTGTTGTCGTAGTGCTTGACTTCAGCGTGCATCTTGTCCAGGTCTCCGGCAAGGAAGCCAGTAGCATCATCGCCGCTCTTCTGCTCGGAAACAACGTCACGGTCGACTCCGCGGAAGAAATAGTATTTGGCCTTGGCGAACAGGTTACGGGGAGTATACCATGGTCCCAGTGAAGCCTCTTCATGAGCGGCAAGAGTCTGCTCGCCGTTCTTCTCGGTGGATGAGGTGTCGCGCTTGATACCATCCTCTGAACCCTGTGCATCGGTCTGAACGGCGTTTTCGACGTCTCCAGCGGCACCGCGGGCGGTGCTAAGTTCCTCCTTGGTCTTGTGGCCGCTGTAGTAGTCCTTGACGACGGCAGCACCCTCTGGACGGGGTGGGACGGGTCCACGCTTCCAGAGAAGAGGGCCGTAGATGATCTCCCAGGTTCGCAACTGCCAGTCTTCGAGCTCGAGCTTGCGGTAGAGGAACGGTAGGAAGAAAACGCCATAGAGCACTACAACGCCGCCAGCAACACCGAAGATGGCGCCAAGGGTCTGTCCGGTGCTCAATTCGTCGAGGTTCAAGCTTGGTGCTGCCAACAGTTTAGTATATGAAGGCTCCAAAAAGAAAAAGAATGAGGTTTAGGACAATCTAACTAACCTCCCTTAAAGACGATGACCATGGTTAGAACACCAGCAGTAATGGCAAAGTAGAACGGAACCATCATGAAACCGGCACGCAGAGGACGCTTGCGCTCAAGGACACCATACTTGGTGATTAAGAAGATGATGATAGCGAAACCTCCGGCGATGGCTGGGGCAATGAACCAGGCACTGACAATACCGGCAACACCCTTGCCGTCGTTATAGGCCCACTGGATACCATCTGCACCCAGGGTCGCGATACCAACGCCAATGATAGCGCCGACAATGGAGTGACTGCATCGAAGACAGTAAGTATCACAAATAATAAGGGGTTTCCCTAGAAGTCACTTACGTGGTCGAGACGGGCATACCCATCTTGGTAGCGAAGGTCAACCACAAAGAAGAACCGACCAGGGCGCACATCATTCCCAGCATAAGAACAGCAGGTTCTTTGGTGAACTTGGAGGTCGAGATGATTCCGTTACGAACGGTATCCGACACTCGGGATCTTCTCGTTCGTTAGCGATGGAGATGCCACAGTAGAAGGCCGACTTGTCAGCTCGACTCTGTACTCACCCAACAAGAACAGCACCACCAAACTCCATGACCGTAGCAATCATCATGGCCTGCATCATGGTCAGCGACCGCGACGAGACGGAGGTCGCGAACGAGTTGGCGACATCGTTGGCACCAATGTTCCAGGCATCGAGGAAAGCAAATATGAGGCCGATGGCGAAGATGTAGTCGAACTGGTGAAGAACCATGGTTGCGACAGCTCTCTTTCTTTCTCTCGATCTACTGCTAGGGGAGGAGAAGATCAACGGCAGGTGAGGGTTGCCCGTGAGAAGATGTCAAGAGAGAAGTGTCTGACCTCCCGGTATATTCGACTGGCTTTATATATATGTGAAAAGTCTATCATACGGGAGTGTATATATAGATATTTGATACGACCAGGGCGGAGAAACGTGAACTTCGCATCGGTCGGCAGCCTTGAGTTTGCCTCGCTAACCGCCAGGCTGGGCCGACAGGGGAGGCAAAGAACTGGTGCCAAACGTGCCAGAAAAGGCCCGCGGAGACGATGAGGGACACTGAAAGGGAAGGTGTTCCGCCCATCTATAGCACTAGCACGTGCCAGGGTATGATCTTGGCATGCCAAGCGCGCGGAGCCAAGCCATGAGCCCAGTCGGCGGAAGCAGGCGGTTGAGACTTGGCAGCATTCCGCCAAGCGGAAGCACAGGGCCACACGCATGAAGAGCATCCCACACGTGGGCGGCCCCTGGCCCGCGCTGCTTACTCTTCAGGAGTGCCTTCTCGACTGCTGATTCGCTCTCTTTCTCATGCTCCATTTGAATCTTCCTTGCTCGTCTCGTTTGAGCGTCTTGTCGTGCGTTCTTGGGTTGCCGTGGCGTGTTCATGCGCTGACCTCGCAATGGCCGCTCAAGGCATACTCCTTTGTCTGGCCAGAGGCGACAGGCGCATATACTCCGTACTGCCTTACTTGTGATATATCTGGTCGCTTTTAAAGTCCGCTTTTTCATTGGTTGGAGGGGGTATCATGTTGGAATTGTCACTAGCGCGCAGATGGGATGGAGACAAGTAGAGGAACCAAGCAGCGCAAAGAGCTTAAGGTTGGACATGGGATACTACACGTGATTTGGTTTCGATTATGTAATGTCATGTGTAACGGATATACAATATCCCTAAACCCTGTAATTTCGGGATTGCTGATATAATCGAACCTAATCTTTAAAGGGGCTCTTTCTAGGCACCAACTTCACTAGGCAAGCTTCATGGCCTCTTCAACACACGTTCAACATCTCAACAGGGCTCTAATGATACCTATCAAGAGGAAAGAAGGTATTGGGTTTGGAGTAAAAGCCAACATTCACAGAGCCAGCGCAACTATTGTGGTTAAAGTCCCTAATTCGGAAGCCCTCGCCGCGGAAAAAGAACCTTTTTTGGAAGAAGCCAAATTCTACAACCGCCTATTTGAAGAAAAAGAAAAATGTCTAGATATTGTTGAATGTTTTGTTGCATTACCAGACTTCATCTTCCTCTCATACTGCTGCAACGATAACCTGGCACGTCATTTCTTCAACTATCAGGAGCGAGAGGTACTTCCCTACGGCTCTCCGGGAAAACTTATAAGTGTGAAGCAATATGAAGACCCTGCGCTTATTGCTCGGTGGATACGGCAGCTTGCTTCCGCCCTTGCTTTTGTGGAGAAGCTAGGGTACACCCATAACGACCAGCACCTCGCAAACTGTCTGCTCGATGAGAATATGAACTTAAAACTATGCGACTTTGACCGTGCCACGACAATTGGGCAGTATCTCGAGAGTTTCCTCGAACCATGGGCAGTAATGATAACTTCCGGGCCCCTAAGTCGTACTTATGGCCTCTCCTCTGCTAGAACTGAACAGTTTGCCGTTGGCACTTTCCTTTACACAATGGTGTATGGCCATGAGCCATATGAAGATATTCATCTCCGAGAAAACGATCCTGATGAGCTATGTCGGCGGTTTAGAGCTTCAGAGTTTCCAGAGCTTAACCGCCACGAAGTTTTTGACGGGCTAATATCTGCTTGCTGGCACAATGTGTATCCCACTATGGCTCTGCTTGATTATGATTTCAAGCGAAAGACCAAGGATATTGCATCCCCTGCCACTTATCCGGCAATTGATTATGCAAAGGAGAAACGCGCTTGTATAGCAATGATTCAAAGTGGTTTGCTTGGACCCGAATATGCCTTGTCTTATCAACCAGCATGGCAAAGGTGCTTACATGGTTTCTTGGGAAAATTTCTTTTTATTTGGAAACGCACGGTCAATTTCCTTGGCTTATTCTTCCACAAGTAGGTCCGGTCGAGGATAGTTGTTTTCTTCCTCTCTAAGTGTCATGGCCAAATATCGAATATACCCTTTATTGTATTCTTTCAATTTTTGTTTGGTTGTTTGTAAGATACCAACATATTACTACGCTGGAAATTTCATTTCCACTCGACAAAATGGTTGATTCATACAGGCGCTGGTTTTCGTTTGAATACGCACACGAAAGCATAAGTTTTGCAAACATTTTATAGGTGATGCGAGAACACAAGGGAACAGCGTGCCTGACACCTATGGGATAGTTGAGTTGAGTTTCTTTGGGCTACGGAGTGGCTATATTATATATACCGTATCTCATTGGATGGTCTCTTGTGACAGAATATCACTCTATTGTGTGCACCCTAGCGGTTGAATGCACATCCTAAAAACAATTAGCTATTTTCACTTGGGAAAACTGTTATTCAACGGCTACCCACAAGGATACTTAAACTCGGGTGCGAGTTTAAAAGGACTCCCTTCGCTTTTTCTGTACCACTTGCCGCTCGTTTCCTGAGCCCATAGGTCACTTGCTTTGCAGTCATCGCAAGGCTCATGAATGTGTGAGCTGCCGATATTATGATTCCTGCCGGTCTCGATACCACAAAAATTACACGTCGGGTCCGGGATCAGGTTTCCAAGAGATTCAAGCACGTGTTTGCAGAGGAACTGTCGTCGGCTAACGTTTCTTTTGCACATGTTTTTTATTTCTTGGATTTGGCTATTGTTAGGCGGCATGTATATGCCTTATTGATGGATGGGTAAGGGGAAGGGAATTACTGGTAGACCGATTTGCTTATTAGAATATGTTCCCGCCAAAACGGCTGAGCCAAAATACCCTGAGGCTAGAAGGAGATGGACTATTGAATTATTTGGGTGGGGAATAGAGAGATTTAGTGTTGGCTTTGATGATCTGATTTTCCCGAGTTACTAGAAACAAATGCCCTCTTTATAGACTGTCGAGATCTCCGCTTAGGCCTTTCTTCTCGTTGTCAATCTAGGCAGCAACTAGCTTTAGCCATCTACCCGGCATCGTTATCACAGAAGACTCTCTCCTCATTCGATGCCTTGCCAGTCTAAATAAATGCAGCTGTGCCGCCGCACAGATATTTTGATATTTACACCTCACTGATTTTCTTGAAAGTGTAAATCTAGGCAGAAATGAGCCGCAGCACATGTCGGGCGTATCTACCCCGTCAGCCTCACTCATAAAATGACGAATAAGGCAAAGTAAGTTAACACGGAGCAGATTCCGTCTTTTGTTCAACATTCGAAGATCCACATTTATCATGAAATGTCCCAGCTAATGCCGGAATTTAGTCATTTGTGAGCGCACATGGCAGTTTTTCAATATACTGATTTGCTGGCAGTGCCTCAGTGTACTCAGCAATTTATGCAACTTTTATATGATGTGTTTTGTTAGCTGTGGATCGCCGCTAATTGGGTGGGCCGTGTGCTTTTAACTTGCGGCTGATTTGGGTTGGACCCACTTGAGCCGCAACTCTAACAGCGTCATCGTTAACTATGAAGCTGGTTTGGCATCATACCAAGCATAGACGCAGCCCATGGGCAAGAAACTTTGATGAACAGTCATTGATAAGTTATGCAGACACTACCAAGACATTCTCAATAATGCTGGGTATTTGCCATATATTATTCGTGTTGAGACGAATCCAAAATATACATAGATTTGCTCAAGGATATAATCGCGACAGTCACGGAAAAGGAAGCTCGGGCACTTATGACACTGGCTTGCTCAACTTCGCCAAACATCTTACTTAGAGAGCTTGCACGGGCTCCTTAAGTGCTTCTCTTCGCGACATGCTTCTCTCATCAAAGAATGGCTTCTCTCCGACACCAACTGCACGAACACCATACCTGTCCTCCCTACCCTCGAGATCAAAGGTGGCGGTGTGGAACACACAACGGTTATCCCAGATAGCTATGCAGATCAAACACGTCAGAATTGAAAACACATTGGCAGACATATTAATATCTTACCCATATCATTTGCGTTCTTCCATTTGAAGCGGACCTGGAGATCGTTGTTCTCGTTGATCAATCTCAAGAACCAGTCAAGTAGTGACTTGCTTTCGGCCTCGGTGAGATCATTTATCTTTTGCACATGAAATCCTGCAGAGTAAATGCTCTTCCATCCTGTCACCGGGTTTGTGCGCACAACGGGGTGGACCGAGGAGAAGTTCGATCCAACATTCTCTGGGGCTCCACGCTGTCCGTCAAAGAGCTTGAATTTACCGGTAGCTGCAACCTTATTGTATCCGGGCTGGGCGCAAGTAGCAGTTAGGGTTTCTAGGAAGCGTTGGTATGGCTTGCTAATGCGATCATATAGTTCGTATCCTGAGGCCCACAAGGTGTCTGCTCTCGAAGTTAGCTGCATCCTTTTTCGAGGAACATAGACCGGGGAAATAAATCCCGATATAATGGCATACCTCCACCTGTCTTTGGGACCTCGGTCAGCCTCAACGTGGTGTACTCCGCAGGAACAGGCTCAAATGCGACATCAGAATGCCAGTGGGCAGAACTTTGCTTCTTTGGGATCGAAACAGAGTAGTCAATTGAACGCAGCTTGTTGTCTTGAGCCGCACTGATGGTGTTAATTTCCGGGTCATTGGCTCCTTGTTCAAAGATTGGATGGATTGAAAGCCGGCTAGTCGGTGGCTTCCCGGTCAATTCACCGAGGCGTTGCATCAACTCCTTTTGTTCGGTATTACTGAGCCCGTCTTGCTGGCGAAAAAAGACGACTCCTCGCTCAGAGACTAGTTATCACAGGGAACTGTTAGCCCATGTATAGTTAAAAGTAATTACGGTTCCCATTGGTGTTCCTTGGGGTTTTACTAACTGAGGATCGCAAGATCACGGAGTAGATCATCCGCATTTGGTGCTTTGATCCAATCTGCGAGCTTAGCGTTCGGGAACTCGGTCCCAATGATGGGCGTCACATCCTCTCTTTCGTATTGGTCAATAGCACCTGATCGTCGAAGCGGAGCCTTCCATGTGGAAGAGGCCGTTGTAAAAGGGACCGTTGTAGTGTTTGCTATCGCGGGAGCCATCCTTGCTGGTTTCTATTTGATTTCTCGATATTATGTCAAGGGAGTATAGATAAATGAGGATGCACGCAATCAGCCCGATTTTTTTGACAGCGCATGGAGATGCCTGCCCAGCCATGCAGGATTGCATTCTTTATACAATATCAGCTCTTGAGGGGGTCGGCTCATTTCTGTCACTTCCTCTGGAGGTTCTCCTATTCTAACTCGATTGCCCGGCGCTTTCTGAGCTGGAATGGCATATTCCATCGCTACGTCTGAGACCACAATGGCGCAACATTTTCTACCCCAGAAAGGCACAAACATCTATACGAGGCTGGCATGCACTCCTCAGAGTCCCGACCTTCGGCATTTTTCAAAAGCCGACTTCCCTCATACCCTTTTTCCGTGGCTATGCTCGGCGCATTAAAACAAAGCTGATGTTGTCATCTAGGATTGTCAACCTTCGGCGGTTTTTGATATCCTTTCCAACCGCCAAGTGATATGCTGGGGACACACGTAAGCCCGTACTGACTAGGCTGTTATCTTTATGCATGGTACGGCCGAAGTTTCCAACCGAGTCGTGAAGCCTTGGTTTTATTGAAATGCAGCTTCGTCGTTCGTACATAGTGCGCACTTGGCAGATGCATCTTGACTCGCCTATCTAGCCTGCAGTCACAGCTGCAGTTACAGGGCTGGGGAACAAGCCTGGAGTTCCGCGGAACCAGGGGCCACGCAAGCAGGGAACTAAGCGAGGAGTCCTTGCCATCCGAAAGATGAGAAAATTTACCAGTTTCTAGTTGATATGGAGGTTTTATGATTGATTTACCGTGCATATGTCTGCATTGTGTCGATTTATGAAGAACTTTAAGGTCTTCCATTACGTGGATCTTGCGACGATCAGAAGGGGTTGGACGAGGATAAACAATCTATAACTGCTCCTTATGAATCTATAGAAATGGCCGCACTTTGATCATCTTCTTCACGCTGTTTATTACCAGTGGCAGCTGCGTGAACGTGTCCCCCTTTTCGTCCTGAGCATCAAGCCTTTCCTGCACCTGAACTGCCTGCAGCATGGCCGGCGTGATCATTTCAGACTTCAGTCGACTGTGACCAGTGTGTTGTCCCTGAGGCAACCCTAGCGAGTTGCATAAACGATTTAGTATGTGCTCGCTAACCTGAACCACAATTGAAATCTCTAGTTCCATCCCAACATAAGGCTGGAAGGAGCCAAGCTTTAACCCCGGAAACAGCCGCGATTTGTCGTCGAGCATTGGATCCGCCAAGTTAGGAAAGAGTAGGAAATCATGGAGGTCCGTGAAGAAGAGGACAAAGAGCCGGGCTAGGCGGAGATAGCACGAGATGGTATGCAGCGTCGTCGAGGTGTCCATTTGAGTGCCACTGCCAGGCGAAATCGAAGATGATAGCTGACTGTTGCTGCTGTTAGAACATGTACTTTTCGGCGTAGCTGAAACATCCAGGAACGGCTGTGACAGGAAGTCCGAAAAGTCAGTTACTTCCATAGGATCACCGAAGAATGGCGATTGGAAGTCCGGAACCGGTTCGCCAACCGAGTCTGGAGAGGAGCTGAGTATGTCGGTTCCGAGCGTCGGTACCTGGATAAATTGATCGACTAGCTCTGTGAGTTGTCGAGCTGTCTCCATAATCTCCTGGATTGGGTAGTTGTGCAATAAAGTAAGTAGCCCCTGTTTATCCCTGTTAGTACAGCTCCTCATCCGTTTGAGCTGTCGAAGTTGATTATACTGCGTAAGGCCTAGGTCGGTCAGCTTCCGTACACAGTCAGCTGTGTTTTCGTCAGTAAGTGCGAATTCCTGTGCAAAGTGTGGACTTGGTCTGTCGAGAAACTGTACGTGTCCGTTGTTGGGTATGTTCTCAGTTGGAAACCCCTGCCCATTATTGAGCATGATGTTCGCATCCTCATAAGGCTGCCTCCTGCCGCTAACTAGAGGCAGCATCATATCAAGCTTAAATTGGGACCCGCTTATATGGAGATCTTCAAACGTCCCATTCTCGTCTGCTGGGATATCCATGCTCGACCCACGGGTGGGTATATCTTGATAAGTTATCGGGCTGGGTGGGCGTGTAGATTTCGGAGACAGCCAGACGCCGCTATTATGCGGGCTACTCTGTGATTCTTTGCTGGACGTGTTTGCGGTTGCTGCTGTCCCGGATTTTGCTGCTGTTCCTGAGCCAGATTGTGACCTCGCTGGCCGGCCCAGACGGTTGGGAGGGCTGTAGACGCATTGAACTGCAGCACGGCGGCAGCGTTCACATTTACCGCCAGGTTCTGTGGTCTCTGACCGTAGACACCGTAACTTGTGTGCATGACACCTGTCACAAGCCATCCGCAGGCGAGTCGTTTCTGGAGGGTATGACGTCTGCGTGGCCTTGCGTTTCTGTGTCTGTACGCCGCCAGCAGTAGCCTTTGATGTAGGAACGTCGTCGTCCAACATGCTTTCGGGTCAGTATAGACCAGGAATATGGAAGCTCAGTATTTATTATAACTAATATATTGGTTATATTGACGCCGACGCCGACCTCCTTCACAACGTCGAGCAGCTGGTCGCTGGAGAATAGAAGCAGAGCGGATATATGGGAAGGTCAACACCACAGACGCCTATTGCTAGCAGATACTAATCAATATATAGGGTGAGAAAAGATTTCCCTTGCAGTGTCTGTGTGCAGCTTTATATTCGTATTCTGAATGTATAAAAGTCTGGAGCTCCCTTGCAAATACCAGAAGTAGAAGATGGTAGCGAAGGACAGAATGGTATAAAAAAGCACAGCTCAGGACCGTCAAGGGGAGGCCCAATGTCTCGGTGTTTTCTCTCTGCAAGCCTAAACAAGCCTGGCTATCCTGCTGGCTGAGCCATAGACTGTGTGATGCCATGCCATGCTTCCGCGGAGAGTCAAACAACCCCTGTCCCTGCGAGGGATGGATGCTGGCAGCACGGGATGTCATGTCGTTATTTCTGTAGTAATCGCGATACTTCCCTGTCCGATGGCAAGGTTCTCGGGGTGTTCGTTGTTTTCTCCTTTCGCTGCGAAGATAGACCTCAGTTTAACTCTGTTAACTGGCTATATTGTGTGGTCGTCCTTGACCGTTTGATATTTAGCTATTTAACTAGTTACTAGTTACTCGTTATTTAGTTACTTCGGTTGACAACCCAATTTTTATCTCAGTATCAAACTACACTATTCTGATTTCCATCCTTCCCATCCTGCTAACCCCCTCCATTCTCCTCCTTCTCCTCCTGATCTACCCCTCCATCTTCTCTCTTTTGCCATTGCCTCTCATTTTCGTATGGAGTGGGGCGGGCTGAAATGCATAAGTAGCCAGCTTCTTTTAGATCTTAGCAGCAAACACAGAGTAAGCAATATCGTACTGGGAACTGAGCCTCCCAGGCCAGCTTACAATATAGGCTCGAATACCCTGCGGAATCCTAGGAATGGTTCGTATACTTGGCGCTGTCCAGCCGGCCACAATTACACCGGGGGAAGAGTTAATTAATATAGACAGAAGGGCTTTTCCCGTATCTTAGGAACCAATCAGGGGACCATGTTTCCGGATTAAAGCCGTACCGCAGTAAAACTGCCTATTGGAAGCGCCGGTAACTGAGATTTTCTAGAACTGGCCAGACCTCATGTCCAGTTGACGCGTGGGATGCTTCCGTATGGCGTCCCTGCTCAAACTCGCAGCCCACCCTGCCCTTGTACATAAGATCTGAGAGGAGAGTGACGATTCTTCGGAAAAAGAGGCTGGACTCCTCATGGTAAGAATAGTAATAGATCAGCAGTGGATTTCTCCCGTTTCTGACACCCATTAACATTTAATTAGCGTCTGTGGAACAGCTGGGTAAGCTTATTGATATTATGGGGAATGTCTGGAGGCGAGTTGGCCCTGTACGACCAGATAAGCATCTAGGCCGCTGCTTGGGGGTAGCAAATTGCGATTGGGCGCTGGACCTTCACCTAAGGAATGGCTGTGCATATAAATAGTGGGATACGATGACCTGCACAAATGGCGAAAGAGTGAAATTCCACTCTGTGTTGCGGCACCAGCGGAATGAAGTGCATGCAATATGATGTTAGCCAGGGAGAAATGATGCGCCAAGCAAGTAGTTAGTTCAAACCTGAGCAAATATCATGCGGACAAGCTCGCGGAGAACGCTTGGGGCACGCCGGAGCGGAAAGGAAAGCGGAGACCAGACAGATATAGAGATTGACCAAAGAGCTTTTGAGAGTGCTTGATTTTTCGTTGGGAAGGCTGATTTTCAGCCGATATCTTTAAGACATGGTTGGCGCCTGATATGAGGATTCATTGAACTAACTAGGGGTTGACCAAGCTCCCAATCATGTAGATTCCTCGGTCACCATTGTGATTTGAAAACTATTTGGTATATGGTAATCTGAGGATCCCGAAACTTTGCTTGAGTAACCCCTTAAGGATCCTGATTCTGGGACAAAATCCCCAGCTGGCTATGCCTTGACGTTAAACTTTGTAAAAACAGCAAGACCTCCCATGTGGACGTCATCATCTGGGAACTTGTATGCCTGGCAATAGCCTTGCATGAGAGCCTCAATACGAGAGGATGCTGGATCCGTCCTGTACAGGGTCAGTCTCAGGCCCATGACATATATCATTGGAGAAGACTTACAACCTACACCTCGCCATCGTCACACATAGAACCACACCATACGATCACAGCCTGTCGAGCAATGTCCGCAATTATCTGCTTGATAGGGGTTTTTGCATATAACGAAACAATTACAGCGGCATCGTCAACCTAGAATCTTGGAGGGGACGCTAGTGTATATTGGTTCCTGTGCAAAACGCTGGATATCGTGGCATCTGTTTAGATTCTTCGGGGTATCCCGTAGAGTACGGAGCACTAGATGTTGATATAAGGACCCTCTTCCGTACGATCCTGCCTTGGAAGATCCCTTTCTATATTAGACATTGTGCCGCATGCAGGAATCATAGTCCACTGTCGGTTTGATATTAATAAGTTTCTCCATGATTTTATGTTGTAAAAGGGTAGGATGGTGAATTTCCCATGTGCATTACAACATATCAATGCAATATTGTTGTGTCAACAGGGGTGTTAGAGGCTTGTAACATATGCACAGCTCCATTCTTTTTGATGGTTTATATGGATTCAGCATCATCTTGTTCCTTTGAGAAGTGGAGTAAATAAACGTACGCAACATATTCGGAGTAGACTCCTATTCCCTGATCATTACGTCAAATTCAACAGTATCCTCGTCTATATCCTTAATCGACACCTTTTGCCCAGCTCGTGGGTCACTTATCAGCTGCCGTTGGATCTCCCGAAGCGCGGCTCTAGAGAATTGAGATCCCGGTTTTGCCCCATTCAACTTCAGTCTCTCTCTGGTCGATTTCATTGCTGGACCTGATGTGTCGCACATTGCCTATAAAAGACCCGGGATAGAATGTCGAGCGGTTATCGGGTTCATTCGAGGAAGAATCATCCATGATAAAGGCACCGAGGAGTCCTAGGTAACTGGAAGGGTTCTACACTTCGACACCGTTGTATAGTTATCGGGAGCTTCTTGAGCATATTTTTATCAGGATCCTCCTGACACTTGGCCGACCAGTTAGTTAACAAATAACTAGTCATGTTAGCACTTCGTACTGCGTGTCATTCTCGTGGAGGTGCTAGTTTAACCACTGCGCGTGGCTGCTGTCGCTGTTTACGTTGAAGTCAATAACGCATCCTAAGGAAGAACGACTACAAGCGTCAACTTGTAGTCTCTCTCTCTTCCTGAGTAGCAGCAGTGTACCGTCAGTCACTCCTACAAGGCCATCGTCCGTCGTAGCTAACGAGTCTCAAGGTCTTCTTCATCCGGTCTGCCTCCCTATTCGCCCTCCCTGACGGTCTCCTGGTCAACAGAAGAGAGAAAGCCACTGCTCATCCGTGCTTGCTCATCATCACCATCATCATCTCACTCTGCAATGAGTCACTCTGCGCCTCTTCTCGCCCTTTTCTCTCCTTCTTATTCGCCTTCTTCGTCTTCAACTTTTTCGTCTTTTCAGCTTCGACTTTTTCTTCGTGAAAATGAGTATTTTTGACTCATAGGACTGTAATTACACTTCTGATACCAACATGTGATCCCACCAAAATAGCGTACTTTTCGTAATATAACCGTAACGCACACTCTCCACCAGCACGAAACAACCAACTTCGGCTTTTTTTTTCTTTCGCTGCTGTGAATTCAAACTGTTCTATTTATTATCGCTGCTTCTCGCCTGTTCTGTCTGCTTCTTTAGTTATAGATCATCTTTTACTACAAAGTCACAGACGAGAGAAGACGTTTAGCTAGCAGTTTGCCGGCGCCGAAGAGACACGCTTGGCCACACATCACACACCCCGCCTGCCTGCTTTCTAATCCCCCTCCATCAAATATCACCGCAGAAAACATACCCGGAGGAGCTTCCAGATAAAAGCCCAGCTGGAAATCAAATATCAGAAGATTTTTAATCTCAAGCCTATTCTCTCTTCCGCGACCATTCCTTTACCACTAGTTACCGGATCTCAGCTTAATCAAGGAATCATGGCTGTTCGAGCGCAATTTGAGAACTCAAACGAGTCAGTTTGTTTCCTTCTGATTTTTTTGCGCATTCCTTCTTCTGGTTGCGATACTGACTGTTATACACTTAGCGTGGGCGTGTTTGCGACGTTGACGAATTCCTATGCCATAGTCGCTTCCGGAGGATCAGAGAACTTTTACAGCATTTTCGAATCTGAGCTTCAGGATGTCATACCCATTTGCCGTGCCTCGATAGCTGGAACAAGGATCGTTGGTCGTTTGACAGCCGGGTAAGCTAGACTACATCGGACATAAACAAAGATCTTGAACTAGGGGGCTGGCGGTACTAACCGTGGTTTAGAAACCGAAAGGGCCTTCTGGTGCCTACCACAACCACAGACCAGGAGCTCCAGCACCTACGCAACACGATTCCAGATAGCGTAAAGGTTCAGAGAACAGAAGAGAGGCTTTCCGCCTTAGGGAATGTGATATGTTGCAACGACCATGTTGCTCTCGTACACCCCGATTTAGAGCGTGAGACGGAAGAAATGTGAGAATAGCTATCGGAATCCTGAGTTTTAAGACACCACTGACCATTGTTCTTCCTTGTTATAGAATAGCAGATGTCCTCGGTGTAGAGGTATTCCGTCAGACTATCGCAGATAACGTCCTAACAGGCTCTTACATGGCTTTGTCAAACCGGGGTGGCATCGTCCATCCTAAAACATCGATACAAGACCAAGATGAACTATCCTCTCTTCTACAAGTGCCTCTTGTTGCCGGCAGTATTAACCGCGGTTCTACCGTCGTCGGTGCTGGAATGGTCGTTAACGACTGGCTAGCTATTACTGGACTGGATACTACCGCCACTGAGCTCAGTGTCGTGGAAAGCGTGTTCAAACTCGGTGAAGGTGCAGGTGGTGAGGGAACAGCTACCAAGGAAAGCATCGTGGAGAGTTTCTACTGATTTCGACCGCCGCCCTTCGACCTTCTACCTTCTCGTCCCTCCTTTCACGAATCAAAGCTGGCCACTGCCGGACTCGAAGCAAGGGTTTTGGCCTGGTGGAGGTTTTGTTTTATCAATGAATTTATTATTAACGAACCTCGCTGCTGTTGCAAGCGAGACATAACTATAATGAATACCAAAGACATAAATAAAGCCTCTAAAAGGGGTAAATACCACCAAACCCTCCTTTTCTTGTTGTGAAAGTTCATATCCCCCCCTGAGATAACTATATACATTGCAAATGTTTCCTGGCTGCATCTTGCTCACAGCTATAAACTCTTATTTGACCAACTAATACTACTAAAGCTGGACTATACACCATGTCTACTGCAATCTGACCTGTTACAATGATATCTCCGGCCTTCATGGAGTATTGAGGGGATGTTTCCGGCACCCCCTGAATATCTCCTTGTGGCCGCAAGATTCCTTAACATACCCCTATGCGCAATATATTAAGCATGCATCAAACCCGCGCTGCGGTTACTCTTGGTTCATGAAATCCCACGCAAATAGAATACTCAAAAACATCAACCTCCTTTGAAACGAAAGACAACAACAATACTCACTACTTTACTCAAAGACAAATCTTTTCAACCACCTTACCCATTGATCAGGAGTTTACACAATGCCTTCTCAAGTGTCTTCACCAGTGCAGCTGCTCAGCATGCCAAATGAGTTACTGCTTATTGTCGCAGAGTCTCTGGAAACCCCTGATACCAATAGCTTGATGCAAACATGCACTCGCTTGTCCTCGCTGCTGCAACAAGAACTCTATGCAAAATCAGCCGATTTCAAGGTCAAGGATGGCATTCCAGCTCTGGCATGGGCAGCAAACAATGGCCGCAACTCCATGGTTAAGGCGATCCTCGACGGCGCAAAGGCACCAATCAAGAACTCGACAATGCTCCTGGCTCTCTTCATGGCCTGCGAGCACTCCAACGTTGAAGTGGCTGAGATGATCCTCCTTATCCTCCCGATTGCCCCTGAGCAGCCTAAAAGCACAGGAGCCAAGTACTTCTTTGTAGGACTGCAGTCGGGTGGTATGTGCGACAAGACAATAAACAAATATGTGTCTGAGGACGAAGACCTATCTGTTCACCTTTACACTGCCGCTCGGAATGAGTGTCGAGAGATAGTTTATATGCTCTTTACATTCCCCATGCGAGACTTTGCGAAAGTCAGGGCGCTCCTGGCGATTACTGAGGACGGACTCTATGAAGCAGCTACTATTCTGCTTGAAGCTGGCATGAAGGATGACGCAGAGTGTATTTCTAGAGCCGTCTTCTCCGCGGTGAGAACTGACAATGTTGACATGGTGAGAATCCTGATGGATTCAGGGGCAAAGTTCCAAATGCCGCTCATGGCATTCTATAGCGCCATGAAGAAACCAACCGGTGAAATGGACGAAGAACTACTGAACTTGCCCGACGGAATTCGGCTCCCAGACATGACCCAGGTCTTTGTTTTTTTGTTCAACATGCAAACTATT